ATGGAGATGAATGAGAGTTGTTCGCACATTGGATAGGCCGATTCTACATACAAATAGAATCGAGCTCAACTATCGGCAGACTAAGAGTCAGTCAGTCCCAACAATTTTTTTTTGCCCTAACAAACAAACTAAAATGTCCACCTCTTCGTAATATAATACACAAGTATAGCCCTGTACTCTCCGTGACCCAGTTCCACAGTGACGCACGTGGTCGTCACGCATTGTCTCCTTAATGACGGCGCCTCTATTGACCGCTGCATCTTGTATTGTTACTGTTACGGTGTTAACATCTGTTGAGGTTATTAATTAAGACACAACAAGTAGATAATGACCACTAGGTATCAATTTACGCCCGTATTCACAATAAGCGTGGACGCACAGGATCACACACGAACAAATCACAGAGCTCTATTCAACGCTGTGCGCTCGATTTGCTGCTTCACTTAAGCAAGCATAATTTGTGAATACGGATGTTAATGTATACGGGAGTTATTAACACCTCTCCTTCCCACCGCTGCAACTCCTGTGTACGGGACTATTCCCACCTCTCGTTCCCACCACTGCAACTCCTGTGTAGCCTGAATCTACAGCTTGACCGTAAAAAAAAACAGTGAAGGTCAAGACGTATGTCCCGGAAAGATAAACTGTCATTGGACCCGCAACGAATTTAATCAAACAAAAAATTAAGGTTCGACTTCCCTCCAGTGCAAAGCGGATGGTAGGCGTGTATGTATAGCAGAATTTATAGGAAAATCGCTTTTTAACAGCTCATGAAAAGATTTGATGGTGTCAAATACCCTACTATTTTATATTACTTATAAAGTTTGCCATCATGATTGTGTTCTGAGAGAGTCATATCGTTGAGAAATTGCGATTGAAAGAGAGCTCTCCATCAAAATTTCAACAAAGTCGTCCATGTTCCGTTCCACACAATATTGACTGCTATGAGCCCCATTGAGGTTTGCTCAAGGAACTGAAGAATATTCCACACAATACCTTAACAAGGTATATGCCTTTGAACTGTTGTATTATGCAGCTGCTCTCCAGAGAAATCTGGGAACATTTTAAATTCTGTTTCCGAACTAAGTAAGCCTTGAGGGCGAACGATGAAGAATTAAGCTTTGAACCAGCTGAGGAATACGTGGTAAGAGCAAAGCATGCTTCTTACGTTCATAATAGGGTAGTCTGACAGACTATAGTTTTTGTTACAAAACAGCACCCACGGATACCATCATACGGATGACATAGCGTTTGACTTGATACCGTATTTACTGCTAAGCAAAATTTTGCGGAAGACGTAGTGTGGGCAGGCCCCCCACTAGGTGGACCGACGATCTGGTGAAGGTCGCGGGAGGTGCCTGGATGCGGGCGGTGCAGGACCGGTTGTTGTGGAAATCCTTGTCCAGCAGTGGACGTCATTTGGCTGAAACGAACGAACAATTAACTATAGCCTAGAGTAGTGGACTGTGCTTAATATGTAGAGTAGTGGAACCTTAGTCAAATTGAAATACTGTCAAAGCGTGACTCTCCCGTAAATTCCCATAGATTTGTATATTTTAAAGACTGTGAGCCCTTGAAAAGAAGGCTGAGTTTCTTGCGCTATTTATTCTCAGCACTGGCCCATTTATTGTCTCGAAGCAGTGATAGGGTTATACTGGGACGTGCTTTTTAAAAGCCTATTTGCAAAAATAAATGAGATTTATGAGTTTTTTATTTATTCTTTATAGCAAAGGGAACTATGACGTCTTAGGTGACTGAGATCGAACTTCAACAATCTATCGAATTTAAATTTCAGCCTGATCATCACTTTCCATCAGATGAGAGCTGCTAACCTGCAGGCCAAGACCCTCATCCTCCTAAAAAAGTTTATTTTCCAAAGATGTGTCTTGGATTTTTTTAATGGTGTACCTACCCAATTATTTGTGACACACAGACGAGCAATTTATTTTTTATCGCGCGTCATTGATCAATTGAAGCATTCTCCGTGCTTCAGTATTAGATGCGCGCGCGTCTATTTTTGTCATCTATTTGTGAGCGCCATAATGTCACAAATACCACACAAGAGAGGCTAGTGCCCCGTGAATCATGTTATGGTGGATATCTAGGCTGTTTATTTTTATTTCTGTAAATACCTTCTTATTAATAGCAATTAACTTTGTTTAACTAGCTTTGCCCATGGCTTCGCCCGCTTCAAATTAAAGTCACAAATCATTACAAATTATAGCTATGTTAATCTGATGTAAACAACAATACTGTTAAAGTTTCATCTGTACTTTTTGCGTAAAAGAGTAACAAACATACATCCTTACAAACGCATTTATAATATTAGTGGGACAATACGTGTATTTGTTTAGGTTTGTTGCTTTATCATGTGCGTGTAGATAAAACTTTCCGTGCAAGATTGAAGATGCCATAATATCAAAGGTCATAATGATTTGAACGACTCCTATCACCACTGAGAGCTTCACTCTGACTACCTAGAGCCAGTCTTCATGATTCATATATAGACTTCAAACCCCAAAAAAAGGTCCTGGCTACACAGGAATTGCTTCGATGGGAACGAGAGGTGGGAATAGTCGGTCTATTCGACTTTGATCACCTGAATTTGATCACCCAGGTGATGAACTCCAGGAGACACTTTGGTGTCCTTTGATCACCCATGGATATAAAGTCCACTTTAATCACCAGGTGAACTTATCCATAGGCGATGAAAGGACAGCAAAGTATCTCCTGGAGTCCACTTTGATCACCGGTTGATCAAATCCAGATGATCAAAGTGGAATGGACAAAATAGCCCCTTAAAGTGCCTTTTCTTCTTTAAGTATCAGACTTCACTATCCACTGCCGTCTGACACCAAACCCAGAAGATTCTTATTTCATCACGTAGCAACGTAACTCACGCTAAGCCCTCAGAAATTCCAGCGCATGCGCGTGCGACGGCCATGTTGCGAAAGAGAGTATTTCCAGAAATCTCTAATTTATTGTCCAAAAGACTGCAGACTCCGCAATTTATTTTTAATCGCACGCGCCGCGGTTGGCGTGTAAAAATATGACACTATGTAATTTTGTGGGTAAATTCTTAGATAAATACTTCGAGCAGCTTATAATATTAAATAACTAGTAACTCGCCCCAGCTTTGCACGGGAGCTGTGCTGTTTCTCTGCTTTTCTCTACACTAATTAGTTTAATTAAAGGGGAAAGATTTGATTGTTTGTTTGTATTGAATAGGCTCTGAAACTAATAGATCAATTAAAAAACTTTGACTACTTATTAGAATCCTGATGTATTGTAGAATTCTGATGAACATAGGCGGTACGAATTTCGGTGAGGTAGCTAGTCTTTCTATAAGATAAATCTTCCTTTTGAATCACTTACTGAAAACCGTATCAACCTCTTGTTTAAATAAAAACACAAATTCCAGTAAGAGCAACCGTTTATTACACACACATAAAAAGATTATTACAATTATCTTTAACGGTCTTATAACGAGTCAAGTCTATTAATAAATGAATGCCGACGTTTCTTACCAATATGGTTAAATTATGTCATTGTGATAAATTGAAATCTCTTCGGCATTCAATGTTTAATAAGCGATGCTTTATTTATTCGTTGCAAATATTTTTTGAGAAAAGCATCACCTACTTTATTTAAAAAGCTTCATTTACACAGAATATTGCAAAAAAAACGTGACGAGGTGTGTCAAAGTTACTTGTCATCCCCTCCAAACCTTGGTCCCACCTGCCCATTAAACAATTCAAACTTCTTCACTGTCACAATATCATCATTGATGTGCGGATCGCAGGAGTTATTCAAAACCTTCAGTGTGGGGAACACCACTTCTAAAACTCCATCTTCCAGATTGAATTTCCCTTCAGGCACGTTGACGAATGCTGGCAGCTCTCTAATTGCTGAGAAATGTTTCACAAGCTCACTGTTCACAGCATTGATATACACCACTTTGTGCCTCACTTCCACGGTAATGTCACTGTCACTGTACCCTTGTAGAGGTATCTTCAGGACGTACCTCTTTTCTTCGAACAATTCCTTGATGGAACCGATCGAGTGCGCGTTGCAGATCTGTCGACTCTGCCTGTCGAGTGCTATGACGTCATTGGCTAGTTCCTCGAAGATTTTTGTATGGTATTCGGCTAGGTGTCGGGTCCTGTCGCGATGGTGGTGGTGGTGGCAGTGCTGATAACTGGACGCGACCAGTCCCAAGATGAAAAGTAATATTAGATACATTGTAGAGTTCCAACGCGTGTAAGGTCTAGAAGTGGACTGGGAATGGTACGCAGTACAGATAAATACTGGGACCGATAACCTTACACTATCTATGGACTAAGGCTGAGTTGCACCACCTAACTTTAACCGCAGCTATAACGATAACCGAGGTTTTTGTATGGATTTTGACAGATTTTTAACGTTTGTTAAAGTTAAAGTAAGATGGTGCAACCCAGCGTAAGTCAGTGAGGGCCAAGGTCTGTTTTGTCGGCCGTTTGGTGTAGTGGTTCGCGGAATCTACTATCTTTTTGTTTGGAAATATTAATTATGTCTAAAAATTCCCAAAATATACAGACACTAGTTGCCCGCCTCGGCTTCGCACTAAAGACTCCGAAACGTTTCACCATCCTACTCGTACTAATATTATAAATGCGAAAGTTTGGATGTCTGGATGGATGTTTGTTCTCTTTCACGCAAAAACTACTGAACGAATTTTGATGAAACTTTACAGTATTATACTTTATAACCCAGAATAAATAGGCTGTAATTTATGACGATCTGTGACAAACTAAATTTCACGCAGGTGAAGCCGCGGGCAAAAGCTAGTTAGATAATAACGTAAGATACAATAATATATTATTTCTGATGAGCATAAGGCGGTACGAAATTCGTCGATCGATTAGTGAATGACAAAAAAGCTGCAAATAGAGCTAGAATTATGCTAATTTTGAGGTCTTAGTATTTGCGGAAGATTTAAAATTAATTTATTGTCTGTACAGGTACACGATAGCGTCGGAAGATGCCAAAAGGTTTCAGTTTATTTATTTGACTAACCTTGGGTTTTGTTTTGATGGTTTTGACTTAACAAAGTGTGTGAATAAGTTTGTAGAGAAGCTAATATGATTTGACTAACATAATATAGTTTAAACTTGAGTTGTTTTCCTTATTCACAAACCATAGCCACTAAGTAATAAATTATTTAAAAAGACCAACAGGTAAGTTCTCATACGAAATAATGGCCGCCATTCGCCATCGACATTTTCAAATAATTTTCTTACAAAACATTGAAAACGGTTAATCTATTCAAGACTGAAAAATAGAGATCCTACTAATTAAAACAAAAATTTAGTCTACGGTCAAGCAAACCACAGAGTTAAAGCGACCCTTCCTCACAATTTCCTGAATTCAAAAACTGCCACTCTAGACAAAACGCATTTTTTGATCGAATCGAAAATCGAATCCGTCAAAACTCCATACAAAAAAGGGGCTTTTCGACTGGTTTGCGATTATAATTTGCACTTTGTCTAGACCCACTGAAACTACATGCTGTCAATCTACACCACAAAAAAAAACTACAACCAAAAAAGAAAAAAGCGTTCTAAATTCGAAACTGCAACCAAATGTCATGCAAAACAAAAACCTATCGATCAAAAAAACAAACAACGAAATCTGAAAGCTCGTAACTAGGTCGGGGGCGCGCGTCACGGCGCGCTGACGTCACGCGTGACGTACGCGCCCGTCCCCCGGCCACGCCTCGCCTCTCCGCCCCGGGCTTGGTCAACACTCAACAGTGTATATTCCCTATTTTTTTAATCGATTGCCGGGTAATCGAGTAAAATAACCGATTGTACTGGTTTTTGTAATCGATTGTGGGGGATCGAGTAAAATAATCGGGAGAGGCAAGAAAACTACTAATAATGTTACAAAATTCCAACTAGAGTGTGTTTATAGACTAGCTTTTGCCGCCTGAATCAGTCAAAAACAAAAAGATCTACCTATACTAGACTTAGGAATCCTAGGAAATACAGGGTGATTTTTGTATCAGTATCCAAATTTTCAGGATCGACTCAGAATCAGTAACTTAATTGATTTACGTAAAGAAAACAAAACTTTTTTCTCCATATTTAATTATTTTCATCCGCTGCGCGCGGTTTCCAAATTGAGTCACGTGGAAAATTTGCTTCGTTCATGGAAAAAAATGTACACACAGTTAACTGCAAAGCTTAATAGACATAATGGTGAGCGAAAATAAGCAATAACCTTTATTAAAACTTAAGATATGGGCACCCGCAAATTAGACTTTCAATATTTTTTTTGCGAAAAATACCACAATTAAAAATAATTACGATAAAGTTGTATTGTCAAATTGTTCTAACGAGCTTATTAAAAAAAATTGGATACTGATAACAAAGTCACTCTGTATACATTACCTACTAGCCCGGGACTTCGTACGCCTGGACCTGGATCCCGTTTTACCCCCTTAGGGGTAGAGTTTCGTAAAATCCGTTCTTAGTTACGTTCTAAAAGGAACCCCCATGCAAAATTTGAGACTCCTAGCACTTGTGGTTTCTGAGATTTCGTGATGAGTGAGTCAGTCAATCAGTGACCGATTTATATTTCTTAAACTTTCTACAGCTTAGCATTGGCACCTACTGCTCTATAATGTTAGCATCATAGACAATCTACCTATGAAAATCATAAATCTACTTTGTTATAATTAATACAGAATAGAGTAGGTATATAAATTAGTAAGTAATCAATTAGACTAATTTGAAAACTTGAAGAAGTCTGAAAGAATCTCTGAAATCGGAAAACGCCAGCACTCTAAAAATGCAATTGGAATAGCGGAGAAACTACATTTATTAAATCTTCACAAGAAACAAAAATTTACCTCAAATTATCCCAAATTACTTCACAATTAATATGAAATTAAAAATTCCAACCACAAAAACAATGCTGCAGGCAGAATAACTTGCAGCAAAAATTTCAACCTTTTCTACGGTGACTTGAAGTCTTTAAACATAGTTTAAAAGCTTTTAAAACAAGCTTTAGAGGATATGAAGCTTTTTGTAGCGCTTTGTGGATGCAGATATTTTGCTTAAAGTGAAATATTTTGAAGAAAACATTAAACTTTTACTAACCTGCTTCTGGAAATATTTAACTTAGCTGGCAGGGTTTGCGGCAATATTAATAATTTGTGTACTTTAAATTACAGATAGGTATATTTTCATAAAAAAACAGCAGTCAATAATTCGAAATCGCTTTGCCATGCTTATCGATCGATATAATCGAAAAGGATGTTACTCATAAATTCAATGGTTTCTAATTCAATTAAGTTCGTAGCGAATTCCCAAAGGGCCTAATCGATTGAAATAATGATCAATTTGTTAAAGACCCTGTACATGTTCAGGTTCATATACTTACACAGCTAGAAACAGCCCACAAAACAACTACTTTTCCAGGAAAAAGCCAAAAGCTATGAGTAGTATTCAATGACAAATGATTGACCAACACGTTATCTCATTTAACCTTGTTATTCCAGATTCATAAACTAACACAGCTAGCAACAGCTCACAAAACAAGAGAAAACAGTTTTCCAGGAAAAACCCCAAAGTCCCAAGTATTCAATGACAAATGATTGACCAAGACGTTATCATTCAACCTTGTTTTTAGGTACTTACACAGCTAGCAACAGCTCACAAAACAAAACAAATCATTTTTTCCAGGAAAAACACCTAAGTTCCAAGTATTCAATGACAAATGATTGACCAAAACGTTTTCTCATTTAACCTTGTTTTCTAGATTCATAAACTTTCACCGTCAGTAACTCCTACAAAACAAAAGAAAACGACTTTTCCAGGAAAAACCCATTCAATGACAAATGATTGACCACTCCCAAAATAGTCGTCAATCAAACATCTATTTGCGTTCATTTATCAACGAGGAGCGGAGTGTTTACTCACTTCCATCAAAACCCCTAGGTACTTTGGCCCCAGTTTGTATAACTGGGGCAACTTGAAGGATAATACTATTTACCAATAAGTGGTAAGCTTGGTCGAAGTCCGCTTGCCACCATCTTACCTAAGTCTGTCGCCATAACAACATTGTTCACAGCATTGTTGTGTTCCGGCAGTTAGAGGTAAGATAGCCAGTTCCTCTGTGGTTGAGGATTCCGGGTGAAGCTCGCTTCCACCTTCGGCCTGATCATCACTTTCGATCAGGTGAGATGCAGGGCTGATTTTACCTTCATCGGATAACTTTTAACTGAAGAATAAGTTTGGCACATTAAGGCTGAGTTGCACCACCTAATTTTAACGGTACCATGGCGATAACCGGTGCTTTTTGTATGGAATTTGACAGATTTTTGACGTTTGTCTTTAAAGTAAGATGGTGCAACCCAGCCTAACAGTTTCAGTATGGGAAATATGTCAGAATGACATGTTTATTCTTGAGTTAAAAGTTATCGGACGCTGATAATATCAGCCCTAAATCAGTCTTTTAAAGTACCTACAAAGAAAAATTTTAAACGAGACGAAATTAACTTAAAATACAAGTCTCTATTGGCTGCTGGGGCGCAAATCAAAACTATGTTTGGATAACAAGCTGCTCATATACAAAATGATTCTGAAGCCCATTTGGACCTACGGCATGCAGTTGTGGGGCTCTGCAAGTGTTTCTAACATCATGATAATTCAGAGAGTGCAAAACTACATCCTGAAACAAATATCGTATGCACCATGGTTTATAAGAACAACAGAGCTGCACGAGTTATTGAACGTGCCTATGGTGAAGCAAGAGATAGACACCCACGGAAACAGCTACAAGCTAAGACTGTCAAAACACCCGAACCAGTTGGCAGGGCAGCTCACTATCCCAGAAAGCCATACGGCGGTTTAAGAAGCGGTGGTATTAGTCTGAAAACAAGCCTGAAATTAAGAAAAAGAAAGGCCTGTCTCAGCTGGGAGCAGTGCTCTAAACGTCGAACAGAATCCACCTATCTGCTTATAGTTTTTAAGACTGATCGCATGATAACACCACAAACAAAAAAAAATTAAGTAACAAGCTAACTTTACATTATCACCCCTACCCGCCCCTTAACTTCAGGGTGGTACACACAGGGGGTGGTAATACTATAATTTACTTTATTCCCTTGCATGCTATAAATGAATTGGACATAAATTAACAACTTTTAGTCAAATTAATGTCATTTGGACTACATTAATACGAGTATGTTGTTACACGCAAAGTTTTTGTGCTACAATAACTTAATTATTTATGCACGGTTTATTTAAAAAACGTTTTATATGGCTTAACAACAGTTAAAAACATGGCGTCGTAATTTATTAAAAATTATGTGCAAATTAAACCGCCCCATGATTAATGTAGTTTAGCTGTTTATACGAGTAAAACGAAAATGCAGAACATGCTAAAAACTAAAAATACAAATATGTATATTTTATGTATAGGTTAACAGTGCAGCGCTTAATTCAGTCCTTACCTGGGATATGGGAGCGGCACGGGAGGGGCTTAGGCCTGTTTTCACCATCAAGTCCTAATTTTTAAGTGACCCCTATGTAAACAAAATTCCTGTTAATTGCTACCATAGGGTTCACTTAAAAATTAGGGATTGATGATGAAAACGGCCATTAGTGTAATAAAACCTAGATAGATAGGTAGTCAGTGCAAGAAAGGTGAGGCAGTTTTTAGGGAGCCGGCACGGGTCACCCGTAAACGTCACATGAACTGTCAAAGTGAAAAATTGGTAAACACGTCCGACGAATTTTAATTAATTAAAACGGTTTGTGCTGTGAAAGGGTGTCTAAAATACATCAGAAAAACGAAAGAAAGTGACCAGTGTTACATTTCATAAGTAAGTACTACAATTCGACGCGTATTTTGCTTGAATTTGGCTTTCAAAAATTAAATACGGAAATGATACCAGTAACAAGAAAATTTATTTCCCAATTGTTCGCCGTACAAATACACTTCCTTTTTTATGAAATCGAGACTTTTAAGTCGATTTATCTTATTGTTATTAGGTAGGTACTTTGAATTCAATAAATAAGTAAGTACATGATGTGTTTTGTTATTGTTAATTATAAAATTATTAAAAACGTATTAAAAATTTCCCTACTTTCGGGAAAATCGCCTTCACTGTCTACACTCCCCAACAAAATTGACACTAATGACATAAGATTTTTGCCTCACTCTTAACGAAGCGTTTGTATGAAGACTATCCATCTAGGTTTTATTAATCTAAGGGTAAAATAAATAAAATATTAAGCTGCATAAAATTGTGTAATTGCTTAGCTTGCTTCTAAGATAATAAATTGTGTTAACATGGACAACTACGGAACCCTACACTGCGCGTGGCACGACACGCACTTGGCCAATTTTTTCAGTAAGCTCTAAGACGCGTTACGAACTTACTACGAACTTAGCCGTAGCAAATATCTAACTTTCAAACACAAAGGCTACGAGACTCGTAGTGACTACGAGGGCTACGGAACGCTACAGTACGTTGCTTTGTTACGAACTTATCCGTAGCATAGTGAATTAATTACCAAGTTGCGATCGCAAAAAATATACGATACATTAACTTTTGTTCTAAAGCTGTTTTGAATGCCTTCGTTATACCGAGGAAGTTTTTTGCTTAGCAAATTAAGTACCTACTGTCGACTGAACTTCAGACATCACATTTTCGCTGCAAAATAAGAACACAATATGTACAACTAAGAAAGGTGCACAATGCTTGTTCCTTTAACGAAAGTAGGCCGTATCAGAATAAAAGTACCTACTACACGCAGACAATCTTGTTCGATGGTAACGGGATCTTTGTATCCGCATCCGAAAAATAGTAAGTTAAATCCATGAACTTTTCATTCAAAAATAAAAGGTGAAGAGAAATGTTAACTATGTCTGTCAAAAAAGCGCACAATACCCATCGCGCGTGTATCCGCTAAAAACCACATCGCGATTCGCTATAAAGACGACGTTTCATCTCACAATTTTTGCTGAGCCTCTTAGTGGGTGAAATAGGTTCTTAGGGATGTCTTATTTTTTAAATAAGTATATCTAATTATACATTATAAATATGGTCGTTTGTCTCCAGATCGCCGTCGTACCGCGCAGCGCGACCGGCGGAGGCCGAGACGTGTCTCACGCAGCGGCCGGAGCCCGAGCGGCCGACCGACGTCAAGGAGAAGAAGCCCCAGCTCAAGGGACCCAGGCCTGTCGGCTCTAGTGTCTCTGGTGAGTACTCTATATTGTCTTTGCTTCTGAAGCTGCCGAAGTTGTTGGAAGGAACATTCTAAAAGCGCATTCACATTTAGGCGATTTAGCGAAGCGCTGGTAGGGTAAAAAGATTATGAGACATGTAGAGGCTCCTTAAGAGCAAAATGACGATTTGTAAGAACTATTTATTAGTCTAAACAAATAAAGAAATTTTGACTTTGACTTTGACTTTAGCAGCGCGACAAACGCGCGACAGACGCGCTGCCGAAAATTTCAAACTAGGTGACAGCTGATGCCTCCCTTCACATTACAAAAACGCCGCTAACCGCGCCGCTGCCGTGCCGGTGCCGCGCTGCTGTCGCGCTACTAATACCCTAATGTGAAAGCTCTCTAAAGGTTTAAAACTCATAAAAATCATTTAATTTGCAAATAAGCTTTTAAAAAGAATTTTCATTCGTCCCAGTATTAACTAGTACCATCAGAAATTACGTTTAGTGACTTACAAAGTGTTTACATTTACAAAATCGTGCGTTAATTTCATAAGTTAGGTACTTACTTATGTGAGTAATACGTTCATCTCAATACAATATCGGTAACTACGACATATTTTTAAAACAGTTTTTGCAAAGATAGAACATGAACAATCTTTGTGGAAGTGTAACTTTGATTTACGCCCAAAATCCGTCACACTTTTAAGGCAATTGCTAAATATTTGCACAAATTATAAATATATTTTTGCAATGGCTTCATAATTTGAGTGAGAAAAGAGATGAATATCTTCTTCGTTCATTTCATTATCACTTCTTTAAATAGCAGATTGAAAGATACGCCTGGTTCTCAGCTTAACAGCTCTGACGCTCTCCATCGAGTGACGTAGTCGTCAGTCGTCACGAATGACGCAGTATCGGAGCTATGACGTAGCTACGTAGGCGAGGTGTGCCTTAAAAGAGCTCTCCAATTTTATTCTAATTTCAATATTTACACTTCCAATGTGAAAGTAACTTTGCCCGTTCGTTTGTTACATTTTCAGGGGCCTTAACGTTAAACCAATATTGATGAATTTATTTATAGAGATAGATTTAACCTGGAAAAAGGATATGGGGCTCCTTTTGTAAATAATTTGGGTGATTAATATAGGGATCTGAAAATTCATATTTACTTATGTAGTTACTAGCTGACATGGCGAAATTCTTGCTACCTATGTATATTTATTAGAACAAAAAGTAAGATTCTAATGCTGAAAGAGTTTTTCAAATCGGTATAGTTAGTTTTGGAGCCTATTCAATACAAACAAACAATCAAATCTTTTCTCTTATAATATTATTTTAGAAGAAATAAAGTGTTTTGTTCGATAACGCGAAATATGAAAGACAATCTGTTTCATTCTGAAAACACGCAATCTATTAAGCCTTTAAGCTCACTTATTCCTAGAAATTCAGACAAAACAACCTTTTCTGTGAAAGTGGGAATTATATTTTCCGGGAGTATAGAAGCGAGTGGGCATTATGTAAAAGAAACCTTATCTTTGTGTACCTTTAAAATAGTCTAAAAATAAAGTTAAATCTTTGTTCAATTTAAATTGGATTTCAAAATCTGGGGTACATTTTGCTTAAAAGGATTCTTTAAAGTAAATTGTAATTAAAATGACAACTAAAGTGTGCGTGGACTTTACCTGCCTAGCTCGCACTTAGTACATAATTTGTAAAATGTTTTTCCTGTATCTATTGATTGAAAAAGAGGCTGACAAAAGTAACTGAGTTTCTTCCGCCACTTCTTCTCAGCACCAGCCCATTATGTTATAAGTGGTGGTAGGGCAAGCTATATTTAGGACGTGTATAAGTGCCCTGAAAATGGCCTACATACTAATAAATATTTTGATTTTGACACCTACATATTTTTCAAAGGTTGACTGGACTACTCATGTCGACTACAAGTCATTTTAAACTTCCAAAAGGTCAAATCCATATCCATTTCATAGTCCACATATTCATAAAATATCAATTTACTTCTTAATTAATGCTAAGTGATCCATAACGAGTACAGTCGGACCGGAATAAGTGATGTTTGGATATTTTTAATCTTTTTATATCATTTCAATAATAATACTCTTTCACGCTACTTTAACTACTAAACGGATTTAGATGATATTTGGTTTGGTTGATAGATTTTTTGAGACCCAATGAAGCCATAATTAAGATAATACAGACTTTCCGTGACAGGCCGAAGTTCAAAGTCTTAGGCAAAAGCCTATTAGGACTATTCCCACCGCTCGTTCCCACTGCTGCAACTCCTGTGTAGCCAGGATCTAGGTACAGCTTGACCGCCAATAAAAAGTATAAAAACTCAACCAGTGAAGGTCAAGTCTGTCCCGGGGGAAAGTTAAACTGTCATTGGACCCGCAACGAAATTAATCAGAAAAACATAGGTGTTCGAAGTTAAGGTTGCAAAGCGGATGACAGGTGACAAACAAAGGTTGAGTAACCTTTACGAAATGATATGCACCACGGACAATAGGGAATCAGGCAAAAGCTAGTCAACTCTACATTTCTATACAGTGTGTATAAGCTCATACTGCTAAAGCGATTAGCCAAGTTCATGGCCAGATGTTGCGTTGAGCAACTGTTGCGCTACTGTAAAAGCCTTGGCAATGTAACATGAATGATCGAACCGATAAGTGGAGCCGGTAGTCGGTAGCTCTACCATAGAGTGCATAGGAAAATTATATGGTGCCTTGTGAAAAGAGGCTGTTTTTGATGAAAATCTGAGGAATTGACCAAGCAACAAAACAATAACGTTGCCACAGCTCTACAGGTGTTTGTTTAATGTAGAGACTCACTCACTGTTTTTTATGTAGGTGACTTCATAGTCAACATCAAAAAATACATTTTGTCAAGATAAGGGTTTATATTCGTCTTTATTTATCACAATGATGCTATCATAGAAAGCTAATAACTATTGCCAATGGTCATAATCATGTCTGCAACAATTTAAATAAAATGTTTAAAATACAACTTTGAGAACTTCTACAACTTCTACAAGAAAAAATTGGATAATTTAGTAGCTTCACTTGCGTTAAGTGAAAGTGCATAATAAAATATTATTCTGTGGTTAAATTAAAACTACTACATTTAGTTAAAAAGAAACATTTACAAACTTTCATTTAATAAGGCAAAGATAACTAGAGGTAATTCTATTAAAAATTACATAAATTATCTATATCTATATCTATCTATACTTATAATAAATCTGTAGAGAGGTCAATTCTGTACATGAAATATATTTTCAAAATAACTATCAGGGGGTGATTAGTGATCGATACTGATGCCAAAAATGCAATCAGTAAAATTTTTGTCTGTCTGTCTGTCTGTCTGTCTGTCTGTCTGTCTGTCTGTCTGTATGTTCCTTATAGAAACAAAAACTACTCGACGGATTTTAACGAAACTTGGTACAATTATTTTTCATACTCCTGGGCAGGTTATAGGATACTTAGAAATTCCCACGGGAACGGGCATTAGCGGGAAAATCCTTTTGTATGAAAAATCTAAACCGCTTAAGTTAGACGCTTGAAATTTGGCAAGCAGGTACCTTAGTAAACTTTAAGCTTAGTTATATCAGGATATTGCAAAATTCCTACGGGAACGGGAATTAGCGAGAAAAAACATTTGTATGAAAAAATCTAAGCCACGTAACATAGACGCTTGAAATTTGGCATGCAGGTACCTTAGTAAATTTTAAGCTTAGTTACAACAGGATATTGCAAAATTCTCACGGGAACGGGAGTTCGGGAAAAAACATTTGTATGAAAATATCTAAACCGCGTAAGTTAGACGCTTAAAATTTGGCATGCAGGTACCTTAGTAAACTTAAAGCTTAGTTACAACAGGATATTGCAAAATTCCAACGGGAACGGGAGTTAGCGGGAAAAAACATTTGTATGAAAAAATCTAAACCGCGTAAGATAGATGAAGGGGGTAAAATGGGATCCACGCGTACGAAGTCGCGGGCGGCCGCTAGTGATAAATAAAATTATTCCCCTGACTTTACATCATATTTACATTCCATGGCTATACGCCAGGGGTGGCCAACCGGTCGATCGCGATCTACATGATTGTGTACTAAACTATGCTGTTTTATTTCAAGATTTCAAGAAGTATGTAAGTGGCAGATACCAAGGATTTCGTTAATAAACACTAGATCTTATGTCTTATCAAATTGGCCACCCCTGCTATACACCATACACAGTCTACGAGTATATTAGAATAGCCAATGCTAAGTGATGCTACAAGTTCATTAATTGAGATAGAGTAACTATGTACTTAGGTACATACATCTTCGTGGTGGGGTGGTTTAATTACTTTTATGCTTTCGAAGCATTGTTTCATACATTAGCTTATTACTTCCCGCCTGTTAGCTAAATGTGCCTTTTGTAATCTACAAAGTTAGCTAAGTACGTAGTTGTAACCTTTGCCGTTCTCTTTCGGTCATTTATTTTAATTATTTATTCGCCATGCTCTGAAAAACTGTTTTAATGAGTAAAAAAAGTTAAATTAATAAAAAAAACCTATATAATTTAGCACTTTGTGTCTTCGCGGACTACATACTATATTATCCGGTAGTTTAAAGGTGCTGTTAATCGGGTAGGTATAAACCAACTTGTATGAAAGTATGCACATACACCACCGATTCCTCTACAAATAAGAAGCCGAGCAAACTATCGACCGACAAAAGTCTGCAATATGTGCTCTTGGTACCCACAAAAAACGTCTTATACTCGTACAATAATAAACATGATACTGAATGGAAGTAGTCAGAAAAGTCTCTGGACAAAAGTCCCTCAATAAAGACCGTTAAAAAATTTCTTTTATCTCCTTTCAGACTCCATATCGCTCTCATCTCCCGTGGCGTGTGCATCTCCCCGCGAAGATGTGGAGGGTCCTCCCATGCCGGTCAACGTGGCGTCCCTGCCGGAGGAGCACCGCGCCTCGCTCCTGGGAAGACTGCCCGGACAGAGGCTCAGGCGGCGCCGCGCCATGCTCATATATGTCTGCGCTGCTGACTCGCAAGGTGGGGACTAGAAATAGCAGCAGAGTATTTGATTCGGAATGAACGCGATAGATGGCGCTTTTCCTGCTAGGCTGGTGACGGTAGATGGTGTTATTCTGCTGGACCAGCTGCCCTGGCATAGGCTCAGGCGGCGCCGCGCCATGCTGATATACGTCTGCGCTGCTGATTCACAAGGTAAAACAGCAGAGTACAACTTGATTCGGTGCGCTTACGGTAGATGGCGCTATACCTTCTGGGCAGGCTGCTGGGGCAGAGGCAAGATGGGTTTGCTGGAAACAGCAACGGTGTAGTTAATGTAGAGTTAGCGCGATAGATGGCATTGCCTTGCTGGGCCGGCTGCCGAGGCAGGCTCAGGGGGCGCCGCGCCATGCTGATATACCTCTGCGCTGCTGACTCGCAAGGTGGGCTTGCTGGAAACAGCAGCAAAGTACAACTTGATCCGATGGGTATAAGGTAGATGGCGCTGACTCGCAAGGTAAACAGCAGCAGAGTACAACTTGATTCGGTGCGCGTACGGTAGATGGCGCTACACCTTCTGGGTAGGCTGCTGGGGCAGAGGCAAGGTGGGTTTGCTGGAGACAGCAACGGTGTTGTTGATGTAGAGTTAGCGCGATAGATATCATTGACTTGCTGGGCCGGCTGCCCGGGCAGAGGCTCAGGCGGCGCCGCGCCATGCTCATATACGTCTGCGCTGTTGACTCGCAAGGTGGGGACTAGAAATAGCAGCAGAGTATTTGATTCGGAATGAACGCGATAGATGGCGCTTTTCCTGCTAGGCTGGTTACGGTAGATGGTGTTATTTTGCTGGACCAGCTGCCCTGGCATAGGCTCAGGTGGCGCCATGCCATGCTGATATACGTCTGCGCTGCTGTCTCGCAAGGTACAGCAGCAGAGTACAACTTGGTTCGGTGCGCGTACGGTAGATGGTGCTATACCTTCTGGGCAGGCTGCTGGGGCAGAGGCAAGGTGGGTTTGCTGGAAACAGCAACGATGTAGTTGATGTAGAGTAAGTGCGATAGATGGCATTGCCTTGCTGGGCCGGCTGCCGAGGCAGGCTCAGGGGGCGCCGCGCCATGCTGATATACCTCTGCGCTGCTGACTCGCAAGGTGGGCTTGCTGGAAACAGCAGCAGAGTACAACTTGATCCGATGGGTATAAGGTAGATGGCGCTGACTCGCAAGGTAAACAGCAGCAGAGTACAACTTGATTCGGTGCGCGTACGGTAGATGGCGCTACACCTTCTGGGTAGGCTGCTGGGGCAGAGGCAAGGTGGGTTTGCTGGAAACAGCAACGGTGTTGTTGATGTAGAGTGAGCGCGATAGATGGCATTGACTTGCTGGGCTGACCGCCGGAGCAGAGGCTCAGGCATAAGTATACGTCTGCGCTTCTGATTCACAAGGTTAAAGCTAGAAAGAAATAGCAGCAGAGTACAACTTGATCCGATGGGTATAAAGTAGATGGCGCTGACTCGCAAGGTAGGGACTGCAGCAGAGTACAAAGGGATTCGGTGCGCGAACGCTAGATGGCGTTATCAATGATGCTGGCTTTACGCTAGCACATCTACGTATGCGCTGCAGACTCACAGAATGGGCTTGCTGGAAACAGCAACGGTGTAGAAACAGGAACTGTGAAATAGTACCTTCTGCCCCGTCCAATCTACATCAACTAGATTGTACAGGATAGAGGGCACTATTTCGTAGTTCCGACTACCAGAGGCTGCGGCGACGCCTTCTACCCTCGATGGCTGTAATTTCAAAGTTGGTTAAACTTTGAAACTGCAAGTAAGTTAGCTCTTGCCGACTCTTACTATCGCGAAGGTTCATTACTTTTTACATGGCGGTGGTACCGATCTTGTAAGAAAGTTGTCTTATCATGATCTATTGCAGACATGCCTTCTATTAGAATGAACGCTGACCAGATATAGTTTAGCTAAACTGTGGAATGATAGGTACTCTTCTAGTTTTGATTTAGCCGTAATTTTACCTCTACTATTCGTTCCCAGATTGCTGCGCGGAGAAAGGCGCGCTGCAATGCGGCGCGGCGGCACGATTACGCGCTCGTGCTCGCGGTCGCGGCTGGCGAGTGCACGTGGCCGACCTCCACTGGCGCTCGCCGCTGGAGCAGCAGCGCGACCACCGCTTCCCCGTGCTCTGTATAGCTGAGCTTGCACGTGAGTTGTACTAAAGTCCGGTCGCCGAACAGATAAAATATCTTCCAATGACCCCAAGCTACTCATCCTTATCATTCGCACGTAATTATATTGCTGTGGCGGCTGTGCGACGGGCGGCCGCAGTGAGTACCACAACAGTAAGTTATGCTACAACCTTCAGGGTTGAGGCTACTTTACTACATCATACACGCAGCGTGTAAGTGGCCGCGGCTGGCGAGTGCACGTGGCAGACCTGCACTGGCGCTCGCCGCTGGAGCAGCAGCGCGACCACCGCTTCCCCGTGCTTTGCATAGCTGAGCTTGCACGTAAGTTGTGTTAGAACCATTAGGGACTCAAGGTTAATGCCACTTTTTCACATACGCACACTTCACAAATTCACACTCACAACGCTTATTTTTTAGAAGTCGCCGCTGGAGCAGCAGCGCGACCACCACTTCCCCGTGCTCTGTATAGCTGAGCTTGCACGTAAGTTGTACTAAAGTCCAGTCGCCGAACAGATACAATTTCGTCCAATGACCCCAAGCTACTCATCCTTATCACTCGCACGTAAAATTATATTTCTGTCGCGACTGTGCAATGGGCGGCCGCAGTGAGTGTGCGAGCGCAACAGTAAGTTATGCTAGTAGAACCATCAGGGATAATGCTACTTTAGTAAATCATACACGCAGCGTGTAAGCGGCCACGGCTGACATGTACACGTGGCTGGTCTACACTGGCGCTCGCCGCTGGAGCAGCAGCGCGACCACCGCTTCCCCGTGCTCTGTATAGCTGAGCTTGCACGTAAGTTACGCTAAAACCATTAGGGACTCAAGGTTAAAGCCACTTTTCCACATACGCACACTTCACAATTTCATTCTCACAACGCTTAAATTTTAGAGGTCGCCGCTGGAGCAGCAGCGCGACCACCGCTTCCCCGTGCTCTGTATAGCTGAGCTTGCACGTAAGTTGTACTAGAACCATCAGGGACTCAAGGTTAAGGCCACTTTTCTACACGCACACTTCACAGTTTCACACTCACAACATGTGCTCACAACGCTTAACTATTATGGGTTAAGGCTACTTTTAGAGGTCGCCGCTGGAGCAGCAGCGCGACCACCGCTTCCCCGTGCTCTGTATAGCTGAGCTTGCACGTAAGTTACACTAGAACCATTAGGGACTCAAGGTTAAGGCCACTTTTCTACACGCACACTTCACAGTTTCACACTCACAACATGTGCTCACAACGCTTAACTATTATGGGTTAAGGCTACTTTTAGAGGTCGCCGCTGGAGCAGCAACGCGATCACCGCTTCCCCGTGCTCTGTATAGCTGAGCTTGCACGTAAGTTGTGTTAGAACCATTAGGGACTCAAGGTTAAAGCCACTTTTTCACATACGCACACTTCACAAATTCACACTCACAACGCTTATTTTTTAGAAGTCGCCGCTGGAGCAGCAGCGCGACCACCGCTTCCCCGTGCTCTGTATAGCTGAGCTTGCACGTAAGTTGTACTAAAGTCCAGTCGCCGAACAGATACAATTTCGTCCAATGACCCCAAGCTACCCATCCTTATGACTCGCACGTAATTATATAGCTGTCGCGACTGTGCAATGGGCGGCCGCAGTGAGTGTGCGAGCGCAACAGTAAGTTATGCTAGTAGAACCATCAGGGATAATGCTACTTTAGTACATCATACACGCAGCGTGTAAAGGCACGTGGCCGACCTGCACTGGCGCTCGCCGCTGGAGCAGCAGCGCGACCACCGCTTCCCCGTGCTCTGTATAGCTGAGCTTGCACGTGAGTTGTACTAAAGTCCGGTCGCCGAACAGATAAAATATCTTCCAATGACCCCAAGCTACCCATCCTTATGACTCGCACGTAATTATATAGCTGTCGCGACTTTGCGACGGGCTGCCGCAGTGAGTGTGCGAGCGCAACAGTAAGTTATGCTAGAACCTTCAGGTTTGAGGCTACTTTACTACATCATACACGCAGCGTGTAAGTGGCCGCGGCTGGCGAGTACACGTGGCTGATCTACACTGGCGCTCGCCGCTGGAGCAGCAGCGCGACCAACGCTTCCCCGTGCTCTGTATAGCTGAGCTTGCACGTAAGTTGTGTTAGAACCATTAGGGACTCAAGGTTAAGGCCACTTTTCTACACGCACACTTCACAGTTTCACACTCACAACATGTGCTCACAACGCTTAACTATTATGGGTTAAGGCTACTTTTAGAGGTCGCCGTTGGAGCAGCAGCGTGATCGCCGCTTCCCCGTGCTCTGTATAGCTGAGCTTGCACGTAAGTTGTACTAAGTCCAGTCGCCGAACAGATACAATTTCGTCCAATGACCCCAAGCTACCCATCCTTATGACTCGCACGTAATTATATAGCTGTCGCGACTGTGCGACGGGTGGCCGCAGTGAGTACCGCAACAGTAAGTTATGCTAGAACCTTCAGGGTTGAGGCTACTTTACTACATCATACACGCAGCGTGTAAGTGGCCGCGGCTGGCGAGTACACGTGGCTGATCTACACTGGCGCTCGCCGCTGGAGCAGCAGCGCGACCAACGCTTCCCCGTGCTCTGTATAGCTGAGCTTGCACGTAAGTTGTACTAGAACCATCAGGGTCGAAGCCACTTTTCCCCAGACTTACAATTAACACCGAATTGGAACCCTCAAAGAATACGTAAACGTGGTCGCCCCAAAGAAACTTGGCGGCGCACTGTAGCAGACGAGGCGAAGAAAATTGGCAAGACTTGGAGCGTGATCAAAAGCGAAGCTCAAGACCGAACGCGAAGGAGGACTATTGTGGGCGCCTTCTACCCCATTTAAGAGACATAGGAAATTAAGTCACATTTGACACACCACTGAACCATCAGGGTAAAAGTTGCTTTTCCACATACAGATATCATGGTTTCCGTCCCTCGAATCTTTAATATCTCTCACATACACCACTTGTTGAACAGGCTAAAATGCGTCATCCTTTTCCACATGACCAATAAGGTATAAGGCAGCAGTAAACGACGTGTTGTCGCGGCATTACTGATTTTACGTATTTCTATTAATTACTATCCACCTGTTGCGAGGAGTAGGCTGCAAACCTATACTTATGAATACTTTATCTCTTGTACATGGTCTTGAATGGCGACCACCAGCCGGAAGACGTAGTATGGACAGGCCCCCCACTAGGTGAACGATCTGGTGTAGGTCGCGGGCGGTACCTGGGATGCGGGCGGCGCAAGACCGGACGTTGTGGAAATCCATGGGTCCAAACGAACGAACGAACATGGTCTCGGCCACCAGCCTTTGCTTGGCTGGACTTTGGTCCAACACCGCGGTGGGCAACCCTCTAAGTAGTTGGGTTCGCCACTGATCGGGCGCCTTATGCGCTCGATACGGCCCGATCGCGAACGTAGGTCTGCGACCGACGCGGACGAGCCTGGGCTTCGCTTCGCTAAGCCCACACTCGGCCTCGTCGGCACGCGCACCGACGATCGCCAAACGGCTAGAGTACCTTCTGTACTCGCCACTCTGCCCGGTGAAGCTGGAAAAGCTCTTCAAGCTACCAGCGCGCGTCCAGTAAAAACAATGTCTCGGCCAGGCAGTTTTGCAGTTTATTCCAAAATAACATCAAAATTTCTTCTTCTTCCTCCTGCAGGCCAGTCAGAGCTGGGCGCGGTGGTGCCGGTGCTGTTCCTGAACTCGGGGCTGGGCACGCCGCTGCTGCCGCACACGCTGGAGTGCGCCGACTTCAAGGCCGCGCTGGACGCCGCCGACGACGACAACGACAAGGCTCTGTTGAACAAATGGTAAGAACATACTTGGAAACTTCTATGACAAAGGCACCTTTTCTCACCAAAATTCTTCACATTATGACACAAGTTTTTTTGGCAAGGCAGGTATTTGACCACAATCGCACCTGATGTTAAGTGGGATGCCATCTAGGATGGTACCATATCTGCCCTGTAAGTGCCTATTCACTCTCGCCTTGAAAAGACCCGGATTATAGTCGTCATGTAGTAAGGTACTTTATTGCCCCTAGGCCCCACTCATCGCTTCCAATCGCGATGTGTGTAGCCAAATAATATTCGCGTATACCTACTTCGGTGCTTTTTTGCATAATCGCAAGAACTACGCGCTGTTGATGCCCGAATTTTCTGTGACCACACCACAACCGTTTTTGAGGGTTCGTTCGGTCCAAGTGCGGATGCACGGGATTTACCTGGATGCGGAGCGGAGTTGCGAACTGTATTTAACCTATGAGGAGCTTAGTTTGCTCCGCTGGAGCTTCCTCACTCCTATTCCTTACTGACCGTCCTCGCGTATTAGCTTCACTTCCCGGCTTTATAGAACTTTTCCCAACTCCCTATCAACTGAAAAGGAGCGGTGATTTTATGCATTCTATTGGTGGATTTTTACCTCGCTCATCGCTTCCCTTTCTCATAAACAAGTTATTCTAACTCTATTCTTACTTCACAGGTACAGCCTAGACTCGAGCACGACGCCGCCATGCTACCGGCTGGTGCGAGGTGCGCCCGCGCGCTGGCGCCGCGAGATGGCGCGAACGCTCAGTGTTTTAGTGCGCACGCTGCCACAGGAGGCCTGCGACGCTTACCTCACCACCGTCGTCGAACAGGTACCTTGTTAGTTAGTTAGTTAGTTTTGCAGGGCAATCGAATACCGCACTTAGCCTCATGATTGGGTCATTGTGAGCGATTTGTGGTTTATCTTCCTACTCCAACCACCTCAGATCCCCCAGAAGGCAAGCAGCCCATCTAGGCTGCTGCAGGCCTCCTGCAGCGACGATGGTGATTGGAGAAATTGAGCCCGTTGTTCTGCTACGCTGCTGCATTCCGTGAGCACATGCTGCGGTGTTTCTTCTGCCTCCATGCATCCCCTGCACAGTAGGCTCTCTGTTATGTAGGTGCTATGTTGTGTAGGTGCTGTTTTAACACTCAGGACCTTGCGGATGCCCTGTTTAGTCTGATGAGGCTGCGGGAGAACTTTTTCGATACGTCCGGAACCGCATCTTTTGTTTGCTTGCACCCTTCGCTATTTCCATTCCATTTCGTGTGGTGTTTCTCAAGGTCACCCAAAGGGCGATGGAGCGGGCTATGCTCGGAGTTTCCCTGCGTGATCGAATCAGAAATGAGGAGATCCGCAGGAGAACCAAAGTAACCGACATAGCTCGCAGAATTGCTAAAATCAAGTGGCAGTGGGCGGGGCACATAGCTCGTAGAGACGATGGCCGTTGGGGCAGGCAAGCTCTCGAGTGGCGACCACGGGCTGGAAGACGTAGCGTGGGCAGGCCTCCTACTAGGTGGACCGACGATCTGGTAAAGGTCGCGGGAAGAGCCTGGATGCGGGCAGCGCAGGACCGTTCATTGTGGAGCAGTGGACGTCATTTGGCTGAAAAAAAAGTGGTGTTTTTAACAATGTGTGAAGGTCCTTTACTTATTTTTTTATGTCTCTCTGTCCCCAGGAAGTCCAGCACACAGTGCTAATGAGCGTGGAAGCAGCGCGGCGCTGTGTTTGGGTGTGGCGCGCGGGCGCGGGCGCGGCGGGCGCGGGGGCGGGGGACGCGGAGCCCGCTGACCACGCCCACCACAGCGAGCTGCAGCGCCGGCTCAACAACGTGCAGAAGGACCTCAAGGTTTGTGTCAACAGCCAGTTACTACTGAATGCAGGAGTTACAACGCCGGCTCAACAACGTGCAGAAGGACCTCAAGGTTTGTGTCAACAGCCAGTTACTACTGAATGCAGGAGTTACAACGCCGGCTCAACAACGTGCAGAAGGACCTCAAGGTTTGTGTCAACAGCCAGTTACTACTGAATGCAGGCAGAAGGACCTTAAGGTTCGTGGGGCAACAGCCAGTTACTACTGAATGCAAGAGTTACAACGCCGGCTCAACAACGTGCAGAAGGACCTCAAGGTTTGTGGGGAAACAGCCAGTTACTACTGAATGCAGGAGTTACAACGCCGGCTCAACAAAGTGCAGAAGGACCTTAAGGTTCGTGGGGCAACAGCCAGTTACTACTGAATGCAGGAGTTACAACGCCGGTTCAACAACGTGCAGAAGGACCTCAAGGTTTGTGTCAACATCCAGTTACTACTGTATGCAGGAGTTACAACGCCGGTTCAACAACGTGCAGAAGGACCTCAAGGTTTGTGGCGCAACACCAAGTTACTACTACTCTACTATCCAGGAAGTAGTAGTAAGAAGAAGGAAAGCAGTACATGAAGGAAGTGTTAACTGTCGTCTAGTGGTAAGGGGTAAGTAAGTTGTGTGGTCTAGTGGTAAGGAAACATACTGCCACCACCATTAGCTGTAGCGCCGGCTGAATAACGTGCAGAAGGACCTCAAGGTTTGTGGGGCAACATCATCATCATAGGCGTCCCCTCCCTAAGGATTTCTAGATTGACCTGATGGTAGCAGACTGCATCCTTGCAACCATTATAAGAAACCAACCAAAATCAAAACTAAGCATGTCGAATGTCCATCACCTTTGTCGTTTACCTTAGCCAAGTGATCAAATTTTGAGAGTAAGTAATCATTCGTCGATAAACCTAAATAAGAAAGTCTAATAACAGTGATCACCGATGCTAATCTACTGAAACATGGCCTCTCACTATAGGTAAGTCATATATAAAAAGCTCAAAGTTGCAGCGTGCTAGAGAGGTCCATGCTATGTTGCCTATGTTATAGATACTATGAAAGAAACACTTTACGAGATCGAATCAGGAATGATCCACAAATAAGTTAACATTAACATCAAGTCTTAAGTAGTTACCACGAAATGCCATTTCCTCAATCAATTTTGTACCTCTTGCTAATAAAAATAAACTTTAAAATTATCAATTAGTTAATACCAATTCTCTTCCCAGCTGCACCTAAGCGAGCGTAACATAATTCGCGCGAGCGTTCGCGGGCGAGCGGCGGCCGACGACGACTACACGGAGAGCGTTCGCGCGGCGCTTGGCGAGCGACTCGACGCGTTGCTCGACGCCCTTATAGCGGACAATGAGATGCCGGCCGGGTATAATGGGATACCTACTAGGTGAGATTCGTTCATCATCTTTTTCATCAACGTCATCATCATCATTAGGTATTTAGTTTTTACTGGGACAATCCCCAATCCGTCCCCCGGACACGGCCTGAGCCGAGGTCCGAGCCTACCGTGGCGCCCTCAGGCCGCGTCCGTAGTCCCCTCGATCGGGCCCACTAGAGTGAGCCCGCCGTAGGCTGGACTTTGGTCCAACACCGCGGTGGGCAACCCTCTAGTTGGGTTCGCCACTGATCGGGCGCCTTATGCGCTCGATACGGCCCGATCGCGAACGTTGGTCTGCGACCGTCGTCGACGACTCGTCGGCACACGCACCGACGATCGCCAAACGGCTAGAGTACCTTCTGTACTCGCCACTCTGCCCGGTGAAGCTGGAAAAGCTCCTCAAGCTAACAGCGCGCGTCCCTTAAAAAAAAAACTGGGACAAGTAACAGTGTTTTTACTGGGACAGGTAATGTGTGTGTCAGCAATAGTCGCGAAGTCTCCACTGTAGAAGCGACCCGCTCAAAGCTAGAAGTAAATGGAGAATCAGACCTATGCACACCAGGCTGTTTAGAGCCTGCTGATTGCATTTTGTCTTTTTATCGTCTCTTTTGACTTCCATTGGAAGAGTGATGCCCGTTTTCACCATCAATCCCTTATTTTTAAGTGACTCCTATGGTAACACGTAACAGGAATTATGTTTTCATAGGGGTCACTGAAGAATTAGGGATTGATACTGAAAACGGGCATGAAACATTTATATTACAAATTAACGGTCAAAATTCAATTCAAATCTCCATTCCATCCTATTAAAACGCGATCTAATTTACAGACAGCGCCATCTCTCGGTAGATGTTTGCATATCTCGTGTGTATATTAAATTGCACCTTACCCCATGTAAATAACGTTTGTTTTTGTTTGCAGTTTATTCGACGAGATCAGCGAACACCTCTCGTTCTGTCAGAAAGCGGCGCAATGTACTTCCAATAGAGAAATCACCTTGAACGAGCTCAAATCGTAAGTGCAAGACATTAGTCTTACCCCAAAAAACCCCAAGCGGTCGCAAAAGATCGCTAGCGAATTGATAAAGTTTAAGCGTCAACCACACCAACTCGTGCAGATTGCCATCGCCGGCGTGACATTAGGCCAATGACAGGTCGTGGGACCCATGACAGTCCGCGCGACCTGTCATTGGCCTACTATGATCTGCCCGCGTTGGTGTGGTTTAAGCGTAAATAGCTTTAATATGAGTTCAAGAAGACGTGCCGCTAAAGTTCGACTTTATAACTCGACAAGATTATATCGTGGCAAGCATCCTACGTAGCCTGGCAGATTATTACAGCTATTACAAGTAAAATTCCAAGATATCCCAGTATGATGTGTTATCGTTCTTACAGGGCAGTATCGTCTATCTGTATCTTCTTTAGGCTCTCGATTACTGACAACGCCACTCTTGTAGCGGAGTTTTGGACTGACAATGTATAGGTATATTGTCGAAATGTTGTTAGAGTTGGGAAACGGATCAATGACGGATATAAAAGAACGAAGGGGTAGGCAGAACTATTGGATCCGTGTTATGTGTTTGTAAAAACACGATTTATATTATAAAATTAAGCAGCGCTTAGTTCGTTCTTTCTGCGCTCTTTTCTTCTTCTTTTATTTTGGCAACGACTTGTAGAAAAACATGATTTTGCGTTCTCTTTGCAGGTATATAACAGGGGACAGTAACATCCCCCTCGCCCTGATAGGGGGTGCCGGCTGCGGGAAGGCCACGCTGGTGGCCCGGGCCGTCAGCCTCGCGCCGCAGTGCCAGCAGGATCTGGCCGTCATTGTCAGGTAAATCTAATCAAAAAGATTTTTTCAGTTTTGACCATTATTTTAGCACTTATTGGCAGGTTGGCTAAGTAAGAAAAATCTCCAGTAAATCATCATCATAACCTCATCAACCTAGTGTTTATTACAGAAGTACGAACGCGATCCTCTCTAGTCAGGTAGGCTTTTTGGCCAAGGTAGCCTTTCGAAGTAGCTTGGGGTCATTGGACAAAATTCTACGTGCTCGGAGACCGGGCTTTATACAATTGCAACTTGCAGTGGTAGGGAGAGAGATTGGATTAGTTAGTAGGGAGCAATATAACATGGGACAGCAACATACCCCTCACCCTCATAGGCGGCGCCGGCTGCTGGAAGACCACGCTGGTAGCCCGGGCCGTCAGCCTTGCACCGCAGTGCCAGCAGGATCTGGCGGTTATTGTCAGGTACTCAACATCATCAGGGTATTTAGTCAAATTTACGGAAGCACGACCGTCTTTTGACAGTGGGAAATGGAGCACGACGCCACACGCCAAAAAAAATTTTCCTAAATAACAAAATTAATAAAATCCCAATAAATTAAAAATGTTTTTCTTCGGCACTGATAGTAGGATAGAATGATTTGTTGAGAACTTGAGACTGCAAACACTGCAAATGACAAAACCTTAGGCGATTTTAGGATTGGTGTGGTGAACCTGGCCGTAAAAAACTGTTTCTGTTTTTTTGTTTTATTTTCGATTCGATATTGTTTTCTCATAGCGTTTTGGGCTTTTCATAAAATTAAAATGTTTCTTTACAACCAAATCATAAATAAAATTCTGGCCTTCTGTCAACGAAATATTATTATCTTCGTCTTTCATTAATGGTTCTGATTAATTAAGGTTTCAGTGATCTATGTGTTAATGGTAGAATTTGAACGTGATATTTAATTTTGTTACAGGTTCGTAGGGCTGACTCCGCAGTCCAGCAGCTCGCACCAGCTGCTGAAGTCGATAGTGGACCAATGCTACGTGCTGTACACCGGCTCCGTCTACAGGGGACGCAATGTAAGTTCACAGTCTTCATGGTATTTACTGCATGCAACACTCCCATAAGCAATTTAGACAATGGTATGCGGATTATTTTATTTATTATTTATTTATTTATTATTCATTATTGAGCAATTACATATTTGATCCAAATAGCGTCCTAAATCCTCTTTAGGTTTGTCTAGACGCTATTGTTCTCTATACAAATAAAAACAAACGTTTTAGTATAAGCATTCATAACACTTTCAAATATTATACAAAACATTATTTTAGCGAGTGCGCACTACGATCACAGACTACGATGACGAAAGACTCGACGTTCGATCGCGATCGCAGACCGGTTGGGTACGCATTCTGCCTGGGGTTCGATTTATTGATGTAAAGATGTACTTAACACCTTTGCTGCGGCAGTAACTTTCTAATACTTTCCATTCCTTCGGTACAAGGTCAGTAAACCTGGTATTAAAACTTACATTGTGGCGGCACAAGGCTTAAAGACCTTGTAATATTTAAGATATATTAATTTTATTTTTGGCTTCATATCAATAGATATTGTGTTTTTTCTCTTTGAATATTAACAATAATGCATTTATTGACATACACCTGAAGGCGTCCGTGAATAACTTGTTTAGTTTAAAAATTATAGCTATATTCAAAATACAAGGCTTATGCACCCTGTGCCGCACTGAAGTAGAGAAGTCTGGTGGGTATTCTAGGGATGTGAAATACAAATATCGATAGTTTAAATTAAGTTTTAATAAAAATTTAAAAAAGTAACAAACAAAGATGTTTTAATAATTTAGTCTAAATATTTTACAAATAAGACATACGTGCATAAATACTTAAATAAGCTATATTTAAAGAAAACATATTATTTAATAACATTTAGTTACAACTTCAAATGTTTGTCACGAAAAACATTATTTAAATTAGCAATAAATCGTGTAGCAAATTAAATTATAATCAATTTGCAGTTTTGATTTTGTTTGTTTCTCTTGACGCCATGTCGACATGTGCGTTTCTTACGAATGCGAGGCAACACTGGCTGCACGAAGCTAGCGTGGGGTGCGGTACCAGGTGCGCAGGGTACAAGGTGCTTCGACCTGGTTTCGCATTGTAAAGACATTTTATTACTTCCGTGCGGTACCAGGTCTAAAAACCTGGTATTAAGGTAGGTACATCATTGGATTCTATTTTAAGAATACATCATAGATATATATTCATCACTTTCCTACACCGGACCCAATTGAAGTTATGCCTTTCGCACGACAAGGAAGACTATAATTTTCTTAGCCGCACGGTAAGCGAGACGTACACAAGGTCTATAGACCTGGTTTCGCACTCAACGTGTTAAATGGTGTATCTGTTACGGTTAATGTGATAAATTGAAAATTATTAATAATAACCGGTTATTATGAATAATTCCCGACAGTCGCGGTGAAAGTGATAAATTAATCACATTTAACAGTGATTATTTAATAATTCAACCTTAGTACTAACAAATTTCATAAAAGAGAACAACATCTTGTGTACGTGTTCGTGTACAGCCAAACTTTTGAACGTTTTGATATCATATATTAATATAATTTGGCATAATGAGTTTGGAATGTTTCTTGCATACTATTACTTTTCCATGATGCCTATAACATAATGTTTTGATTTAAAGTGAAAAATAGGTTAAGGTGCGGCGGGGGGGGGCCCTTGGGGCCACCCCTAAGCCGCCTATTTAGTTTTATACACACATAAATGACCTCATATTAATCACATTTACCAAATCATGCGGTAATTATTCATAATAACCGGCGATTATTCATAATTTTCACATTTATCAGTTTGACCGTAACATATCTATAGTTTCTTAAGCAGCGGTTTTTAGTCTGTTATTGTTTCACTGTATGTTTTCCGAATAAAAAAAAGCTTTGGCTGTTTTTCCCTGTGTTTAGGTACTATGTTTATTGTCCGGTAGCTCAAGAGTTGACCAACGTGAATATAATTTATACTTACAATAAACCACGCCTACCTACGCCTTCACTCGATATTGTGACATCGAGATGACATAAACCAATACCAAGACGCACTTATTGAGACAACTTTTTGGGATCAAATAATAAGTCAATATGGATGACAATCGCAGTACATATTTACAACTCCTTTAGACTATTACGGGCGGGTAAAAATCTCGTCACCGCGATGCAGGTTGTACGTAAGAACAGGGCAGCGCCATCTAGTGATAACCCATACTTAAATAAAATTACTTTTACAATTATGCAATATGTTTTATAAGTTTTTATATTGGTGGCAGGACGCTCAATCGCTGGGCGGCGCCCTGCGTCGCGCGCTAGCTGGTCTAGGGCGGGCGCGGCCGGTGCTTCTAGCTGTAGTTGGTGCAGACGCCCTGCGCGGTGCCCGATGGCTGCCCGAGCGGCTGCCTGATAACGTCAAGATGATCGTCACCGTCACCGAAGGTACACATTCATGTTTCAGGCTTCGATCTTCCTTTCAACCAGTAGCGGCGTAAGGGGGGGGCGGTGGGGGCGGTCCGCCCCGGGTGCCAAGCATCAGGGGGTGACACAAGTCGCGCAGATTGGTACTCACTGGCGCATCTGCATGGCAAGTCTGCGGTCTGTATCATGATACGGGGGAGGGTGCGATTGTCTTTCAATCTTCGAATCGGTAGGTAAAACCCCAAAATCCTGGGGGGTACCAGGGGGTGCCTTCGGACTTATGACAAGGGGGAGGGGGGTGATTGCCCCGGGTGCCAACCCATGCTACGCCGCCACTACTTTCAACCACCTTATGATGTACACTTCTAGATGAAGTCCAGGTGCAAACAAAATGGTTCTCTCTTGGAAGATTGGAGTCGACCGAATAAGTCTTGACATCGATATCACTTTTCACTTTCTGGAAAAAAGTATTATTATTATTAGGGGCCGTCCATAAATTACGTCATCGATTTTTTCAGATTTTAGACCCCCCCCCCTACAATCATCCTATCGTCATTTCTTAATGACCCCCCCCCCCTATATCCCTGAATGAGTGCTTTTGAGTGTTTTTGTCCCGATGTAGACTTCCACCACTCAATAGCCTCTTGTTTGCAGAGGGCGGTTAGTAGCGTGGTGGCTCGTTGTTTGGTAATGCCACAGAACGGTTCTACGCCGATTTGAGGGTTATCGGCTCCATCTCTGGCGAGTTCATCTGCTACTTCGTTTCCTTCTATATTCGAATGTCCTGGTACCCATGTAAGCGTTACTTTGTTGGTATTTCCCAGTGCATTCAGTGTCTCGGTGCATGTTTGCACCAATTTTGACGTGTATTCGAAGGATGTTAAGGCCAGCAGTGCTGCTTGGCTGTCTGAGTTGATGTAGATGTGTTGATCCTGGAGCTTCCTTTCCAAGTTTATCTCTGCACATTTGTTTATGGCAAAGACCTCGGCTTGGAAGATTGAGGCTTCCGTCCCCATGTTTAGGCTAACTTTGAGCTTAGGCCTCTCTCCGTAGATCCCGCAACCTACATTATTTTCCTTTTTGGATCCGTCCGTGTACCAGACGTGACTACCTTCCTTAAATGACATTTGGCCTTCTAGCCATTTGTCTCTAGGAGGTATGTTTACGGAATATAGTTTGGTGAAGTTACATTCCGTATGCATGTCGTCACTGGGCATGCACAGAAGTTTGTTTTCAAGTACTGATTCCTTGAGTCTTATCAGATTTTGAGAAGCCCATCTGACTTTCGTGCGGGTGCAGATTCTATATGTGCTCTGCTTGGCTTCTTTTTGCACATGCATATGCAGTGGTATAAGATCCAGCAGAGCATTTAATGCAGCCCCTGGTGTCGTTGATAGTGCTCCGGTTGGTTGGTGGAAAAAAGTAACCTAGCGCTGAAAATCGAGTTAATTTTTAATTTGCAGTATTGCGTGTAGTCAGTAGCTTTGAGCGTATTTAGTTACTGTGCCTATTTTCCAGTGACCGACTTCACTTTATTTGTTAAACTTTGACAAATTCATAGTGCGTCAGCCCTTCATCGATCAGACGAGGAACGTATTCTATCTTGACGCCATTTTAGTAAAAAAGATTTAGAGGTCTAAAGAGTCCACAATGTGGACCAACGACCTCATAAAGGTAGCGGGAGACGCTGGGTGCTCGCCGCTGCCAATCGGTCATTGTGGAAGTCATTATTATTGGGGTAGGCCTATGTTCAGCAGTGGACGTCCTATGACTGAAATGATGATGATGATTATATTTTGTGCCATCACATAAAGCTGTATCATCTTTCAGAGACCGACGAGCCTTCCAGCTCGGCGATCATGGCGGTGCTATCCTCAGACGAGGGTCCGAAGGTGGTCCGAGCGCCGCCGGTCGGCGCGGAAGAAGCGAAGGCAGTGCTCACCGCCTGTGCTGCCACCTACAGCAAAACGGGAGCTGCTTCGCCACCAGAGGCCGCTGTTAAAGCCGTGCAGAAGTGCACCTTACCGCTGTACGCTAAGGTTGGTTTTTGGTTACCATGGTATTCTAAGTTAGTACCAGTTAGTGCTCACCCGTGCTGCCACCTACAGCAAAACGGGCGCTGCTTCGCCGCCAGAGGCCGCTGTTAAAGCCGTGCAGAAGTGCACCTTACCGCTGTATGCTACGGTTGGTTTTTGATTACCGTCATAAGATGCTATTAAGGTTCATTTTTGTAAATTCACCTATAGCAAGACAGGTGCGGCCTCGCCGCCTCGCCGCCAGAGGCTGTGCAGAAATGCACCTTACCGCTATATGCTAAGGTTGGTTTTTGCTTGCTGTATAAATTACGTAGCAATACGGGCGCTGCTTCACCGCCAGCCAGAGGCCGCTGTTAAAGCCGTGCAGAAGTGCACCTTACAGCTGTACGCTAAGGTTGGTTTTCGCTTACTGCTCAAATTCGAGGCTATTACAGCAAAACGGGTGCAGCTTCGCCGCCAGAGGCCGCTGTTAAAGCTGTGCAGAAGTGCACCTTACCGCTGTACGCTAAGGTTGGTTTTTAGTTACCTTTGTATGCAAAAGCAGTGCTCATCGCCTGTGCTGCCACCTACAGCAAAACGGGCGCTGTAAGGTTGGTTTTTGGTTAAGGGTGTATGCTAAGGCAGTGCTCACCGCCTGTGCTGCCACCTACAGCAAGACGGGCGCTGCTTCGCCGCCAGAGGCCGCTGTTAAAGCTGTGCAGAAGTGCACCTTACCGCTGTACGCTAAGGTTGGTTTTTGGTTACCTTTGTATGCTAAGTTAACCTTTATATTATGCTAAAGCAATGTTTCACCGCCTGTGCTGCCACCTACAGCAAGACTGGCGCAGCTTCGCCGCCAGAGGCCGCTGTTAAGGCTGTGCAGAAGTGCACCTTACCGCTGTACGCTAAGGTTGGTTTTTGGTTACCTTTGTACCTATGCTAAGGTAGTGCTCACCACCTGTGCTGCCACCTACAGCAAGACGGGCGCTGCTTCGCCGCCAGAGGCCGCTGTTAAGGCCGTGCAGAAGTGCACCTTACCGCTGTATGCTAAGTGTGCCATCTTCGTCGGGATCATCTTCTTCGTCCGGTTCGTCGTCGAGGTCAGTATTGTGCATACCGGCACACTAAGGTTGGTTTTTGCTTGCTGTTTAAATGACGAAGAAAGAGCGCTGCGTCTCCGTTAGAGGCTGCTGTCAAGGCTGTGCAAAAGTGCACCTTGTATATTCGTGTTCTAAGCTTGCCTTTGGTTACTGTTTAAATTATCTGCTACGTACAGCAAGATGGATTCACCTCGCCGCCAATGGCCACTGTCAAGGTTATGCAAAAGTGTACATACTTTAACACTATATCCTAAGGTTGGATTTTGATATTAAAGTTCCTTGTTTTTTATTATGATCATCTTTTGCCCACAGATCCTAGCATGGCAGATATCCCTATCAGCAGAGACCTTCACCGAGCAATCAGAACCAGAGACCACTCCAGAACTGGTCATCTGCGAGGACCTGGAAGGCCAGCTCATCCAGATCCTGGTGACGACTGAGGCGGCCTTAGGAGCAGAAAGGGTTAAGAACTGCCTGGCGCTGTTAACAGCTTCGAGGAGAGGGCTGGATGATACGGAGATCCTGGATATGTTGGCCCATGATGAGCTGTTCAGGAGTGAGGAGACTTACTGTGAGTGTTTGGACAGCCTTACGTTTTATTGTGTCTTACGCCCGTATTCGTAAACGATACTTTTGCTTAAGTGAAGCAGCAAATCGAACGCACAGCGTTGAATGGAGCTCTGTGATTGGTTCGTGTGTCACCCTGTGCGTCCACGCGCGCTGTGAGACCTCATAGTAATGTTTGAGTATAATATGCATATTACAGCGGCAAGCAGTGTAAGACCTACAAAATGGAAAGATGACCTCATAAAGATTGCTATCTTTATGAGGTCATCATATGCTGCTCCTTCCTGCTGGAAGGAGTGACTGTAATGATGATGATGATGAAAATTAAAATTAAAACTGGAGTGAAGTCGATTCTTAGTTTTGTAATGTGGGGACCGGGAGTTGACAATGAAAGAGTCTATACTGTGCGATGCTAGTATATTTGAGTGAGTCAGTTTACGCAGCAACGTCAAATATATAGGTTTGGCGCGTACACATACTACACCTCCCCCCTTTTTAAAAGAAAAAAAATTGGTTTACAATATTTTTTCAAATATTAAATTTAGTTACAACAGTTCAAAACAAAACATCAAAATACATTAAAATCCGAGAAAAACTCTATTTCAAATGATCATAATTTTCATTACAAATCATAATTGTAAAAAGTAATTGAACATAAAAAAAAACCAAAAGTTTACAGACCACAAAATATTTTTTTTTGTTTTTAAATTCATATTTTTAGAGAAAAAGAAATACATAAATGAGTTGACTAATTTAGAAAATTCCACATAAACTGATATTTAAATAGGATATTTTTTTTTGACTANAAATAATAAAAATAGATACTTTTTGAAAAAAATCTGCTTAAAAATTCGTATTTTTTTGGTTATTTGATAATCTCCAAAAAATGCCCCTATAACAGGTGGTTTTTATTACTTTTTATTATTCTCTATCGTATTAATTTTGTAAAACCAAAAATCGCATGTCTCTATCCCTATCACAACATTTGCTATGATCCTTTGAACAAAGGCCTGGCACCACATTTTTCTCCGCTTCAGGTAGAGACAATTTTAATTGTAACTAAAATGCTTATTTTACTTCGAAATCTTTTGTTTTTATTTGAAATCTAACTTGTCTTTATCCGTTGAACAATCTTTATTAAGATAATCATACATTATAAATACGCAGCTTTACTGAACCTACATTTGACTGGTTATTGTTGAATCAACGTTTTCCAAGTGGCAATTTTCCATCGTCAGTGGGTAGCGGTTCAGGCGACTGATTGGTGCAATGGTGTCATGGAGCACCTGGTTTTGTCACCCTTCAACGGCCAAGTCACACAACATTAACTATAATAATAAAGAAATCGCAGTAAGGAACCATAGACTTGGCACGACTTTGTCTAGATTTCATTACTTTTTAGAGATAAACNTAAAACCAAAAATTGCATGTCTCTATCCCAATCACAACATTTGCTATGATAGTTTGAACAAAGGCTATATTTAGTAAATAACAGGCGATATTTAGTATCGCCTGTTATTTAGCATTATTACTGTTTTTATTTTATCAGGATATACAGCTTAGTTTAAAAGTTATTACGTTTTCTTTACAATAAGTAATTGGAAGAAAAAAAATTCTATAAAAATTTTTAAAAAAATCTCAAAAAATTTTTGACCACTTTTTTGTCGATAAAAATAGGTCTAGTTTCATCTATTTTCATATGTACACTTTAACGTGACTCACACTGTATACGAAAGCCGAAACACGTGACACGTATTGCAATCTTTAGAATCAGTATAAAAAAATGATACGTTGAAAACTCACGAAGTTCCAAGCTTTTTTGTTGTCCCATTTATCCGCACGCGAGTGTATATAACATCGTACAGCGTGCTGCACTTTCGTTGTAGACAACGCAATGTTTGAAAATTATAAATAACTTGAAAAAATCGAACTGCCTAAGGCGGGAATTGAACCCACGACCTTCCGCTTGCCGGGCGACTGCTCTTCCAACTGAGCTACTTAGACACTGGATGAACCCGTCGAAATTTTCAAGTGTAATACGCTGTTACAGCCAGCGTTTGTTTCATCAATGTTAAGTATACCTACCCTATGTAACTAATAACTATGTAAAAGAGCTGTTTCATCTTAACTGACAGTTAAATATTTGCAACAATATTTCTGTTAGATGTAGGGTAGGTATACTTAACATTGATGAAACAAACGCTNTAGTATATTTGAGTGAGTCAGTTTACGCAGCAACGTCAAATATATAGGTTTGGCGCGTACACATACTACAGTTTAGAGACTGGTTCTATTTACCTTTAGCCATTAATCCAGTAGTTTTTATATTCCCATTAGGACTTACTTGACTTATCTGGTACAACGCGATCACATATAGAAATTAATGTTAATAAAACGAGCCAAGGCATTTGTCTATATACCGATCAGATGCTGGTCTTTTCCTTGCTGAAGAAACCCTCGTTTCGACCACAGATCTCCTAACTTGTTCAGGTTTTCTTCTTCTTTGAAGGATAACTAACTTGTTCTCATTCTATCATATCTTCATCTTCCCCAGTACCCTGGGCACCAGCGTCCCTATTCTGGCCGCAACTAGCCGCACTACTGTCCCCCTGGCTTCGGTGGGACGCCCGAGGCGCGGCGCGGTGGCGGGATGCCGCGCTGGCGGGTGCGGCGCGGGACAGATACTTGGCGGACTGCGAACATGACGTTAGGAGGACGCTGATAGAGTACTACGAGGTGAGGAGACTAATAGCCCTAGGAGAATTATCCTAGACCCTATTCTATCACTGCCTACGGGATGATGTTAGTGGGACGCTGATAGAGTAAGGAAAACTTATTTCCTGGACACTAGCATCACTGTTCCACTAGCAGAGGTATTCTTCTGTCTTCTTGGAGTTTAGACAGAGAAGAATAGCTTGCAGAGATTGCTGTTTTTCTAGCAGTACTTAATTGAATCCGTTGTGGGAATATACTTGGCGGACTGCGAACATGATGTTAGAAGGACGCTGATAGAGTACTACGAGGTGAGGAGTGACTTAGTGACATAGAGAGAGGTTATCTACTGTCTTCAGCTCGTTGTGGCGTGAGAAGAGTAGCTAGCGGAGGCTCTGAGGCAGCTTCTGGCAACAATTGAATCCACTGTGATACTGCTACTGATGCTGATAGAGTACTACGAGTATGAGGTGAGGGACCTCGTATCCTAGAGCCCTAGGACCTAGATATAAATGCGGTATTGCTCTGGCCAAAGGAGCTATGTCTCCTTAACGTGGAGATGAGAGTGTCTAAAGGAGACTACTGCTTTTCGTGGGCAGATACTTGACGGACTGCAAGCACGACGTTAGGAGGGCGCTGATAGAGTACTATGAGGTGAGGAGTCCCTGTATCCTAGATACTAGCATCACTGTTCCACTAGCAGAGGTATTCTTCTGTTTTCTTGTAGTTTAGACAGAGAAAAATTGCTTGCGGAGACTTCTGCTTTTCTGGCAGCAATTGAATCCGTTGTGAACAGATTACTTAGCTGACAGCGAGCATGATGTTAGGAGGACGCTGATAGAGTACTATGAGGTGAGGAGTCCCTGTATCCTAGACACTAGCATCACTGTTCCACTAGCAAAGGTATTCTTCTGTCATCTTGGCGTTTAGACAGAGAAGAATAGCTTGCGAAGACTCCTACTTTTCTGGTAGCTATTCTTGACCTACTATTTAATCAATTGTCTTATGAAGTTCCAAGTTTCCTTCGGAAAACCAATAAATTTATTTTTAATTTTATTCTTTCAGGGCGCCTGGTTCACGGAAAACGACCCTAAAATGGCTGGAAGACTGATATCACAAGAAAACAAATTTTCAGAAGAATAGTACGTATCCACTTCATCGATCCCCAATTTAATCAGTTATTTCGACAACACCATACTAAAATCGTTACTTCTCTTCTAGCTACAACACTAGAAAACTAGACGAGCTGCCATTCCAACACTACCATCTCTACAAAGATGAGCCAGAAACGTTCGCGAATCAGCCCTACTTCACCCAATTAGAATGGGTTCACGACAAACTCGCAGCCACCGATTGCGGGCACTTTTTAGAAGACCTGGAACTAGTTCACATAGACCCACTCCCAGAACACATTGAGATACTGAAAGAAGTCTTCGAAGTCAACTCTTACGCTCTAGATTACGACCACAGACAAATCTACGGCGTTTTAAGTATGACTTTAGAAAAAAGACAAAGAGATGGTGCGTCAGTGAAGAGTGAAATAGTCCAGGAGTGGCTGAAGGTGATCAAGAACCCTCCAGTGCCAACGTTCTTCCCTATAAATGAGAACTTCTACAAGATATGTGAGGGCAAGGATAAGAGGGACTTGTCAGCTGTGGAAGGGTTTGACAGCAAGACGTTTGATCTGATCGTGAGGTTCGACCAGAGGGAAAAGTTTGTGGCGACGGTTTCGACGGAGAGGGAGGAGATTTGCGTCTGGGACGTCACGACGTGAGTATTAATGGTTTATCTGTACACAGGGCACAAAATCTCCTCAACATGATGCGCTAATTGCAATCTACGTAATGCCAGGCCTGTTCATCTCCGCGAGTTTACATCGAAAACAAAACACGCACGATGGCCCACCTACAGGATACTCGACAAGGCCTCACATACGAGCGAACATTGACTCACGCACGCGTATTCTTGTGTATGATGGAAGAAGATAAAGAAAATGGTGTACTAAATACTGTGCAGTATTTAACTGCCTAAATAATAATAAAAACACAGAATGTACTTTTTTAAGTTGCCTCAAGACACTGAGAGGTAAATAAGTAGTTAATATTATTCATGATAATTCATGCTAAATCCATTGAAGTAATATTACTACGTATAGAACAGACATCGCGAACAAAAATGTACAGTGCGGGGTGCGGGGCGGGAATTTGACGGACAGCTGTCAGTCAAATCCATGACTATAAAGTTTCATAATTTATGGCGATAAAATCTGCACCAGAAAATGTCGTACTTCATTGATAGGATTGCACGAATAGTGACGTTCCTGCGGTCGCCTCATCATAGACATTGTGAAACGATTGTGAAAATAAAGAAATCGGCTAAATTGTGTTAAATTTTCATGGTGCTCAATAGCAAAAAGGTTCAGCTACTTACATTATATTGTGCGTTTCCTGTAATGTAATCTAAGCTCCCCTCCCTTAGTCTAAAATTAGCCCTCCCTAGACAAGTGACAAAACGTAGCAGTTACTTCACTCTGTGATGCGATTTTAAAATTACAACTGGCGATTCCGAATTCACAACTGAGGGGACTGAGGCTAATCGTGTTACTTGTGCTACAAGTGCGTATGGGCTTCATACTGATGCTTAAGCCATTAATTTTTTTTCCCGATTAAAATCTAATGTAATCGATAATCGCCTTGAGAATCGTTAACTGGTATTTTCTAATTCGATAAAAAAATTACCCATCTCTAGTTTAAAACTGTCATCCGACAGCGCACGAAATATTATGAGTTATAGATAATGATACCATTACAGAGGCGACACTTCGTTTACGTTTAGTTTCTGCCTATTGAATTGGATACTGTAAGGAAACATCGTCATCATCATTTTAGCTACTGGACGTCCACTGCTGAACAAAGGCCTCCTCTAATGATTTCCACATCGCCCAGTTGATAGTGGCCTGCACCCAGCGTCTTCCTGCTATCTTCAGTCAGTCCATCTTGAGATTTTAGAAAAATTCCCACTCGTCACGGTAGGAACAAAGCTAGGGATGACCCACGCCTTCACTCCAGAACCAATAAAATAACTGAAAGTCAGAAACTTTCAGTTATTTTATTGTCTCTATTGTTAACTATCTCAGTGGTTGAGTACACGTATAATAGCTGTGAGGTAGAAGTTACGGGATTTGTTTGTAACCAAATTCTATTATTAAAATTCTAAGGCTGAGTTGCACCATCTTACTTTAACTTTAACAAACGTCAAAATTCTGTCAAACTCCATACAAAAAGGACCGGTTACCGTTATAGTTACGGTCAAAGTTAGGTGGTGCAATTCAGCCTAAAACTAAGAAAGATTGAACAAAAAGAAACATTTAGTTTTAAACCTTAACCGTATGACAATAAAGTGCACAATGGTATTTCGTATTGCAACCTAAGCCCTGATTGTCTCTTATTGGTCGTAGTAAAAATATAGTAAAATGCGTAACCAATTAGAGACGCGGTGAGCACGTGACCGGAGCGATGCGCTTACGCTAAAATTTCTACAAAGTGGTCAGGCGGAAGAGTCCCCGATAGTACGTAGTGTTGTGCGAGCTGAATTCCACTGTATCGCGTCGTAGCAAGACTCGCATTTATTTACATCGTCTTGCGGAGTAATCCTTCTGTACCTGTACTATTACTTATTCTGTGCCCAATGCATCATGCAACGAAATGTTTTGCGTGAGACGTATTTCTAGTTCCTGGAGCGTTTAATTACGGTATTGCCAATGTAATTTCACAATATAATATTTCTCCATTAATTTGTCTCCTTATGTATAAAGCTTCACGTACTTCTTGGATCCACATAATGTCCTGTGTTAGAAAAAGGCCACATTGTGGCCACAAACTTCCCGAATATGAAAAAATCTATGTATGTACAGTCGACAGAGCATCAGACTATACATTAATGAAAGAAAGAAAGAAGAAAAAAGAAATGTTTATTCAATATCATCGACAATACACTATTTTAGCAGAAACTCACTTAATACAGCTGCACAATATGTCACAGTATTTATTCTTGATGTGCCATAGTCTGGAGCCAAAATCTCGTCACAGCTATTACTATCGGCCACAGTGTTTAACTATCCATTTCCGTTTTTGCTCTAGCTCTCATCAAATGGTGATTCTTTGCGATAGAACGAGATGACATGACCGGCAATGGGTAGTTGTCACTGTTGCCGATATAGTAATACATCAGTACCTCTAGTACGAAAAACTTTCGAGTTCGTTTCGTTTGCGTATTCAGTGTCATCGAAAAATTTTGTATGAAAAATTAAACAGCGCCCCCTATATTATAGCCGCCCTAGGGGGCGCTGTTTAATTTTTCATACAAAATTTTTCGATGACACTTTGAATACGCAAACGAAACGAACTCGAAAGTTTTTCGTACTAGAGGTACTGAAAGCCTTGGGGTACAAGTTTTTCAAATTGAACCCTAAGGCGATTATCACACTGCGCCGCGCTCCACCGCGGTCCACGTGATTTCATATAAAAAATCCCGCGCGCAGACGCGTTGTCACTGTCAGTGTGTTGTGCCGCGCGTGTTTTCTATACAAACTGAGGTACCTACTTGCATACAATGATTAAATCTGTCGTCCCGCGTACCGCGGCGGAGCGCGGTGCAGTGTGATAATCGCCTAACGTTGTCGACGGTAGGTGCAAGATGGTGCGCAAGCTGACAGGGGTGACGCACCCCATCAACCTGGTGCCGGTGGACGAGCACCGCTGCGTGGTGCTGTGTCGCCGCGAGCTGCGCGTCTACGACCTCGACCAGGTGATGTTATTGTAAAATAAAATGGAGGTAACTTTATTTCGAATGTAGACTTTTTAGATCCAAAAACAAACGAAAAGAATCGGAATAAATAAAAGCTTTTCTTTTGAGAAGTACCTCAATGTCTTAAGCTCGAAAGAAATGATGAGATCCTTCAAAGTGGAACTCATGGAATCCTAAATGGTCTCATGAGACCGCGGTAACAATTAATTTCTGTTGTCTCGATTCGCTGGTACTTGAAGCCTGAACGTTGGTAATTCCTCTTCAATTTATAATTTAACAACTTTTACACTTTAATTTTACAACGTTGTACACAACAATCAATTTTAGCAAAGACGAAACTAAAAGTTGTTAAATTATAAACTGAAGAGGAATTACCTACGTAGTTTTGAAAGTCGTTGTAGCGAAACATGTTATTGCAAATGATTTAATGTCTGCTCCTATACGTTCTTATGCTTCTGAAGCTTTTCGTGACTAACTACTATTAGCACGTACGTTTATTACAACATCAAAATTTTTAAATGCAGGGCAAGTTCCTAGTGGCGCTGAAAGGCGTGATGAACCAGAAGATGCCGTTCTACGGGCTCCACGACTCCAAGCACCTGGTGGCGCTCTCCAGGAACCGAATGTATGTCAACCTGATGAACATTGAGACTGGTGAGTAAGAAATATCAACTTTGAACCGCATTATAAATTAAAATGACATCGTCTGCGCTTATTGTATGTCCAAACAAATATTTAAAATGCTTAGAATAAAACACTACATCATAATTCATTCCATCATATTTCTATTGATCAATGATTTTATATCGATTAAACAAAAGCATTTGATAATCATGTCATTACTTTTAGGTGACTGTGTGACCACGTTCAAAGCTGGTGAAGACAGGTTCCTAAATTCACTGCTCGTTTCGGGTGACGGAAGGTAAGCAAATGACATAATAACTTAATAATTTCAAAAATTATAGGAGTTTTGCAAGGGTCAGTTTTAAGACCTTTACTTTAATATCTAAAAATGTTTACTTTTAGGATATTGGTGTGTGGTGATGAGACACAGAAGCCTTTCCCACTGCTGGTGTGGTCATTGACGTCCAGAAAGCTTTTATACGACTTGAGGATACCACATCACGACTTTGTGACTTCAAAAGCCGCTATAACTTATGAAGGTAAGAATCGATTCAGAAGTCGGTCGTTTGGTGTAGGGGTTCGGAAACGGACTACTATGCCGAGAGGTCCCGGGTTCGATTCCCGGCCGAGCAGAAATTGAAATTATGAATTTTATTTCTGTGACGGGTCTGGGTGTTACTATGTATAATATGTATGTATTTACAAAAAAAAAAACTATTTAAGTATGTTTATATCCGTTGTCTAGTACCCATAGTACAAGCTTTGCTTAGTTTGGGACTAGAAGCGTAGTGTAAAATGTCCAAGGATATTTATTATTATTATTATTTATTTATAAAAGTATTATTTCAATTGCTAAAAACCAACCCTAAAAAATAATTCAATTAACTTTTATAATAGGCCCTTTTGAAAGGATTATATCTACTACTGTATATTTAAGCTATACCTACGCATCTCAAATATAACTTGCCTTACACTTCGAGACACTGACAAAATGTATTTGACTACCCTTTGGAAATTTTAAGATTCTCTCCACTCCTCCAGGTCCCTGCTTCTGCGTAGTGCGGAAGATGGGTTTTTTTTACGTATGCGATACGATATTTCACTCTTTCGAACTTTATAATTTTTTCCTGCTCCCCAGGATCTTGGAACTGAACTTTAAGATTTATCTTTCCCCCCAGGATCGTACGTGTGCGTAGTCTCCCGGGAGCTAGACGAGCCGAGCCCGAACTTCATAGTGGTGTACGACCTGCAGTCCGGGACACTATTCAAGAAGTGGAAGCCGGGCTGCGACACCGTGGCACTGGCCATAAGCTCGGTGGACGGATGCGTCGTGTCCGGGCTCGCGGACACCAGGATACTGGTGTGGGACTTGATCACTGGTATGTTTACTTCTAGTAGCTTGGTAGTAGTAGTTTTTTTTTTACTTTATTCTTTGGTTCAGAAGTATCCAATCTTTTTCATCTCGTACACATTTCCTTATTTTGACTTAGAATAGGCCTCCTGCCATAAGTGGATTGGTTTTTGATACGTTGAAACGGATGGAGCTGATGTAACGGAATTTTTTTATCCATTGGTCATTACTTTCTAATTTGAACTAATTCACGGAAAGAAAAAGTTGGTTTTTAGATTTTTTTAATCCATTTTATTTCTCACTAGGATTTCTTGAGGGACCTATCCCTGGGGCGCAATAAACCATTTTATATTACTTTTTAACTGGTTACTACAACTTCTGCCCACTTCGGGATCTAACTTGTGCGTGTACTGTCTGATGTCTTTGTCTAGGTGGGCTATCAAGCCAACTAACTTGTGTGACATTACTGTCTGATGTCTTACCTACAGTTTAGAAAGATCACTGACCCATAACACAAGCATACAAGTTGCTTACTTTGGGAGTAGCTGGCGCTGTGTGTAATTGTCCGAAGATTAATTTATTTGTCTCTGTTGCCTTTTATTCCTGACGTTTGTATGTCTATTAGAGTAGACGCACACCGTTGATTTTTAGTTGGCCGATTGTTGTGCTCGATTTTAATTTGTATAAAGAATCGGCCAAATCGAATCGGCGTAGTGTGCGCACTCCCATACTTGCCCATACTGATCAACTGCCCGACTACACTATCGGCCGACGAAAAATCAACGGTGTGCGCCTACTCTTAACGTCTTGCGGTGCTCCCAGGCAACTGCCGGCTGACGCTGCGCGGGCACGTGGCGGCGGCGTCGCTGCTGCGGCTGGCGCGCTCGGGCGGCGTGCTGCTGTCCGCCGACGACTCCGGCCGGGACCCGTCCGTGCGCCTGTGGGACCTGCACTCAGGTAACCAGGCGCCTACTGTTCTCACCATGATCCTTACACCTCCTTAAACATTTCTTTATTAAGTGATTCATTATCCTAATAGGTTCAAGTCCTCCCCCTTCATCCGCCTCAGGTAACGTCCAGCAACGACTCATGGTACCTGACTGCCAGACCTTTGTGGACTATTCATTATCTTAATTGGGGAATATTAGGATCCTTCCCCTCCATACCTACGTTTCTCGAATCTACACTCAGGTAACCAGCCAGGCTACTATCCTCTGATGACTCCAGGTGAGACCTTTTGAGCTTCTGGGACTTCTTCAACCAGAATGCCAGACCTCCGTGGATTTATACTATTTATTTTTAGAGAGCTTAAGATCCTTTTCTTATTACACGTCCTCGCCCCCTTGCGTCTGTGTGGGACAGCACTCAACTAACTAGGCTGATTTCCGTGGACTACTTACCTACATATCCACTAACAATCGGGAGATTTTTTAGGGAATTCCTTTTAATGAGGGCTACTACCGTATTTGTTTTTAATTCCGAAGGTAACCTTCACTAACTCCACTCCTTGTCTATTTATTTATTTATTTTATTTTATTTCCGCAGGTAAACTAATATCAGTGTACACGCCTCCCGAGCGCATAACCTCCTGCGAGATTGTCTTAGGGGGCTCCGTACTGGCCCTCACTTTAGAGAACGTGCCCCACATAGTCTGCGCTCGCCTGCTGCCCGCGCCAGTCACGCAGCCCTGCCACGACCACCGGCCCTATGGACAGATGCCCGACTGCTGATATTCGAAGGAACAGGAAGGTACGATCACGCGTCAAGTCGACAAGATCAAACGCCTCCAAAACGTCGCTTTACCGTCGATGTAGTTTATGAACATTCAAACTGTAAGAACCGTTAAATTTAAACTTCAATGAAATCTACAATTGATTTAAAACCTTATTATTAAAGTGACTCTACAAACATTTAACAGGTACAATCCAGTTTGGATTGGATTTTTGCAGGATTGCAAGTTCAAAAAAATATACTACGTTTTGGAGCCAGTGAAAATCAAAACTTTTTGACACGCCAAATAACTGGCTACACTATTATTTATCATAATGTATAGTAGGTAAATATTATTATCCAAAGATCTTAAATGGTTCGGCACGACGTAGGACAAGCTACCTCTGATACCTAAGTCTTTTGTACATGTATCTTTATGTATCTACCCTCTACATGTCACAGAGTCCTGCAATTTTAAACAGAAATAATAAAATTAACTGAAGGACGTACAATATTTCTGAAACCAATGTCTGTTCACTCTAGTCCAAAATTTGTGCCAGAATTATTAATATTAAAAATGATAGAAGTAAAAAACATTATGCATGCTACTCACTATTAATTTAGATTGCATATAATGGCACGAATCCTAAAATAAGATTCTTGCAGTGCAATATTGTTCAGTAAATGAATAATTGATTACTAAGTTCTTACTGTAAAAACATCCTTTTCATTTCTAATAATAGTAGCATACATAATGAAAATTAAATAAGTAAGTACTTAAATATAAATGGATGGAGACGTAACGAGTATTCAAAGTTTACGAGAAAAAGTTTGTGGAACTTGATAAAGCAATCGCCCAGTGACTTACGACCGAAATATGAATGAAGTGAATAAAAAACATTAATGTTTTTGATCTATTACGCTTATTAATTACATTATTGAATTAATGAAATTATATTTAGTGAATCCTCTATCTGTAATGTTGATGTTTAGGTGTAATTTTGTGGTGATTAGGTTTAAGGGATGAGTTATGTATAAGTCAATTTTTCGTGTTTTTTCCGCGCAAATAACGGCTAGCCTTTGCGTTGTGCTGGTCAAACTGATCTTCCTTAAACAGATGTTGTGCACATTAAGTAACGTTTAATAATTGGGTGGGATCAATCAAGGCAAATCAAGGCTCTTTCGGCTACCGACAGAGATTTATACTACAAAATGGAGAGAGAAACCCAGCTCTGCGTGAAAGAAGTAAAATCATAAATCCTGATTGGTCTTACTATAGTTAAGGTGTAGGATATTCTACCAATGTGTCATTAAATCTTTGTTGTTGTTACTTCTATCTTGTTTTAAATCATGGTCATAAACATTAGAATAAATTACTTTTTTATTGCTGAGTTTCCGACGATGTAAACCGAAAACTATCAAAATTAAAATCAAACTTTATATTCCACCTATCATCATGAAGTGCCTGCTTTTAGGCATTTGCGTTGTTACATTAAAAGCATCGATTTAATGATCGTTGGAAAAAGACGCTTCTTTTCATTAATTTGTGCGAAACGCTTAATTTTTGTAGTCATTTATTTTAACCTTGTGTCTATCCGAATTCTACGCTAACATTCGTACTTAATGTATACTTAGTCATAGATTTTTGTAATTACCATATCTGTATAGAGTTCATAAGCAATACCTTTTAGAGAAGTAGCACACATGGTTTTATTTTTAAAGAAAATTTAATTTTCCTTATACAAAATTACAGATAAAAATATAAAAAGAAATTATACAGATTATACTAACACATTTTAATGCAAGAATCATTATTATATGTACCTATAAGATGCTGGTTCATCATGTAACGGATAGTGTCCTTTAATGTGTTAGCATGCAATGGGTCTTCAAGCAAATGTTGCTACTCGTAGAAATGGATTTTCAACATTGCGTGCAATTTTTTCATGGAACTATAAGTATTGTAAAAAGGTATAAAATAAGTATAGTAGTATTTGTGTTTTTACTTGATGCAAATGACTCCAACTATCTTTGAAATTAAATCAAGTGTTTTACCATGGTTACAAGTAAGAGATTAAAGCAGTTGTTCTTTTAAACCTACTGTATTACAAGAATCCAAAATATTATTGTGATTATTATTAGAGATTATTTTACGATTATGTCTGCTTTAATAATTTCATCGTTGAAAGAAAAAGCACAATAGTTAAAACGTAATGCACAATTTGTTGTTTTTTGTTCAAAGCGCAGCTGGGGATGGTCTAAGTAGGACTTATACTTTAAAATATGGTTTAAAATAGTAATATTTTTAGATGCGAAAAGTACCTGTTTTTGTTTATTTACAATTGTATATTTTAGATTGGTCGATAGACATAAAATATTATGAATAGACTAAGTACATACTACTTACAGCAAAAGTTGGTATGTGTAAGCACAAGTTTCTGAGAGGTTTTTTATGATAAAGGGTATTACATACCTAGTTATATTTTAAAACCATCCCCGTCTCTGCCTCAGCTTCATAATGTTCCAGCTAACGCTTCTCGACCAATGCAAACTAAAATAACTAGGTTAATCTCGTCTTATCTAATAATTGAGTGAACTGAGTCTCGATGTCTTCTATGTGATTCGTTTTTGTAACTTTCGCTGCCATATTTTTAACGTATCTTAAGAAATCAAGGGTGTAGCCAGACGGAACGAAAGCGGACCCAAAATAGTTCCCTGCGTAACACCTTTTAAGTACTAAAAAGAATCGTTCTCTCTGACTACTCCCTTGCATGTAATTAACCATATTTTCTTATTGATTTATCTTGGGCACAATATAATGAAATGACATATTAAAGTAGGTGTTAAAAATATTCTGCCTTCCATGGGGTTCCGATAATGTACAAATAAAGTAAGATAATCTAATTGTATTAATAATAATTATTGTACTGTTTAGCCATTGTTGAGTTTCAACGGAAAAAACGGTGTAATTAATATTGTTTAGAATATTTTTCTAAACTTTTATAATTTTGGTGGCGCTAGTGGCAATTCGCAAAAGTTTTGTAACTTGTGCGCTAGTTATTTAACGTAAATAAGTACGTAATTATTTGCTGTTTTCAAACAATTTTGCCAAAGTTAAGAAAACTAAATATTGTATGCTCAAAACTACAATATAGACGCACTTTATTATTCTCGGAATCCCCAATCCCTTGCCCAATCTTTAGTAGTCAAATAGAAAGTAACTACTAAATGAACTTATGAATTCTCTTCAAATGTACAAAATATGTACTAAGACACTTTCGTTACAATAGATTATTTTAAGTAGTCCGCACATTTGTTAATTTAAGAAAGATCTTTTCATAATGTCCATTTGGTGTGTTCCAGTTTTTCAAATCCGATTATCAATACACAAAGATCTAGACCAAATCGATTTGAAAAACAACATTTTAAATGTTTTTTTATTTATAATATTTTGAGAGCAAGCAGGCTGGTCCCTGTTTTAACTGATATTCTATAATATTAAGTAAATTTTATGGTCACTACGTAGCGATCAATTTGAAATTAAATTTAAGCGATGTAAATTAAGAAGAATGGTGTAATCAATTGACTTGTTAAAATTATTTATGTATTCTGGAAAGTTACGTAACTACTTGATGTCCTGATTAAATTATTGGAAAATAATACAAGTTGTTGTTTTATTGCTAACATTGCTTTTTCGCAAAAACTTTCAAAAATGTCGATTTTTACGTCATGCTCGATACGCCATCTACCGGTGTCGTATTTATTGTATGAAATCGTCGTTTTAAAAGTTCCTACCACCGATAGATGGCGTTAGGTTGCGGGTCCACAAATCTCTTAGTGCCATCTAACGTAGAGTAGAAACTATTATTTATTATTATCACAAAAATCATAAAACCCTCAAAAGGTACAAAAAATATGTTAAAATATGTCCAAACCCATTCAAGTCTTTGACAGCATTTTTGCGATAATGAGACAAACTAGTAGATTTTGAATTTTTTTGTATTTTTTAAATATAATTCACAGCAACATAATAATACTACACTATGATCGTATATGCCTAGCAGGATTGGAAGAGGCCCTTGCTCTTCATTTCTTCGAACTCCTTCTCAGCATCGTACGTCCTGAAAAAACAAAAATCACATTTGAATACTGCTTTAGACAAAAAGGTGGCTGTCAAAGCCGCGAAGGAGACTAGAGACGACCTTTACTTGACTTAAGGCAATGTATAAGTATTGATTCCCAAGTAAAACAGAGAGAGAGTGAGAGACACCTAAGTTACGGTCCAATTGGAATCTGCTATGCACAAACTGGTCTATGTAGAATGCTATATTTTTTGTGCATAAGTAGGTAGGTACACAAAAAGCAATCAAATCAAATCATTTATTTATTTACATACAGACACGGTACATTTGATGGTAAAAAATAATATAAATTAGATCCACATGTCTCGTTCAATGTCAATTCCTCGAAAATAATTCAACAATACTGAAATTGTAACTGTCCCTAATTAACATTTGTAACAAACTACCAATGGATTTCTAATCATTTCTTATCAATTAATAATCTATTATTAACACCAATTAAATCTACTTTGTAATTAACTAATACAATACAGACCACTTGAAAGAACATGAGAAATCAAGTTATTTTAGTACTGACGTCACATTTATGTTTCCAGCTGGGCTAGGATGCGCGCGGTAATATACTTAATCGACGTCAAAATGTATGGGCAAAATCGATAAAATAGCGTGATAACCGCTTATTGCGGCGCGCATCTTAGGTCTACAGATACTGTACCAGGCACTTCAAGTAAATAAAGGTATGATAAATAAATCTACCCCACATTGATTTAACTTTTAAGAACCTTGCTAAGAATAATAAAAAATCAATCACCTGTAGAACTCAGCGTAACGCCTCTTGCGTTCAGTTCCGACCAGCTCCTTGTATGCGAATCCAGATAATAAGGCGACGGTGATGGAAATGTACAAGTTGCGCTTAATGGCGGCGTTTAGGAGGCCCCTCATCGCGGGTTTGGTGACGGTCGACACTGCTTTTTCTCCGGCCATCTAAATACAGAATTAAATTATTTTAGTGTCTAGCAGTTATTATTCGCAAATTTAGAAAATATGTTGTCCTTTTAGAAGCTTAATAACTAGTTTATTTGTATAATGGATGTGTTATTGGTTCAATCCCAGAATTTGTAATCAATTCTATTTATTATTATCTGAGCCGCACCCATGATGCATTATAACTAGGTACCAGACTTTTGCTTTTCACAGTAAATCTGACTTGGAGATAGCTAGTAGGTTGATTTAGTTCAGAGTAATAGAACACTGGGTTAACTTACATTTTTGTTGCAATTTTTAGATAACCTCTATGAAGATAGAAATTGTACAGACCGATAAATCTATAACGTTAATTATGAAAAAATGGAAAGAATCGGCTCGTAAAAATTATGAAAGTGTAAAAATTACTCAAAACCTGGAAAATGGGCTTTCCTAAAATCACGTAAAGCCATTATCTCGTCTTACATAACCAGCCAATATTTTGACAGAAACCACTTTATGGGTAATTTATTTTGAGAAAGGGTGATAAATATAATTACGTTAAATCTAAATAAATATTTGATAACACGAAACACTCACTTTAATTACGTTATTTTCCAAAAAATGTTGCGGATTACAGCACGAAACAAATGTCACTTTGTTCTCAATTACAAATATCGATTTTGTCTGCTTGAGGTTTGAATCGATTAAATTTCTTAGTCTAAGTTTTCATTGGCTATCTGACATGTGATATCCAATATCAACCAATAGCAGCACGCAATGCATGTTTTCAGTTACAATTTTACGTTCCTATCTACGCATACGATGAAGTTGAAACTTTTTAAATGTTGTTTGGATTATTTTATGAAAAAAATGCCATAGAAATCTTGTCCCAACTAATATTATAAATGCGAAAGTAACTCTGTCTGTCTGTCTGTCTGTTACGCTTTCCCGCTTAAACCTCGCAACCGATTTTGATGAAATTTGGCATAGAGATAGTTTGAGTCCCGGGAAAGAACATAGGATAGTTTTTATCCCGGTTTTTGAAACAGGGACGCGCGCGATAAAGTTTTTCTGTGACAGACAAAATTCCACGCGGGCGAAGCCGCGGGCGGAAAGCTAGTTATGTTATAAAATTATTATTTCTGCCAATTCAATGGCAATTTTATAGTATTTGTCAGCTTTGCAAAGTTATATTTTCACTCATGGATGGATAACCTCTCTCCAAGATGCCCCAAGTCAAGTAAAACACTTTTAAACACTGATTAATATTAATCTAAGACTGGTGATGTTTAAATTTTTGAAACGTTAGCTATAGGTCTAGCGCTATCTCGGTCCGTGCCCGAGGTATGGGAGGGTCACGGGAGGGGTGACATCGACATATTATGACGAGACAGAGCGTAGGTACAAATCAGTGGGTCTAGACAAAGTGCAAATTATAATCGCAAACCAGTCGAAAAGTGGTCGAAAAGCCCCTTTTTTGTATGGAGTTTTGACGGATTCGATTTTCGATTCGATCAAAAAGTGCGTTTTGTCTAGGGGGGCTGAACCACATTTGAAGGTCTCGCTGACATCCCAAAACACCCTCCCATCCAGCCCCATACCCCAGGCAATGACTAAGCGCTAGCTAGACCTATAGTTAGCATAAAGTGGACTCCAAGCGACAGTTTGGTGTCCTTAGATCACACCCATGGATAAGATGACCTGGGTGATCAGTGGACGTGAACTCTAGTTCAATTTCTTTGATCACCCAGGTCGTCTTATCCATGGGTGGATCAAACGACACCAAATTGACGCTTGGGGTCCACCACACCTGAGTGATCAAAGTGGAATACTACTGGTGTTGTGGTGTACCTCAACTCCTCTAGATTCTGCTTTAGTTGTGGTTTGCGTTTGCGAGTTGCTATGGATTAGAAGTGAAACAACAAAATATTTTTATTCATTTATTAATAAACTAACTTTACAAATTTAATAATAGCAGAACAATAATATTCCTTATTTCTTTTCATTCATAATAATATGATAATAATTCACCGTGACTCATCGTACTTTATGAATATAATTATATGATTTAAAAATAATCTAGAACGACAGTGAAAAGCAACTTACAGAAAATAATGCACAATAAAAGGGGATAGACGAAAATATCGCCCCGCCTTCGACGACGCGCTACAAAAATATTACAATAACATAAAAGTTACATTTATTGTATCAATTCTTTTATTTACCATTTCTGCACCTATTTACACGTTATATAATGTTTACATACCAAAACTATAACCTATCTCATGTGTGGTGTAACCCCTATGCTATATTTATAGTGTTTTATACTATTTTGTATTTCTCTTTCTTCATACATATATAAATGTATAATATAGATATTTTATCGGCATAAATTACTATCATTAGTTGAAAATAAAAACAAAACAAGAAATTAAGGATAACTATACACCCAATGTACACAGCTAGTTGAGAGTTCATCCACTACGCTATATGATACAAGCTAGCGAGTCGCACGGTTCAGTATAAGGCTTCGCGCTCCTCCGCCTATACTATGTACAACCACTCCCAATGTCGAAAAGAAAACACTTAATAACATATATTAATTTCCCCATCTATACATAGAAATTTACAAGAGATTTTATCGAATTTTAAACTAATAAAAACGAGGAAAAAAAACAAGTTTCGTCACGCTCATAGGGCACTGGCAGGCACCTGCTTACTACACACGCTCCCTACGCCCCTACGCTACTGCCTATCGTCACCGCGGGGACCGTACGGACAACTAATGCAAAACCACCGATAAGCTATGTTCCAAAAAGCTGTCCAAAAAGGTACAATTAAACTTCACACCCACATATTATTGCTCAGAGTATACAGCCTAAGACTTAGGAACCGCGAAAGGAAAACGTGCAGCACACATGTCCACCATACTAACTGTATTAAATGCTAAATTTTTAATCGACGAACTGGTTATTGCAAGGTTAAATTTAGAAGTGATCAATTTACACTTTGATGGACGCGATTGGCGCCGGGTCGGACCGGGTCGAGACCCACATGTGACTCAGCTGATTGTGATCAATAAATACTAAATCTAACGAACAAACTAACTCAATTTAGAAATTCGGTCACTTATTTACAGTGCAAAGAAAAATACTAGCTTAAAGTATACTCTAAAACGATCACTGGTCGACGGGATTAATTTGGGTCACTACTGTGGACAGGACAAACGAACAAAAGGGGCATCAAAATAACAGTTTTAAGATACTGGAAGCCCGAACAGACAACTGTTTGAAACACTCAGTCACAATTATTATCTTTTCACTAAGAAATTATCTGTCAAGTTTCACTAAATTACAATTATTGGTCGTGAATTCACTTACATAATACGCTAACTTTAAAATAGCAGCCAGTGTCTTGAGTTGGAACGCGCCATCTTGGAATCTCAGCGTAAATTCAACATCACATCTAAAATTGATAGTTAAAAAAATGCACGAGTGTAAAAAAGTTTAACAAAGTAGACTGGTGCTAATCCTATGTATTTGTAATTAAAAACCGAACTGATTCCAACATGGCGCCTTCCCGCCAAAACTAATTACACTACGCGACGTTCATTTCCATGGACGCCGTTCCGTTTCATGTGCAAAAAGGTATGAAAATATCTTTTAAAACTTTATGCATTTATTTCATTTTTATATCTCTCGGGTATTTATACTATTATAACGATGTGCCTACAAGTCGAGTGCTCTTTTGTACAATAATGATACATCTCTATTCACTAATAAACTAAGGCTTCCACTGAAGGCGTCTCGCCTAGTGGCAAAGAGATATCGCTCTTAACATTACTCAAGAAATGAACTTACGATTATAGAAGTCGATTTTATAGTGAATGGTAACATGATTTGTTCACTAAATTAAAGTCAATATGCCGCGGTTCACTTTGTAACACTTAACTGCTCGAAAAAGAAACGCGATGTGAAAAGTATAAAACACATTTATACAGATTCTTATATATTTTTCAAAACCATTAGAAATACCCTATTTTTAAGCCCAATTATCCGAATGAATTGGTGTTCACGACTTAAGCATGCTTATTAAGTTTTCGTGATCAGTTACAAATACAATTTACTTTTTGAAAATGAATAAATGTGTTTCAACTTCTTATCTAGTATACATTCATTTAAAAATAGAATTTGCGCTCGGCCAATAATAACAACATTCTACCTGTACAATGATGACGTAACACCAATCAACATCACAACCATCAAATTATAATTACATCTTATTACAATTCGACAGTCACGTTGAATTGGTTATAAATACAGGCAACTCGTGATAGTATAAATCACTTTATATGTGCACTTGAATCACTTTTCATGAACATTAATTATCTCATCTAGTATTGCACGAATTATTTTACTCATAATATTTCCAAAAGTTTGAGATTCGCCGACGAATATTATAAACCCTCTCAGTGAGAACATAAAAGTCGCGTCAAATTCTGTAATCATCTGACATTTCTGTCAACTAATTACAGCAGTTGACTACATCAAGGATTAGTGATTCAAACGCATATTAACAAGTTTGTTTACAAAAAATATTTACATCCTCGACTGTTATGACATTGTAATAAGTCTGATATAATGTAATTAGAAGATAAAAAAATACCCAAATAATCGGTGTTCATGATCTTATTCATTTTATTTGTCAAAAGTAGTGAAGTGATTGAACAGAAATGTCAAAATATACAGCATAGTGTCAAAATAACTTGAGGCCCCGATGTTCCTTTGATTTTATATACAAAGACGATAAAACAATAAAATAAAAGTATCAAAAGGATTTTTTGTCAATATAATAATGTATTAAACTTAAAAAAATTAAAACGAATTCAAAGGGAAAGGTTTTCTTTGATTTATAAACGGGCTAAGTCTTTAAATATGTATTAATTTTCGCGTCTAAAGGTCATCGAAAATCTAGTACATATTTTTGCAGCCTTTCTGGACTTAATCTACCCCCAAACATAGCTTGCTGAGCAGTCGAGGATGAGATACGTGCTACTGTAGAAGTAAAGATATAGAAGAACATTTCAATAAAAATCTTTCTAGAAAATTCGAGAATTCTGTTCACGTAAGACTCAAATATGTGAAATGAAGAACCACTTGCATAGTAAAAAGATGGTAAATCTGAGTTGAATGAACCTCAATCTGTTTTTATAAAAAGTTCTGTAAATTAGGCTAAAATAGACTTTGCAAGCTTTTATTTATAGTCCACGTGAAAGAAACAACAAAGTAAAAATGCGTAGCACAGCGTATTTTGCATTGACATCGATTTAGTATAAGTATAATATAATTTACAACGCATTTATAAGTCTTTTATGTCAATTTAGTATTAGACAGCGGTTTCCAACACATAAAAAATGTCTACAAACGAAAATTAAGAAAAACTAGAACTTCTTAACAACAGGCGTGTTTAACACATTAAATTCCAATAGATCAGTGACTAAAAGTTATCACCCTTTATAAGGGTATATTAATCGAACGTAAGGTCCTACGGTGGCGTACGTTAAGCCTTGTTCACACTGGTCGAGTAATTTAGGCGAGTGGTGAGTAATTTGGTAGCTAAACGTGTCCGAATACCAAAAAATTTGTCGAGTAGGTGACTAAATCGTTCATTCGAGCCAATCCATTTTGAAAGGCGAGAAGTCAGTGCGAGTATTTTAGTAAATAAAGGCGAGTCACTTCACTAAATGACTGGACTAAACACTTGTAAACTTTACTCGATCAAAGTGCGAGTATTTTAGTTGCTAAAGGCTTGTCACTCGACTAAATTATTGGACTAATGAGCGCATGAGCGCAATCGCACCTGGTGTTAAGTCTAAGTGAGATGCAGTCTAGGATGGTACATATCTGCCTATTCACTCTCGCCTTGAAAACGCCCGGATTATATGGTCGAGTAATTTAGTAACTAAAGGCTCGTCACTCCACTAAATGACTGGACTAATTTGGTCGAGTATTTTAGTGACTAAAGGCTCGTCACTCCACTAAATGACTGCACTAATTTGGTCAAGTATTTTACGCCCGTATTCACAAACGATGCTGGCTTATGTGAAGCAGTAAATCGAACGCACAGTGTTGAATAGAGCGCTGTGATTGGTTCGTGTGTCACCCTGTGCGTCCATGCGCACTGTGAGACCTCTTAGTAATTTTTGTTAATACGGGCGTTAGTAACTAAAGGCTCGTCGCTCGACCAAATGACTGGACTAATTTGGTCAAGTATTTTAGTGACTAAAGGCTCGTCACCACTAAATGACTGGACTAATTTGGTCGAGTATTTTAGTGACTAAAGGCTCGTCACCACTAAATGACTGGACTAATTTGGTCGAGTATTTTAGTGACTAAAGCCTCGTCACCACTAAATGACTGGACGAATTTGGTCGAGTATTTTAGTGACTAAAGGCTCGTCACCACTAAATGACTGGACGAATTTGGTCGAGTATTTTAGTGACTAAAGGCTCGTCACCACTAAATGACTGGACTAATCACTTGTAAACAGAACTGTATTCGACCAAAGTGCGAGTATTTTAGTGACTAAAGGCTCGTCACCACTAAATGACTGGACGAATTTGGTCGAGTATTAGTGACTAAAGGCTCGTCGCTCGACTAAATATCTCGACCAGTGCGAGCGAGGCGTGACGCGGTTGGAAGCCGCCGCCGCTTCTATATCTTTACTAGTCTAGCGGGAACACCACCGGCTGCAACAGCAGCGGACGCGCGGCGAGCGCGCGGGCCCGCCGTCACTTGCCGTCGCGAGACGCGCGCCGCCGCCGCACCGCGCCCGCTAAAGGCGTGCCTTCGCCCACTGGAAGGAATAGACGAGATTATAAAATTGATATGGCTTATTGGAAAACGAAACTCAAGTCTCCTTAAAGAAAGCCTTTCGAACTAAGGCCCAGAACAGACGGTGAAACGCAACTGCAACGAAAGTGCAACTTTCTGATGATTCTTATGAATGAAACTGAAACTGAAAGTTTCAAACTGGTCGCGTCATGTGTGGTCTCTCAACGGACGCTATGGCAGAAACTTAGATGCAACTCAAAAGTAACTAGCAGTTGCAGTTTCGTTCCAGTTTCGTTGCAGTTGTGTTTCACCGTCTGTTCTGGGCCTAAGCGTCACAGACAGTCCTCTGGGCCTAAACGTCACAGACGCAGCGTCTTTAGCTTTGGTCTTGTGCCACCAACGCCGCGTCACTAACTCGCTTCGAAAGGCCTTTAAGACCAAAGCTAAAGACGCTGCGTCTGTGACGCTAAGTTCGAAAGGCTACCTTTAGAAAGAAAGAAAAAATATCTTTATTTAGCATACAATACAAAGAAAACACATTATATGAACAAGGAGAAAAAAAAATACTTTACGTTAATAGGCTAGTTGCCTAAAAAAATTTTTTTAGTCCGTAATGTTTAATATCAAAAAATATTGGACACGTATATTTTTATTTGTCAATCTAACAAATAATTACATAGTTATGGTGCGTTGAAGTTGCGCACGACGTCACAACGTGCGGCATTTTTAAGCAAGCGTTGACGTCACGGGCCTCTTCTTATGAACTTTGGGGCGCTTTATCTCTTTAAATTTTCATTAGTTTGAAAAAGTGAAAAATACGTGTAGAGTATTTTTTGATAAGTTAACTGACGGACTAATTAAAACTCTTGCTTTTTGACCCAGGCAACATCCCCATTTTTGTTCCGGAAAATAAAACCAAGCCCTACTTATGTAGACCTCGTGAACTGACGGTTTGATAGTTTGCAAAATGCAACTGGACGCAGGCAGCACAGGATTGGTCTTTGCGGAAATCATTGGGAAAAGTCTTTGTCCAGGAGGTGACGGCATTTGATAAAAGCGAAACGGGTCAAATTACAAAATTGGTTCTGTAAATATCGCTTCTGTAAACATACTCGGGTACAATGGTAAGTGACCACGACCAAAGTAAAAGCATGGTTTCTTGACAGCAATGTAGTCAATATTTTTTTTACTTTTTCTAAAAATGAATACACTATGTGCTGGTATGCACAATATTTAATCTCTGCATATTTATCTTGATCACATTCACAGTGTCAGCATATTTACCACGTAGTGTTGATGCAGTGACGTTATTTATCTGTAATCTACAGAGTGTTTGGTAAATGGGTATATGAGACGACACTAGCCCATGTTAACATGGGCATATAAATGGTATGGTGAAGTCAGAAAATTGATATCTTCATTTTAACTATTTTAATTTTTATACAAATCGGAATTTATAAAATTTATTTTGTATGAAAATTTAAAAAAGTAAAATGATGATATCAAATTTTTGACTTCACCATATCATTTATANGGCATATAAATGGTATGGTGAAGTCAGAAAATTGATATCTTCATTTTAACTATTTTAATTTTTATACAAATCGGAATTTATAAAATTTATTTTGTATGAAAATTTAAAAAAGTAAAATGATGATATCAAATTTTTGACTTCACCATATCATTTATATGCCCATGTTAACATGGGCTAGTGTCGGCTCATATACCCATTTACCAAACACCCTGTATATCGTATAAATACTCTCGTAGTTCACGTTAATAACAGAGACTAATTACAACCCTTGTCTCATTCATACGGTCCCCTACCATTGCACACACTACAATAAATGTTGGAGAACTGTAATAAAAGGTACAGTCGACAGCACATCAGACTATACATTTTCGTTGCAAAGTCGCCCCTATCACAACAACGTAAAATACCACAGTGTTTGCGTTGACGTGCTGTCGACTGTACAAAGGTTGAGTACAAAAGATTGAAACAGATAAATAAACAACTCACCAGCACTCCTAGTTTTCCGCCTGGCGGGCGTGGTATTGGTCGGCGCTGGCGCGGCAGGCGGCGCGGGCGCGGGCGGCGCGGGCGACGCGGCCGGCCCGTGACGCACCGAGCGTCTGGGCGCCGCGCCCTCCCCGCCCTTAGTCCGGCCCGGGGCTTTGGCTGTCACCGCTTTAGGTGTCTTCCCGCGCACCTTGCAGATTAGTGGCTCGTCGCTGTCGCTGTCCGAATCCTTTTTCGGCTTTCCTTGGGGAGTCGGTGCGACCGGTTTGGGCCCGTCGACGCGGCGCGGCTTTTTCTTAGGTCGACCCGCGGGCGATAACCCTTCCTCGCAGCTGACGGTGGACGCGCAGGAGCTTTCGGACTCGCGGCGCTTGCGTTTCGCGGGCGGTTTCGCGGGTGCCGCGGGCGGTTCCGCGGGCGAAGCGAGTTTGCTGGACGCGCGCGTGCGGACAGAGGAGCGCGCGACGGCGAGCGCGGACGGCGACGGCGACTCGCGCTTGTATTCGGGCGCGGGGATCTCGATGAGCAGCTGCTCGAGCAGGCTCTTGTCGGGGAAGTCTGCTTTTAGTGGCAGGCGGTCGAGCTCGGCGGGCGGTTCGGTCGCGCCGTTCTCCGCCGCCGGCTCTTGGTACGGATACCGGGGGGGTGAGGAAACGGGGGCGGGGTCGGGCGCGGGCGCGTCGCGAAGTATCGGCGACGGTTCGCGCGGAGTTTCGCCGTTGACTCGCTCATGATTAATGTTGCCGTCTCTTTCTCTTTCTAGCTCACACTCGCGGTCCCGCTCCAAATCGTCGTGGTCGTGGTCGGCGTGCATCTTAGCTAGCGCTGCCTCGATGTCGCCGAGGTGCAGTTGCGGCGCGGGTTCGTATCGCGGCGCAGTACGAGCGAGTCGCTCGAGCAAGGCCGGCGGCGGCGGTGACGGGGCACGAGGCTCCTTTCTTTGCGGCCCGGGCGGAGATTGAGAAGCCTGGTTGGGGGACTTCTCTGATAATGCATCCATGGACTCGATTCCCGAGTCTTCTCCTTGGGCATGGGAGGCGGGCGAGCGCGGCGTGTCTTCGGGCCGGACGCGCTCGGCAGCCAGCTTGCAGTAGGAGCGGTCCTTGGGCCGGTCGCGGCGGCGCGGCGAGCCCGCGGGCGGCGGCGAGGCGCTCCGACTCGTCACGATTGTACCGACGTTGGTGGAGCCCGGGGGATCTGGAACGCAGATCACTGCCGATTAAAAATATTTCGTCATTATCTGAACACAAACGAATAAACCTTGAAACAAAAGTCACTCAAAGGAAAGAAAAAATGTGGCATTGAGTAAGGCCCTTTTCACATGTCACGGCGCCGGGTACCCGGTGGTGAAGTGTATGGGCATGGTACGTAGCTATCACATGTTCCGGCGTAATTAATCCGGCATGCCCATACACTTCACCACCGTACCCGGCGCCGGATAGCCGGCAACCGGGACATGTGAAAAGGGCCTAACAGTGTTACTAATCGGTAATTTCTTTACCAATGGGTAACAGTGTTACACAAAATGGTGTGACTCAACGGGAACAAACGCAAATAAATTGTTTTACTTTCACATTGGTACAAGACGGGAGACATAATGGGGGCCTTAACCGCGGAAACTCGAGTGTAAACCGGCCCATATCGCGTACATTTTTGCACGCTCCTTAGAACGCTTTCAAATTAGGGCGTTAGGAGCGCGACTGCAACGCGGCAGCGGCGTTTTTATAATGTGAATGCATTCATCCGCTGTCACATAGTATGAAACAGCAGCGCGTCTGTCGCGCGTTTGTCGCGCTGCTAAATCGCCTAAATATGAAAGCGCTCTTGCACGCTATATAGCAATTTGAATATACTTCTTGAGCTTTTACTACACATGAAATGTGTTAGACTGCCATTCAGTTTCGAGAAGACAATAAAATATGAAAGACCCGACTTTCTTTCTTTAACGAAATATGCATGAATGAAAAAGACATCTCTTGATTCATTTCAATATAGCAGTGACGTAGACGTAGTTTAAAGTTTACCAACCCTCACCCAATTAATACATAAGTGAAAATAGCTGCTTCGATTTTACTAGTGAATCAAACTTTTGACAATCTCATTTTTTTTCTATCTGAAGTCATATTCAAGGATGATTCAAGGTAAGTAGTAGAAGACAAAAGTAACCGGTGCAAGAGTTGGATTTCAAATTATGATGGTCCAAAGATTTGTCACTCTCCTGTTGCTACTGTACCATGAGTTTTACGTTGCAATGCTACTTACCTACTTACCAAATCAATTTTGAATAGTTCCCAGCCAATTTCAGTCAAATTCCTTTCAGTTCTTACTTACCCCAGCAAACACGCAGTAGAAGGATATACCAAAAATTTACTCTATCTATAGTCACTAATAAATACAATAATTTTATTTTTATTTTATTTATTACCAGACCTTAATCACCCATCCCGCGCTTGAAATGAAGTAGTTACCACACCAGTCTGATATTTTTTTATAAGCTATCAAATCTCTCATAGATTTTGTATAGAAAACCGGATTATGACGTCGCCAGTTCGCGAAATCAATTGACTAATTTATCACGTCACGCTTTACTTTAGTGTAATTTTTAAAGAAGTTACGACTTAGTGTCAAATAAAGTCCGGTCGCCAAGCAGATAGAATGAGGGTTTTCGCGTATGATAGATCCGCTAGATGGCGGGACGTGGATGTGCGGTCTGACTGCTGCGTGATTGGTGGATTTTGACATATCTGTCAATGTCATGTCAAAAATAACCAATCCTGCAGCATTTGGACCTCGCGTCTTCGTATTGCCATCTGGCGGATTTTTCATACGCGAACACCCTCATTTCGTCCAATGAACCTTATCGCTTATGACGTCCTTATCGCTCACGTGTAATTATATTGCTGTCGCGCTCGCACACTTACTACAGCCGCGCGTCGCACAGTCGCGACAGCATTAAGGATGTGTTAGCTTGGGGTCATTGGACGAAATTCTATCTGCTCGGCGACCGGACTTTACACAAACGCTTACCTCACTAACTTTTAGTACACAGTACCGACATTAGTCGGCCGTTTGGTGTAGTGGTTCAGAACGGACTACTATGCCGAGAGGTCCCGGGTTCGATTCCCGGCCGGGCAGAAATTGAAATGATGAATTTTAATTTCTGTGACGGGTCTGGGTGTGACTATGTATAATATTTATGTATTTAAAAAAAAAAAAAAAGTATATAAGTAGTGTATATCCGTTAAGCTAGCACCCATAACACAAGCATTAAGTTGCTTACTTTGGGGCTAGCTGGCGCTGTGTGAAATTGTCCAAAGATTTATTTATTATTTATTATTTATTATTATAACACGTTTCCACGCGACTTCTTTCACCCAGGATTGAATTATCGCCAAATTAACGTATTTTCCATCAATGATTCACAAAAGACAAATTGCAACGTAAAACTCACCACATCAGGGGTTTACTAATATCATTATTTTCTGTTTTTATAAATTTGCCCCAATTCCTTATAGGATAAGCCCCAATATAAGTCCCAAATGTATCTGACATAATAGGCTATTTGATAACATAATAACAAATAACATAAAAATTAGTAAGTAACAAAGAAAATGTTTACAAAATGTACATTTATTTTAATCAAATTGCCTATTTTGTCACGGTTAACTTCTAATCGAGTCTGAAGTTAAAGTACAGCCAACGAGAAGCGATACCAAATATAAACAAACCCAATGTCATGGGTGAACCCGTCTGACTTTGACATATTTTGGCGGGAGAACGAGACATTACGACAAATACACAAGATGGGAAGAGACAGAATATATTGTCAACTCGACAGTCGTATCGACCTTTTGTATCGCTGCTAGTTGGCCGTACTTTAGATCCATTTTGGGATGTGGTGCTAGAAAACTAGAAGTCTCTCAATTTTCTTTACCAAGAGTAAGTCAAAATTAATGTATATTCACATCTTTTTATACCCTTCATTCTCAAATGTATGATCAGCGTTACCGACCATAGATTTGTGTATATTCGGGTATATACAAAAAACCCAGCCTCTAGCAGAAGACGCGACCATACATAAGTTATTTAGAGCTCAGATTACAAGTTAAATATGTACAGAAATAATTAAAAATGTGTGAACAGATGAACTTAATGCACTCTGAATGTTACTATAAATATATACATAATAAATATAATTATAATCTATACAAAACCAGTTAATTTTACAATGTGAACTGTACTATTGATATAAGTGATCAAAGAAAATAAAAATATATTATTATTATCCCTCCAGTAGGTCGCACTTTTACCATTAGCCAAGCCATATTGATTAATTTTTAATTGTTTTATTTAATTTAAAATTACTGTTAAATATAAAACAAAAGTGTGACAAAATGGGAAGAGGGTTTTGAAGTAACAATTTCGACATATTTTAAATTTTTTAAACATATATTTAATTTTTAAAATAATATATTCAAAAACATTTTGTACTACATAACCTAGAGTAAAAAAATGTATGGCCCGATACACCTTCAAAAATAAATTAATTTTAAACAAATCAAATGATTTCAAAGTGTTTAAAAAGTACATAGAATGTAGGGTAGACAGAAAATAAAGAGTAGTAACTATCTTAATTTATCAATAAAAATTTGTCTAGCTATTATTTTATCAATTTCCTAATATAAACCAATATTAATGTATAACAGGTTGTGAAAAATAGTTTTGTGATGTAAAATTATGATATAAGATTGTATATACAAATGCATTTAGTTATAAATTTAGAGCTATTTACATTAAAATATTAACAATAATTATTTCTGTACATAACTGTGTATGTAAAACATACCTATAATAAATATAGTGCAAATTGTGTGAGTCGTCTTTGAATAGAATTTTCCAAATGGCCAAAATAAAAATACAACAACAGATCATACCTAAAAGACACTGCATACATACTTACTTTTTGCACTTAAAATGGTGCAAAAGATAATAGAGTACAAATATACTCTTTATTTGAAATACATTGACTATAAAAAATAGTTGTACTAAGATAATGTAATATACAGAAAAAGGGTGAGCATGAAATTGCATTCTAAATAAAAACCTGATAATTCTAAGTTGGTCCCGCATCAAAGAACTAATTCAATCTAAAGCCCGGTCCGTGAGCACGTAGAATTATGTCCAATGACCCCTAGCTACCCATCCTTATCGCTCGCGCGTAATTATATTGCTGTCGCGACTGGCACCCGCAGTGAGTGTGCGAGCGCGGTAGCAACATAATTACGCGCGAGCGATAAGGATGGGTAGCTAGGGGTCATTGGACAAAATTCTACGTGCTTACGGACCAGACTATAACTAAACACAATTTCATACCCACCCTGTATATGGTATCTGTCCAGCATGATCTGCAACTTAGAAATGAAATGAGGTAGTTACATAGTTTTGGTAAATTCTACAAAGTCGAAGTATAATCTGAGCTCTAATATAGATCGTTTCATCCACGAAGACGCGCCCCACCTTCCGCTAATGTTTGAGTGTTATACACGCTAAATATCCATGAGTGTACGCACACTACAATAATGACGCTCGGATTGCTCGGATCAAACTCCCCGCACCCGCGATTCCAACCAAAAATTGGTGGGACGCTTCTTCGTGGATGAAAGGATCTTCAGTAATCTAGTTAACGCACTGCTGCGGCGACTTAGTGCGAGGCTCCCGGTACCCACCTGGACAGCTGCCATGGCTCGTCTTCCGCTTCTTCTCAGAGGCCAGCAGTCCGTTTGGGGAGGTAATAGCACTATCAGTCAGTGTCCGTTTCAACTTATTGTCACCTTCACTACTGCGCCGCGCCTCCACAAACTTAGACGCGTCCGCCACGTCCTCCGCACTTAGCGTCCGTTCCAAACACTTGAGCAACAAACTGTCTATCTCAGTCTCCATAACACCACTCTTAACACATTCACTACTATCCGTGTCCGATTGCACTGTCTTCCCGTCACTGGACTTATTATCACATTTCGCACCATTATCTACTTTTGGAGTCGGTAACTTCTTTTTCTCGTGGTTGTTCGGCTCTCTGTAGCCCTCGTTTTGAGCGTACTTGCCCTCCTTTTCTAACAGGTCGTTCCGCCACTCTTTGTCCCGCTCTTTCTCTATCGACTTGCCGTCGCCGAGGAGCTTCGACTTTTTCTTCTGCTTGAGGGTGTCCAACGGGACTTTGTTGTTGAGTTTATAGTCGTGCGACTTGGTGACTATGTGGGAGTTCTTGGATATCGTCTTCATGCGATACACGACGTTGTTGTCGCCTGCCGCGATGATCTCGGGCTTGATCCCGTCGCCCTCCCCATAGTGGTTGTTCAGCTTAATGCTCTTGACTAAATACTCATCAGTCTTTTCTGTGCTATCGCTCGATTTGGACGCGAGCGATTGCGCTTCTTCCGAATCCCTCCGATGCGGTTTCTCGTCCGTTTCGAGGGCTTTCCGGATTTTGATTTTCTTGGACTGCATGTCGCCCAAGCTGAACTTTTTCTTTTCCTTTTTGGAGTTCTTGATGACGGCGGAGTTTCGTCCTCTCAGGCTTATGTGTAAGGGAGGGACTCGGAGTTCGCCGTCCGTGGGTTTGTCGCCCTTGGGGGGTTGGTTGACGAAGCTGACGTCCGCTTTGTAAACAGGCTCGTTCTTATCGAGTTTTAGTCTCAGCTTGATGGATTCCTTTTCTCCGGGCGGCGATTTAGGAGCGTCGGGTGTCGCTGGCGCCTTGGCGGCGGCTGGCGGGCGCGGTAAGGCAACTTTGGTTTTCCCATCCCTCACGATCTTGTCCTTGAGCGTGGCGGGCTTCTCCTTTGCGCCGGCGGTGCGCGGCTTGCCGCCCTTCTGCGCGAGTTTCTCCTCCCGCTCTTTCTTCAGTTTATTCTTAAGTTTGAGTTCCTCCTCAGCCTTTTTGGTGTCCTCCTCTGTGGTGGTGATCTTGGCGATGCCGAACACTTCTGGTTCGACGCAGTTTTCTCTCTTTATAGGAGTTATTAGTTCTTTTACGGGAGTCGGAACAGGAGGTTCGTCCTTTTCGGGTTCTTTCGGAGGCGGCGGCGGCTCAGGCGCGGGCTCGTCGTCACGCATGAGGGTCTTGATGAGATACTGCTTGCTCTGCTCCTCGATCTCGTGGGCGGAGGCCTGGGAGCCGACGGTGGCGGTGCGCGCGTGCCTCGCGGGCGGCGGCGGCGGCGGCTTGAAGGCGGGCGGCGGCGGCGGCGGCATGGCGTCTCGCTCGTATGCCGGCTCGTCGAGGTCGAGGTTGAGGTCGAGGTTGAGGTCGGCGCCGAGCGAGGGCAGCAGCGTGTCGAGGTCGCACGCGTCGGGCAGCTCGGGCAGGTCCAGCGTGTCCCGGTACGGCTCGGACCAGTCGCTGGCCGCGCGTTGCGTCGCTATGTACTGCTGCTGGATCCATTGGAACTCCTGGAATGTGAGCGAGAGGATTAGCTAGACGAGTGCAATGATATTAGAGTTCTATTTCAATGGAAGGACTGCCGAAAAAATAGAGATTTTCATTCTGGATGAACTTGTTTCGATGATTATTTCGTCGACTTGAATGATCATCATTAAAATATTTGATGAGAAGTTACCAAAAAACCTAAAAGATTGGACGCGAACTGCATCTAGAAATGATTCCTAAAGTTGACCCTCAAAGGTCCACAAAAAAGTCATGGGGGCTACGTTGGCGAGTGTATAACTTGGCATATTTTTTAATAACTCCCGTTTGTTAAATCGGGACGAAATTTGTCAAAAAACCAATAAAAAAGAAACATCATAATTCAATGGGGGTTTTCGCGATTGAAAAATCCGCCAGATGGATGGAGACGGGAGGTCCAAATGCTACATGATTGGTGGATTTTGACATATCTGTCAATGTCATGTCAAAATAACCAATCATGCAGCATTTGGACTTCCCGTCTACGTATTGCCATCTGGCGGATTTTTCAATCGCGAAAACCCTCATTCAAACCAAAATTTGACACCTATGAATCATATTACAAAGTTTTAAAGTGGTCTCAGGAACCTCTGGTCTAAATTCACATACATCTTCTAAAGCATTTGGCCCACTCACCTGGAACCTCGACCTGGTCTTCTGGTCCATTGACGTGGTAGACGGCGGCAGCAGCACCTTCAGGTCTTCGGGAGAGAACCTGGCCTGCGGCTGGTGCTGGGCCGGCGTGGGCGGACGCGGGCGCGGCGCCTGCTGGCGGTAGGGCGGCGGCGACGATGCAAAGGCGGGGAAACGCGCCCGCCCTACGACGGTTGCGTTGGGCGCGGGCACGCGGTATGCTGGGCCCGCCTGCTGTGGAATTTATTTTATTTTATTTTATTTTATTTATTATTAGGCATACACAACAAGTAACAATCACAAATAATATATAAAGAAAGTAACTTATGCTTAGATCTAGACCATCACTCAAATAACGTGTACACACAGCATGGTTAAAATATTGCATAAACAGTATTATATTGTCTTAATTAACAGAAATAAACAGTAACAAATAGGTAACAATACTAGCTAAGGAGAGCCAAAAGATAAGGAGACATGTAAAGTGCCCCATAAGGGCTACCTTTTCTTTTTAGCTATGTCAAAGTAATGCCCGAAGAGGAAGCGCAGTAGAGGATCTTTTTGACGTTGCGACGGAATCGGACGTGCTTAGGCTCGAAAATATCGAGATCTAGTGATGTCGATGTTTTGCTATCGTTCTGTAGCAGTTCATTGTAAAGCCGACACATTCGTACTACTGGGTTGAAAAAGGACGTGTTATTCTTGAATACTTGCAATACAAATGTCTTTTTGCGGTTTCTAGAAAGAATTCTGGCGTTAAAGTTAAGCAAGGAAAGCAAAATAGGGGAGTCAAAGGCAGAGTGCAAAATCTTATGTAGGTGAAGAAGATCCTGTTGCTTTCTACGCACTATCAATGGTGTCAACTTGAAGTGGCGAAGCCTGTGAATTATGGGCGATTAAAATAATATGCATGATTTTTAAGATCGCTTTCACATTAGGGCGTCAAAAGTGCGACAGCAGCGCTGCAGCGGCGTTTTTGTAATGTGAAGGCAGACACCCGCTGTCATATAGTATGAAATTATCGGCAGCGCGTCTATCGTGCGTTTGCAGCGCTGCTAAAGTCACCTAAATGTGAAGGCACTCTCTAATCAGAAGATTTTAGATGATGACTAGTTGGATTTTAATGTTTGTCAAATTCATTATTTATTTATATCCCAAGGTCTATTTTTGATCACAAATTTTCAAAGGTCTGTGCAGAATGAAAAATAAATTTATGGTGATCCTTAGGATGGAATAAGGACCGACAATAATGTCTTAGGTTTTTTCTTGGTGCTCGCACACTCACTGCGGGCGCCCGTCGCACAGTCGCGACAGCAATATAATTACGCGCGAGCGATAAGGATGGGTAGCTTGGGGTCATTGGACAAAATTGTACGTGCTCGGTGAATAGACTATAGTAAGTGTACTCACCGCCGGCGGCTGCTGCGGCGGCTGCGGCTGCGGCGGCGGCGGCGGCGGCGGCGTGTGGGGCGGCGGCGCGCGCGGCNTCGTTATCGTGTTGAAATGTTCATGAGACTGGTAAGACTTCTTCAGCATACGATAGCATCGTTTTCTCCAATATTTATTTGTATTGGAATTGCTCAAGTTTAACTTCAGTTCTTTTTATAGGTTACACTCTATGTCCAGAAAAACAGCCCCAGATTTTTATATTTCCGCCTGTATGTTTCACCTGCTTCTTCGTTTACTTTGGTATCATTTCGGACTTTACATGTCGTCGCACGTATTGTCTGCATCGGATGAAATACGATTTATCTTGATCTCATCAGAAAACAGCACATTTATCCATTGAGCAAAAGCCTAATGTCCATACTTTCTTGCAAACGCCAATCTTGCTTCTTTGTGTTCCATCTTCAGTAGTGGAACTTTTCGAGGAACTCTTCCTACAAGCTTTGCCTCCACCAGTCGCCTTCCGACGGTCCTCGCAGATACTCCAGCAGTCGGTTCAGGTCCAAAAATCTCGCTCTTGATCAGAACGAAACCCTTAAAGGGGTCTCTCTTTGCGAGAGTGACCATTCTGCGATCATCTTGTGGGGTTGTTTTTATTGGTCTCTTCCTTCTAGGCATACTTTCTGTGGTTTTATGATTTTGAAATAAGCCACTGCATCGTAGATTTATGTTTTTGGAACATTTCAGATGATCTGCAATTTACCGGTATGGCCATCCACACTGATAAAGATTGATTATAACTTAGCGCATTGTTGCTTTTCTTTCAGCCCATTACCTTTAATAATTTGATGAGTGTTTAACTCGCAAGAAAAGAATATCGCTTTTCAAATTGACGCCGAAATTACAAATGAACAGAATAAAAGCTATTACTTTTTATTTTTTTTAATTTAGAAGGAAAAACTTAAGCGTCCCTAATTAGGTGGCCAGACCGTCCGTACCATAATTACCGATTCATGTGATTTGATTAAGATTTTTTATTAAGTTAGTAAGTTTTTTTGTTGTTATTGTATTCTGTTAAATAGAGTACTTGATAGTCAATATGTTTACAAAGAAACAGCCAGTAATATTGAATGAAGCTCACAATAATAGGATGTAAACACTTAGTATTGCTTAGTATTCTTTCTGTCCCTAATTAGTTGACCACGACTGTATGTATAGGTTTTTTTACTATGTCCCGCTTCTGACGGAAGAATCCCGCTATTTTCACTCAAAAAGTATCAAAGTCCCGACTTGGCGAAAAAAAAAACTGGCAACGCTGAACGTGACACAAAACTAAAGGAAAAAAAACCGACAAGTGACGTCCCTAATGAAGTGACGAAAAAAGCAACGTGACACAAAACTAAAGGAAAAAAAACCGACAAGTGACGTCCCTCCCACCTCCATCTGCCTACTATCCTGTGTTTCGTCCCTAAGTATCAAAAATGAGGGGGTCTCTGCCGATGGCCCCTCTGCTCCCCTGGGTCTGAGTGCCAAGCATCCCAACATTATCAGTGCTTCACGACAATAAGCAGTTAACAGTCACACATGGATGTACTAAGAGGGGCCAGGTGAGAGCAGCTACATCCTAACACTAGCACTGCTTCAGGACAATACGCTGTGCTAAGAAGAAGTCAACACTTACCTGAGGATGCACCAAGGAGGAGCAGGAGAGAGCAGCTGTCCCCCTAGAAATGGTAAGCCTCTAAGATAAGTACAACCGCTCCGAAACAAGTCTGATACGCCCCCTGGAAATGGTACGTCTCTAGATCCTACCATATGCTTCGTCCTTAAGTGTCTAAGTTCCTATGCCAGCGTGTCCCTCCTAGGTTTAACAGCTGGGTATGCGTACGCGCATGCACTAACTTGCGGCGCGGGCGCATCCTTTTGTAGCAAGTTGACGAGCAGTGACATACTACGGATGCGGGCTACGTCTTGCTGCGTCATCATAGCCCTATCACTTCTTCAAGACCTGGCAAGCAAAGCTGAAACCCAGGCAGAGCTGAGCCTTAAGTGTCTAAGCGCGGAGATCCTGCCTGTGCCCCTCCCTGGGCCCAAATGGTCCACCCTCTGGGTCTGAGTGCTCCTCCCTGGGCCTAAATGCCCCTCCCTGGGCCCAAATGCCCCTCCCACTAGGTCTGAGTGTCCCTAGCTACTAACCTGTCCGTCGTCCAGCCGCTCCAGCTTGGCCTGCGGCTGCGGCTTGGGCCGGGGCTGCGGCGCGGGCGCGTCGTTCTGCAGCAGGTTCACCAGCAGCGGCGACGACATGGCCACGGTGGGCGGCATCATAACACTAGCACTGCTTCAGGACTATACGCTGTGCTGAGAAGCAGTGAACACTTACCTGAGGGTGCATTGAGGGGGGGCCAGAAGGCAACTACACCCTCCCCCTCTCCATCTACCTACTTACCTTGTGTCTCGTCCTCAAGTGTCTAAGTGCGAGGACCCTGTCTTTACCCAGGGGGCATAACGCTCCTTTCCCCTGGGTCTAAGTGCCCCTTTCCCCTGGATTTGAGCGTCTCTCCCCCTGGATTGAGCGTCTGTCCCCATGGATTGAGCGTCTGTCCCCCTGGATTGAGCGTCTCTCCCCCTGGGTCTGAGTTCCTCTCTCCCGCTGAATCTGGGTGCCCCTCACTTTAGGTCTGAGTGCCCCTCTTCTCTGGGTCTGAGTGCCCCTCTTCTCTGGGTCTAAACACAGGTGTGTTTAGATTGTATCCAGGTCCGAAGCTAGGGACCTGATTGTACTAACCTGTCCATCGTCCAGCCGCTCCAGCTTGGCCTGCGGCTGCGGCTTGGGCCGGGGCTGAGACGCGGGCGCGTCGTTCTGCAGCAGGTTCACCAGCAGCGGCGATGACATGGCCACGGTGGGCGGCATCATAACACTAGCACTGCTTCAGGACTATACGCTGTGCTAAGAAGCATAGAACACTTACCTGAGGGTGCACCGAGGGGGGCCAGAAGGCAACTAAACCCTCCCTTATCCATCTAACCTACCTACCTTGTGTCTCGTCCTTAAGTGTCTAAGTGCGAGGACCCTGCTTTTACCCAGGGGGCAAAGTGCCCTTTCCCCCTGGGTCTGTGTTCCTCCCGCTGGATTTAAGTGCCCCTTTCCCCTGTAATTGAGCGTCTCTCCCCCTGGATTTGAGCGTCTCTCCCCCTGGATTTGAGCGTCTCTTCCCCTGGATTTGAGCGTCTCCCCCTGGATTTGAGCGTCTCTCCCCCTGGATTTGAGCGTCCCTCCCCCTAGGTCTGGGTTAAATGTTCCTCCCGCTAGATTTGAGCGCCCCTCCTTCGTGAATTTAGAGCAAGAGGGACGCGTTTGAGCGTCCCTCCTCCCTGGGTCTGAGTTCCTCTCTCCCCCTGAATCTGGGTGCCCCTCTTCTCTGGGTCTGAGTGCCCCTCTTCTTTTGGTCTGAGTGCCTCTCTTCTCTGGGTCTGAGTACCCCTCTCCGCTGGGACTAAGTGCCCTTCATCCTTTGGACCTAAATGCCCTTCCCACTAGGTCTTGAGTCCTTAGCTACTAACCTGTCCGTCGTCCAGCCGCTCCAGCTTGGCCTGCGGCTGCGGCTTGGGCCGGGGCTGCGGCGCGGGCGCGTCGTTCTGCAGCAGGTTCACCAGCAGCGGCGACGACATGGCCACGGTGGGCGGCGCGGGGTACATACTAACCTTAGCAATGCTACAGGACAGTACGCAGTGCTAAGAAGCATAGAACACTTACCTGAGGGTGCATCAAGGGGGCGCCAAAAGGCAACTAAACCCTTCCTCTCTCCATCTACCTACTTACCTTGTGTCTCGTCCTCAAGTGTCTAAGTGCGAGGACCCTGGCTTTACCCAGGGGGCATAACGCTCCTTTCCCCTGGGTCTAAGTGCCCCTTTCCCCTGGATTTGAGCGTCTCCCCCTGGATTTGAGTCTTTCTCCCTGGATTTGAGCGTCTCCCCCTGGATTGGAGCGTCTCTCCCCCTGGATTGAGCGTCTCTCCCCCTGGATTTGAGCGTCTCTCCCCCTAGATTTGAGCGTCTTTCCCCCTGGATTGAGCGTCTCTCCCCCTGGATTGAGCGTCTATCCCCCTGGATTGAGCGTCTCTCCCCCTGGATTGAGCGTCTCTCCCCCTGGATCTGGTTCCTCTCTCCCCCTGAATCTAGGTGCCCCTCTTCTCTGGGTTTGAGTGCCTCTCTTCTCTGGGTCTGAGTGCCTCTCTTCTTGGGTCTAAACACACCTCCCTGGCTTGGAACCTGGAAACAATCATGCACTAACCTGTCCGTCGTCCAGCCGCTCCAGCTTGGCCTGCGGGTGCGGCTTGGGCCGGGGCTGCGGCGCGGGCGCGTCGTTCTGCAGCAGGTTCACCAGCAGCGGCGACGACATGGCCACGGTGGGCGGCATCATAACACTAGCACTGCTTCAGGACAATACGCAGTGCTGAGAAGCAATGAACACTTACCTGAGGATGCACCGAGGGGGGCCAGAAGGCAACTAAACCCATCCTCTCTCCGTCCACCTACCTACCTTGTGTCTCGTCCTTAAGTGTCTAAGTGCGAGGACCCTGCTTTTACCCAGGGGGCAAAGTGCCCTTTCCCCCTGGGTCTGTGTTCCTCCCGCTGGATTTAAGTGCCCCTTTCCCCTGTAATTGAGCGTCTCTACCCCTGGATTTGAGCGTCTCTCCCCCTGGATTTGAGCGTCTCTCCCCCTGGATTTGAGCGTCTCCCCCTGGATTTGAGTCTCTCTCCCTGGATTTGAGCGTCTCCCCCTGGATTTGAGCGTCTCTCCCTAGGTCTGAGCGCCCCTCCCCCTTGGGTCTAAATGTTCCTCCCGCTAGAGTTGAGCGCCCCTCCTTCGTGAATTTAGAGCAAGAGGGACGCGTTTGAGCGTCCCTCCTCCCTGGGTCTGAGTTCCTCTCTCCCCCTGATTCTGGGTGTCCCTCCCTTTAGGTCTGAGTGCCCCTTTTCTCTGGGTCTGAGTGCCCCTCTTCTCTGGGTCTGAGTGCCTCTCTTCTCTGGGTCTGAGTGCCCCTCTTCTCTGGGTCTGAATGCCCCTCTCTCCTGGGTTAGAGCGCCCCTCTCTGGATCCAATCGTACACTAACCTGTCCGTCGTCCAGCCGCTCCAGCTTGGCCTGCGGGTGCGGCTTGGGCCGGGGCTGCGGCGCGGGCGCGTCGTTCTGCAGCAGGTTCACCAGCAGCGGCGACGACATGGCCACGGTGGGCGGCGCGGGCGGAGGCTTGGCGGGGGCGGGGTAGGGCGGCGGCGGGCCCGCGAAGGCAGAGGTTGAAGGCCGCGCGAATGGCCCGTCTGAGGGCGGCCGCGCGCTCGAGGGGCCGCTGATGCCTGTGGGGAAAGACGATGATATTAGTAACCTTAATTCTGTACTATAATCGATGCAACTAGACCTCAAGAATGTTTTATTTAATAGGCTAGTTGCCTCAAAAAATTTTTTTAGTCCGTAATGTTTAATATCAAAAAATATTGGACACATATATTTTTATTTGTCAATCTAACAAATAATTACATAGTTATGGTGCGTTGAAGTTGCGCACGACGTCACAACGTGCGGCATTTTTAAGCAAGCGTTGACGTCACGGGCCTCTTCTTATGAACTTTGGGGCGCTTTATCTCTTTAAATTTTCATTAGTTTGAAAAAGTGAAAAATACGTGTAGAGTATTTTTTGATAAGTTAACTGACGGACTAATTAAAACTCTTGCTTTTTGACCCAGGCAACATCCCCATTCGTAAAATATTCGTAACCTTTGACACCAGGAAAATTTGCGAAAAGTCGTAAATTTAATTGATAAACTGAAGCCGTAAAAATATGGAATTGTAATGCTACTAATCCGGATGTCATTCCATTCATACCTATGTAGATTTATAGATTTGATCTTCTAGTGAACTTAGCCGTGATGCAAAGTTGTAGACTCACTAAACGTCTTCCACCTAGACAACTCACCTAAATTGTGACGTCTCCCAGTTTCTTCTAAAGAAGTAACTTCCCAAATTGGAAGGTTCTAGAATCCACCCATCGTGTTCTAAAGAAGTCAACGCCACATAAATGTAGACTGACACAGCATCTTCTAGAAAACTCACTCAGTCTTCTAGGGACCCATTCGCGTGCTCTGGGGTCACTGGCATAGAACATTCTGAACTTTAAATACAACTCTGTCATACGGAAGGTTCTGGACTCACCCAGCGTGTTCTCCTTGCGGTGTATGACGCGCGCCTGCGTCATGCTCCCGAAGGGGAACTCGCAGCGATCAGCAGCGGGCGGGATGGCGGGCGGTATCCGTCCGTCCATCGGGTCACGGTGTTGACGATGTGACTGGAAGGTTCTGGACTCACCCAGCGTGTTCTCCTTGCGGTGTATGACGCGCGCCTGCGTCATGCTCCCGAAGGGGAACTCGCAACGATCAGCAGCGGGCGGGATGGAGGGCGGTATCCGTCCGTCCATCGGGCAGACGGTGTTGGGCGACTTGAAGCTGTCGCGCGGCGGCTCCGGCGGCGCGCTGGTCGACGGCTGCTCCTCGCTGATGAGGCGCCCGATGCCGCCGAGGTTGGATAGCAGTTCCGCGTTCGCTTGCGGTCGCGAAGCGGTGCTGGTGCTCGCTTCTGGAATGGTTGAGTTTGGTTTATTAATCAGACAGATAGAAAGAGATACGAGCTCTCAATTTAGTGCTGGATGACCAAGTGGATAACTGTTTGTGACTTTAGAGAAACTCGCCATGATGCAAACTTGGTAGCTCACCCAGTGTATTCACAGAATACACTTGTGAGACTTGCCATGCTGCAAGATCTAGACTCACCCAGCGATTTGTAGAAGAACTCGCCGTGACGCAAAATTGCAGACTCACCTAATGTGCTCTGGAAAAACTCACAGTGATGCAAAGTTGCAGACTCACCTAGTGTGTTCTGGAAAAACTCACAGTGACGCAAAGTTGCAGACTCACCTAGTGTGTTCTGGAAAAACTCACAGTGACGCAAAGTTGCACACTCACCTAGTGTGCTGTGGAAAAACTCACAGTGACGTAAAGTTGTGGACTCTTCCAGCGTGTTCTACAACTCAACGTGATGCAAAGTTGTTGATTCACGTAGTGTGCTCTTGAATAACTTACAGTGACGCAGTTGCGGACTCACTTGCAACGTTGCGTTCTTCCAACCTCGTCACGCCAAGGTGAATACACACTCACCGTCCGCGTCGGTGTTGAGCGTGTTCTAGGAGAAAACACCGTGACGCATAGTTGCAAGACTCACCCATGTACCCAGCGCATTCTTTCAACCTCATCACGACATAAAGGTGACTAAAGCCTGGTCCGTGAGCACGTAGAATTTTGTCCAATGACCCCAAGCTACCCATCCTTATCGCTCGCGCGTAATTATATTGCTGTCGCGACTGTGCGACAGGCGCCCGCAGTGAGTGTGAGAGCAATATAATTACGCGCGAGCGATAAGGATGGGTAGCTTGGGGTCATTGGACAAAATTCTACGTGCTCACGGACCAGGCTTTACACACTCACCGTCCGCGTCGGTTTTGAGCGTGTCACCGTGACGCATAGTTGCAAGACTCACCCATGTACCTAGCGCGTTCTTTCAACCTCATCACGACATAAAAGTGACTACACACTCACCGTCCGCGTCGGTGTTGATGCGCAGCTCGGCGCCGTGCGACAGCCGCAGCGACACCGCCGCGTCGCCGTCCAGCTGCACCGACAGGATGCCGAGCGGAGCGGCTGCGGCGCGCCCGCGTGGGTCGCTCCTGCACTCACCGTCCGCGTCGGTGTTGATGCGCAGCTCGGCGCCGTGCGACAGCCGCAGCGACACCGCCGCGTCGCCGTCCAGCTGCACCGACAGGATGCCGAGCGCGAGCAGCTGCGGCGCGCCCGCGGCGGCCAGCGCTCGCAGGCGCACGGCGGCCGCGCGCGGCACCGACAGCGTCACGCGCACTGAGTTCCACGGCTCCACCTGGAAGATATCAGATGTTATACAACTGTCACTAAAATACCTACGCTAAGGCCCAGAGCAGACGGTGAAACGCAACTGCAACTAAACTGCAACTTTCTGATGATTCTGATGAATGCGACATGTGTGGTCTCTCAACGGACGCTATGGCAGAAACTTAGATGCAACTCAAAAGTAACTAGCAGTTGCAGTTTCGTTGCAGTTGCGTTTCACCGTCTGGGCCTAAGTCTGCGGGCACGAAACTGGTGACGGCCGAGCGATGAGGGAGCGACGCGATGAGGGAGCGACGCGACGGGAAGCGACGTCGATAAGGAATAGTATTGTGATCGCCCCGCATCGTCGACGCCTGTTTCGTGCGGTTCACCATATACTGTCATCTTGTTCTAGCGCCAGTTTCGTGTCCGCAGACTTAAACCATAAAGTTAATATTCCTTCGGAATAGACCAACAACCGTCACATTCGTGTGTAATGTAACGTTACAGATTCGAGCATTACATCAGTGAGGGAGGAGAGCCGAATAGAATGTAGTGTAATACTCAAAGTCGAATCTATAATGTTACATTACACATAAATGCTCCGTGTGATAGAGCACCTTTAGTCACAACAGAATCACAATCATGATCTTAAAATTATGAAAAAAAATACGCACCAAAGACGCTAGACACTGAAAGGATTAGTCCTTTAAGCCTGTGCCTAGAAAGCACTCAACTCACCGACATGTCATGCTTGCTTTGCGGTCTGATGAACACTCACCAGAGTCATTCGAATCTAAAGTGCAGATCACACTAGCACACTGACCAGTCCTGGATCTGTCAATAGGCCGTATAGGCCGCGGCCTAGGGGCGGCAGATTTCAGATGACGCTTACTCGATTTCAGAAGTTAAAAGTTAAATAAAGATCCAACCCCAAAACTGTAAATCCGCCACTGACACTGACCAGTGACAAACTATAGCAGCTTGACAATAACACCAAAGCGTTGGGACAAGGTGCCTAGCTAGAGGTCCGCAAAATTTTCTACAGCACCGTATTCTTCAAATTTTAATGTACCACTCATGTCATGTGTGTACTCCTATTATTTTGATAACTATTACCCAATAATGTTATACTTAAATGCTAACCACTGCTTGGTTCACAAAAAACTTCTAATACTGTTTAAAATTAAATTCCTTGCATCATTTAATTAGTTAGTAATTAAACGAGGTTACAAAAAACATACAAGTAATATTCCAAAAAAATTAAGCACAATGCATATTATTACAAAAACGATACTATGTTTTACGGCTATGATACTACGCAAAAATTATGTAATGAAACATTTCGTGGTCGAATCACGAAAAGGTGTATCTAACAAAATGGCGATATTGAGAACACACCATGTTATTAAAAAAACGTGCATTTTATACCTCAATGCAAAAAGTTTTATGCAAAAAGTTGTAACTGAATTATTTGTCAGGAAGCCAGTATTGACAGTTAAAAAGGGCCCGAAATGCATTTTTCCAAACTTCAAATTTTCTTTAATGTCGCTCCTGTAAAATTGATAAAAATCAGTTACGTCTTTTCGTGATTCGACCCACGATTCTTAATATTCCAGCATTTAACAACATTTCTGATACAAAGCTATTAATTTATTCTAACATCTAAACGAAGGCTAAAGCCAAATATACGACAAATTAATGTCTTTAATATTAAATGTATTATTCGGCATGTGACGATGCACAGCATCTGGTGAGAGATGCGTCTACTTCCGGTGTAGTTTTTCACCATTTTATACCTTAAATGACGTCATTTCCGCAATTATTTAATAGGAATTGATTTGACTTACTTCCGTTTGCCGCCATTTTAGTCACCTGGGGGCGAGCTTGCTCGGAGTTCTTCATAGCGTCTTTAACTTCCAAACTAGCAACATCGTAAGCAGAAACTCTGCTCAGATTTTTACTGAAATAATTTATTTCTCAACGTTCTTATACTAAGTTTAAAATTAAAAAGTGCAATTGACCGCGCGTGTGTGACCGCGAACGACATGTACGTGATGGTGGTTGGCGCCAAAGGGGACGAGTGTCTTCCGGACGACGAGCAGGTGGACCCAGAGCGTCGGATACCGGAGAAACTCGGACCCCGGCGAGATTCAAAACGGATGAAACGAGGTACGTGGGATTCTGATAGTTTTAACACTCTTTTCGATCAAATGAGCATTCTCGCGAATCTCTATATTGTATAAATAGATTGAATAACGTACCCACAACCATCTTATAATAATACAAGTTTTATTGTTTTGTAAAACTTGTACTATTTTCATATAATTGAATACTATGTAATTGCTAACTTGACAGTTGTTTTTTATTATTTTACATCGGCGCCTGTGAATTAACTAAATATAATATGTACTATCTATGTCGCAGAAGTAGTATCGAATTCATTATCATTTCATTAAAAGACTCGTTGTAATGAAGAACTTTTATTTACTAGTTAATTTATATAAAAAAATATAATAATAGCTATCACTTTTTCCGCCATACATATAGAAATCTGACTAATGGATGTCCAGTATACGTTTAAAGTCAAAAAACTTGATTTATTATTTATTAATTTCTCACAAAAACTCCTAAACAATTGCTTGCTTACGTGGATAATAGCGTAATGAATGATGCAATAGTCAACTTTAACGTTTCGTTTCATGAGTTTAAATTAAGTTAAGAGCGTTTACGCCGTTTGGCGCAAAAACAGTACTTTTTCAACTCGTTACAATCATTAACCAGTAATACTACAAATATGTTGTAGGCATAAATAGTTAGGCAATTTCGTCGTCTAAATAGTTAATTGAGAAAATATTGCGATTAGTTTAGTATTCAAGAATTCTATCAAGATAAGTCCACATAGGTTTTGTAAATTTCCACTTTAGCGTCAGTTTACAAGCTGAAATTTTTATAAAAATACTGTGAAAACGATTTAACAAACATTTATATCTTATAGCATAGATCCTTGGGCAAATAGTTATCTGAGAAAATTTTTAGATTTAAGCATTTTACAATAAGAAATTACAAATTAAAAAAACGTGAAATACCCAAAATTATGGTATAGTGTGCTTACTTTCTGTGAAAGTGTTCTTTCACAGAAAGAAGCAGTGGAACGGGGGAGCGAGAGGCCTCAGCCGACACTCCGGTTATCCGCCGCCGACACCCTGGGCGCAAGAGGACAGCTTATGGTCTCCAACTGTCCCTTCCTAACAGGCCTCGGTCGCTAGACATGGAGGTGTCTGGTGGCGGCTAAGGACAAATGCTACAGGCAACAGCCAATGGCGATGTCCCGCGTTCCCTCATATCACTCATATGGATCATGGCAGAAACAGACAGGTTTTTAGTGGGTGTATGGGCTACCCACCTTCTGGTAGGAAGAACCCCACATAACCCACTAGCTGCCCCCGCAGCTGGTGGGTATGAAATGTTATGCATTTTCCGGATAAAAAAAGAATAGTAAACAGGAAAAGTTTGTTTTGAATAGAACCGATTTGAAAAAATCTCTCACCATTAAATTTCTTTTTTTTTTCTGCTGAAAATATTCTCAAAATAGTAAAAAACCTTTGATAATTTACTATTTGGTAAAGAATTTACATATTTATTATTGATTAGGACTAATGTATACCATTATTTATAATTATGGAGTCGGTGTTGGAAGATTTGAAGATTTTATAGTTTCTTTGGGCTGTCACTTGACAGCCTGGCACACTTTTACCATGGTGGATCAAAGTATTTTGGTTTGACTATAGAGCGTGAGAACACGCACACAGTCATAATTATTTTAGTGTGAATAAAAATAGCATCGAAATTACCTAAACTTGACATGCCACGCTAGACGTAAACGCTCTTAACGACTACAAAAGTCCGTGTGAAACGCGACTAAAAATAAAAGTACCTAACACTTTGACCATTAATTCGAACTTGTCAAAATTCAAAGATTTCTGGTCGATTAGACTCCAAGGTCGTCTATGTATACCCCTGAAATATTGGATCGAGTCACCAACATAAGAGCGAGTTCGAACTACGTCAGATTCCGTCAATATTGAAGTATACAAACAAAAATGCAATACAATGCTTCAACCACACCAACGAGTGCAGCCCCCTTAGACAAAACACACTTTTTGATCGAATCGAAAATCGAATCCGTCAAATCTCCATACAAGAAAGGGGCTTTTCGACTGGTTTGCGATTATAATTTGCACTTTGTCTAGACCCACAGATCGCCATCACCGGCGCGATCATAAGCCAATGACAGGTCGCGCGACCCATGACAGTCCGCGCGTTGCGTGACATCGAAAATTTCAATATTGTCTATTGACATAGGACCAGTCAAGAAAAGAACTTCCATTTTCCGCTGTTGTGCAACGCTGATCAACAATCAACATGTTGAGAGTCACGTGTTGTGCGTCAACGTCAATCGTTGCTTAGGGATGTGTGTAGTTTAGACCGACTTATGGGTTCTTTCAAATAAGACGTTCTAAGCTGGACCTTAGTCGTCCATTTGCAGGACCGCACATGGAAATTTTTATGACAACTGCGTTGCAATAAATTAAAATTACCAGTTAGTGTTGACATCTTAGTTTGAAAGACGACAATTTAAAAGGGCACTAAGTTCATAAGGGCAACAAATGAAATAAAATTGAAGACGAAAACGACCTACTGGTTCTCTTAACTAACGACCATGCATAAGGCCTACGTGACCACAGTCAGTTTCCACTTGCACATTTTTGGTTCAATGCAGTGAAAGGCACGATTTTTATCCTCAAGACTTTTTCCTGTAGTTTAAGTGGAGAATCTTGTATAATGACTTGAAAGTGGCTGACCACGTGTTGGTTTCCTTTTCATAAAGACTCAGATGAGTCATAAAAGTCATTTATTTTCTAGAACTAGAAATTGGCTTTTAAAAAGCGCTTTTACAGTAACTGTCTTATTTCAGTAAAGTCTCAGGAACATGTGTGCCAACCTTACGATCACACGATTCGAAACGTCGAAAAATCGCTCCATCTGAACAAGCTCTTACTCTTAGGTTGCTGCTGCTGCTGCTGCTGCTGCTACAGACGATGATGACATTTTAATTATTAGAGTGATGTGTCGTGTTGTGATATACTAGCGTCTTTGAGAAATTGTCATCTTGACAGCGCCCCCACAGCGTTATGAGATAACTGCTGCGTTACTTTTCGTTACGCTCAGCATTGGCTTCGCGACGACGCTGCGCCGCGCCGGTAGGACGACTTTGGTTGGAAAGACCCTGCAAAATGAACCTTACGTTGTTGACTAGGAGACATTTGTCCCGCGACTCTGTCGCCCGACACGAAATTCACGTGTCCCGCGCGATGTCGCTCGACGTCGCTTGCGACATCTACGGGTCGCGAGACTTGTCGCTTGTCGATGCTCTGCGAGTGTCGACATGCGCGACCTTCGTGTCCCTCGACAGTCGCCCGACAGCCTTTGAGTAGTGAGTACGCGTGTCGCTTTGTGCGACATACTGTTCACTACTGGCTAGTGTGAACAAGTCATATGTCAAGGGACAAAGTTGCAGAGACAAACTACGTGAATGTCGGACGACTTATCTCCGCGACATGTCCCCTAGTGAAAACGTGGCTTAAGGGTGTGCGGGTGCGGCCCACCTCTCCTCGTCCGCTGCAAAATGAACCTTACCTTGTTAACTTTAAGGCTGCCGAGCTGGACCCGATTACAACCGCGCCCGCTGCGGGCGAAAACCGCGTCGTGAGTTGTGCATTAGATTTTACATAAGTATCTGCATTCTTCAAGCGCCGCGGACGCGGGTGAAAATCGCGCCATGAGTTCTTAGCCTAAGGCTGGTTTTAGTGTCACGCGGACCGTCCGGTGCGGATCCGCTCCGCACGGCCAATCTGTATAAACTTCTAGGGAGCGTTTTAGAGTAATGCGGTCCGGAGGAACCGCTCCCCTCCCTAGCAGTTCATACAGATCGGCTGTGCGGAGCGATCCGCACTGACAGTGCGCGTGACACTAAAACCAGCCTAAGGGTGTGCGGGTGCGGCTCACTCCTCTTCGCTGCAAAATTAACCTTACCTTGTTAACTTAAGGGTGTGCGGTTACTACTCCGCGAACAGCGGTTATTCGAACACCTCTTCTCTCCTCTCCTCGTCCGCTGCAAAATGAACCTTACCTTGTTAACTTTAAGGGTGTGTCGGTTATTAGAACACCTCTCCTCTTCTCCCCGCTTCGCTGCAAAATGAACCTTCCCTTGTTAACTTTAAGAGTGTGCGGGTGCGGCTCCGCGAGCAGCGGTTATTCGAACACCTCTCCTCTTCGTCCGCTGCAAAATGAACCTTCCCTTGTTAACTTTAAGAGTGTGCGGGTGCGGCTCCGCGAGCAGCGGTTATTCGAACTCCTCTCCTCCTCGTCCGCTGCAAAATGAACCTTACCTTGTTAACTTTAAGAGTGCGCGGGTGCGGCCCACCTCTTCTCTCCTCTCTTCGTCCGCTGCAAAATGAACCTTACCTTGTTAACTTTAAGGGTGTGCGGGTGCGGCTCCGCGAGCAGCGCGCGCAGGTCGCGCAGCAGGCGGCGCAGGCGCTCGGGGAAGCGCGGGTCGCGCAGGTCGCCCTCAGTTCACTAGGAGACATTTGTCCCGCGACTCTGTCGCCAGACACGAAATTCACGTGTCCCGCGCGATGTCGCCCGACGTCGCTTGCGACATCTACGGGTCGCGAGACTTGTCGCTTGTCGATGCTCTGCGAGTGTCGACATGCGCGATCTTCGTGTCCCTCGACAGTCGCCCGACAGCCTTTGAGTAGTGAGGACGCGTGTCGCTTTGTGCGACATACTGTTCACTACTGGCTAGTGTGAACAAGTCATATGTCAAGGGACAAAGTTGCAGAGACAAACTACGTGAATGTCGGACGACTTATCTCCGCGACATGTCCCCTAGTGAAAACGTGGCTTAAGGGTGTGCGGGTGCGGCTCACCTCTCCTCCTCTTCGCTGCAAAATTAACCTTACCTTGTTAACTTTAAGGCTGCCGAGCTGGACCCGATTACAATCGCGCCCGCTGCGGGCGAAAACCGCGTCGTGAGTTGTGCATTAGTTTTTACATAAGTATCTGCATTCTTCAACCGCCGCGGGCGCGGGTGAAAATCGCACCATGAGTTCTTAGAATAAGGGTGTGCGGGTGCGGCCCACCTCTTCTCTCCTCTCTTCGTCCGCTGCAAAATGAACCTTACCCTGTTAACTTTAAGAGTGTGCGGGTGCGGCCCACCTCTTCTCTCCTCTCCTCTCCTCATCGCTGCAAAATGAACCTTACCTTGTTAACTTTAAGGGTGTGCGGGTGCGGCTCCGCGAGCAGCGCGCGCAGGTCGCGCAGCAGGCGGCGCAGGCGCTCGGGGAAGCGCGGGTCGCGCAGGTCGCCCTCGCACGTCACCACCACGCCGCACGCCCCGCCGCCCGAGACCAGCCCGTCGCTGTCCGCTGCCATACTGGAATATTAAGCAGGGGTTGCTTTCATCAACAGCCCTTTACAGTCCACTGCTGGACTACGAGCCTCCTCCACTATAGTGGAGGGTTTTGCCATAATCTCCACGCTTGGCAGGCGGGTTGGAGATCGCAGTTTAAAAGATTGATGTTTTTCAGAGAGCGCTGCTGCCCATTCTCTGTTTGATGTGTAGTCCCTAAGTCGCCTCTTACGACACCCGCGGGAAGAGTAGGGGTTGGTGACAAATGTATTCTACTCTGCCGTCACCACACGGCTAGGGGGTTGCTTTAAAATAAATAAATAAAATACTTTATTCAGTACATAGGCCCTTTCCAGCGTTTCAGCTCATAATGACAACTTCTCAAAATGACAACCGGGGCGCAAAATGGCCACTTCTCGGAATGACAATTTCTTAAAATGTCAACTTCGCTAAAAGACAACTTCTCATAATGTCTATTTCTCACAATTCGCATTTGGTCAACTTCACATAATGTCAACTACTTGTTGATATTTTATTTTCATTATTTCTAGAGTTCTAGTTCTTCTAGAGTTGTCATTATGTGAAGTTGACCAAATGCGAATTTGTCATTGTGAGAAATAGACAGTATGAGAAGTTGTTTTTTAGCGAAGTTGACATTTTAAGAAGTTGTCATTTCGAGAAGTTTTGCGACATTTTGCGTCCCGGTTGTCATTTTAAGAAGTTGTAATTATGAGCTGAAACGCTTTCCAGGGCACTTATACCTACACGACCAAAAATTGCTCGCCCTACCACCACTTCGGGACAACACAATATTATGGGCTGGTGCCGAGAAGATGAATAGAATTCTCCACATTACATGAACATTAATAGTATACAAGCAACACCTAGCCTGACAAGGATGAAAGCGCAGAGGGATTCCCCATCACACTAGCGTTTGTCCGCGCTGTATGCGCTAAGCGACGCACGCATCGCGTCATCGCGGCGTCTGCCTGCAGTTGATAGAACGCTGCATACAATTCGTTTTCGATAATTTCAGATTTGAATAAGATTGTTTACAGTGGAGTTTTCCCGAAGTTTCCAACGTTGCCATCACTGTCACTCAAAGCGAGATGCCAGCATGAACGACGGTGACAGATAGACCCGTTTCAGCGTTTTGGAGTAGCCCTGCTGGACATCGCAGTAACGTCGTACGTCACGCAGGCGCGACACTAGCGTAACGTAGCGCAGCAGTGACGCTAGCGCAGCATATGGGTCACTGCAGCGCTACGTTCATCTCCTACATGTTCATCGAATGCCAACGATGGGCAAACGTTAGTGTGAAGGTAATCTTACATAAATGACAGCCAAAACAAACTCAAGTATAGATTCAGTGCCTTGGAATTTAAAGAGAGACGTCTCGTCATTTTAGAATACCAGCCAAAGGATTTCCTGAAAGGACTAGAGCTAAAACTCGACACAAACTCAAGCTAATGTTTGGCTGAGATTTCAATCTGCGCCTTGAGATTAAATGAAGTTTAGAACGTCCTATCAGAATACGTACGACTCGAACAATATATAGTTAGAAAGGGGTAATATTTGCATGCACACTAAAACTACGTATATTAGTTGATTCCTTGTCTTTCAATGCATCAATGTTAAGGCCACATTCATGCAAAACGCGTCCATAATCCATAATTTAACTGTCTCTGTCGCTCATGAGAGCATTTCGCTATCAAAGAGGAATAGCTGGATCTGAAAATACAGAAACAGCCTGAGGGTGAAGAAGTCCCGCTGAGCGTGGAAGTTCAAGCAAAACAGAACAGTTTTCTACGCGCATCTTTCGGTCAAAATGTTCTTTATAATATTTATTCCGGCATCTATGCAAACATTTTGCAGGATCGGAAGCCGTCTTGTACAGAGCTCCGCATCAAGTTCCGCATTTGCATGAACATGGCCAAAACCATTCCAGATAACACATTTCCATACAGGGTGTCCCCAAAATAAGCGTCACACTTACACCAGAGGTGAATGGGTCAAAGACGCCTCGAACAAGTCATTTTTGAACGGTTTTATTTAGCTTGCCCTGTTTATTCACTAATAAGTCAAGTAATTATCTGTGAGGTGCTAATTTTGGGACACCTGTAACGTATTAAAAGACAAGCTCCATAAAATATACCATTAAAAATCGAGGTAATAACCGAATGGTGTTGAAATAACATATTGGTGATGACTGGGGCAAGTGGTAGTTTTTCCACTACAATAAAAGTTAGGCCGTCGGTCGCGACCCCTCTTTATCGTGTTTTTACAAGAATACCGTAGATAATACTAATAAATTATAATATTTTCTGATTGCTTCCCTTATGAACTAGAACTACCCTAACATTTTATTACTTTTGACATTCAACTACGAAATACAAGTTATTACCATAGCTAACAAGTTGTTAAAGGCGTCACTGCTCACAGTTCATGCTTCTAAAGCCTGGTCCGTGAGCACGTAGAATTTTGTCCAATGACCCCAAGCTACCCATCCTTATCGCTCGCGCGTAGTTATGTTGTTGTCGCGCTCGCACACTCACTGCGGGCGCCCGTCGCACAGTCGCGACATCAATATAATTACGCGCGAGCGATAAGGATGGGTAGCTTGGGGTCATTGCACAAAATTCTACGTGCTCACAGACCAAGCTTTAACATAATTAACAAGTCAGATATTAACACAGAAAAGATTTCGATTAGGAAGACAGTCCCAGTTACAGGTCTAGTTCTTAACTCAGTCAGTGCCTGGAGTATGGGAGCGGCACGGGAGGGGTGATTTCGACATAATTATTATGACGTGACAGAGCAATTTGAAGCAGGGATGTTATGGATAACCGTAACCGCATCCGAAACTTTCGGATATCCGAAATCGTAACCGTAACCGATTCAAAAGTTTCGGATAGTTTCAGATGTAGGCACTGTAGGCAGTTTAAAATAAAAATAGTTTTTTGTATAGCATTATACTATGTAAAGGCATAACAGCCTGATTTACCTTTATAATGCCATCTAGTATCAATTTTTATTTTTTATTACTTTTTATTCGATGTAAAGTGTGCGGCCATGAATGAACCGTGTTGGACAACTATTGCAAATTGCATTCTAAAGCACAGATATCCGTAACCGTAACCGAAACTTTCGGATATCCAAAATAAAAAAATATCCGTAATTGGTAATAATAAAAAAAAAGGAATAGTGACAGTGTTGTTATTAACATTGTTAAGAACAATAATAACAATCAATGGGACATGAAGAGCTCATTAAAGGCCTATTTGTGAAAAAATAATACTATATTATGTCAATTAAAACTTTAACAACAGCAATATAAAATGATAACAATTATCATGCTAACACACTCAATGCCGGCATGGTATAAAAATCCGGATTTTACCACCTGTATTTACCATGTGACAAGCAAATTTAATAAATAAATAAATCTTTTAAGACTACAGAAGTTCATAATTTATTCGTTTTTGCTTCACTGGAACTGAATACAGAAGTACAAAATTTTATAACATAAATTCAAATCACCGAAGTAAAAATAAAAACAATAATATAATTATGCCAAACACAGATAATCTGCTAAAATCTGAATCCAATTTCTAACCTAATTCAGGAATATTTTATTGAAGCTTAACCTTATTAAGATTTAGGAGCTAAATAATATTAAGTTTTAGAAAACCAATAAAGAAAAAAATAACATTTATGGTGCAGAGTACATTTGAGTAAATAAATAATAATAAATAAATTATGGGAATTCCAATAATGGAAAGTAAAATTGTGTTTTGTGGTGTCAATAAATCATTTGAAAGACAGGAATTTAAAGTTATATGACTCTCCACACACAGTTCATGCTAATTGTGCCATAAACTTTTATAAAATAAACCAAAATTATGCATGCATTTGCATTTTGTTGGTAGTCCCTCATATACCTACTGTGTGTGATAGCCAGTAAAAATTAAAAGCTTGTCACACATTTTTTTAATGCAGTTGAGTTGTTCACCAAAAAGGGCTACCTTTTTATTTTTGTAAAATTGAGTGCTTTAACTTTAGAACAAATCAAATTCATACACAACTATTTAGACAATTTATCTAAAAACTTGTGTCCTCTACTAGTTGTTATTATACCAGGGTTCGAGGATATATATCAAGGGATATATATCAAGATATATATCGGATATATATCCGATATATATCAAGCCGGTTTTGATGATATATATCAACTTTTAAAATTTGTTACTGTATTTGTACTTTTTGACATAAGATTTTTATTTTTTTAGTTGATTTTGCCGTATTTCAAAGATATTTTATGTTTTTGCTTTATTTGTCTGATTTTAAGTTTTAAAAACATTAAAAACATGTTTATGTAACACATATGCAATAGTATTCATGAATAATAAAATTAAATAATACTATGGCTTTCATACAAAATTGATATATATCAAAGTTGATATACAGTGTGTCCGGGTTTGTAGTGATCAAACTTTAAGGGCGTAATCTATGGACAATTTTATCGATGAAAATACTTCAAATTTGGGGCTTGACCTATTTCTCGCAAAATTACGAGGATTTAAGTTTTTAATTTTTAGTTTTCACCTCTTCCTTCAAAAACAAGTGAAAGCGTGGGTAGCTTAACACTAATAAGAAAAAATTTTATATCATGCGATAGCCAATAAAATTATCTATTAGCAGAAGTAGAAAACAGATACAAGTTTCATACATTTTAAGGGAGTAAGAATGGATTTAATTAGAAAAAAACATGACTTTTTTGATAATACCTATTCAACAAAAAAATAATCGTTCAAATTGATTTATAATCGGCGGAGATATTGCGTATAAAAAAGTTCATCCCCAATTTTCCACCCTTGGGGGTTGTTTTTTCTATTATTAAATTTAAATGGGACCACCCTTGAGGTATTATCTATACGCCGAAAAAAGATTTGTTCAAATCGGTTCATAATTGGCGGAGTTATCGCGTAACAAACATAGAAAAAAAACATACGGGTCGAATTGAGAACCTCCTCCTTTTTTGAAGTCGGTTGAAAACAAATTCATTAATTTTTAGGTTCCTTAGTAATTTTAATTTTTGTCTTTTTTTAATGACACGTATTATTGGCTTACAAATGCAATTTTTTATTTATCTGTAAGACGGGCGGTAGAGTCACATAAAAAATTAAGTTTATTATTGTTTGAAATGCAGTTACCCAACTAACTAATAGCGAGAATTAAAATTAAAGGGGGCTTGCAAAAAACTCTACCAAACCACAAATACGTTTTAATTGCAAAATCTCCCGTATAACACTACAAAAGAAGCCAGTGTTTAGTTTGACGTGCTACTGTCTGTACTTTTTAAAAATAAATAACTGGTTACGATTTGAGTTTGAGAATAAAGTTGAATTATTTTACACTTGCTATTGCCCGCGACTTCGCCCGCGTTAATTTGGTCTGTCACAGCACAGCAGAATTAATCCATTCATATTCTATATTATATTCATCAGGACTAATGTAGAATTCTAACGGTGAAATAATTCTTCAAATCAATCCAGCAGTTTCTGAGCCTATTCAGTACACACAATCAAAACATCTTTCCTCTTTATAATATTAGTGTAGAGTCACCTAAGTTTATCAGGGATAATGTAAGACTAATCAAATGGTGATTTTTTTTTCATATTAGCCCAGTAGTTTCGGAGCCTATACAATGCAAAGAAACAATCAAATCTTTCCTCTTTATAATATTAGTATAGATTTTAAATAAAGTAATGCAATTTCAAAATTCAATAACATTTTGCCCAAATAATACATAAATAACAATGTTATAAAAAATTAAAGTTCAAGGAATATAAGTCATAAATTGGCCACCAAATATGTAAACACACATTCATAACAATTACAAAAACTATGCTCAATGTCACGCATAATTAAACTATTTATCATTTTTACGATGACACTGAGAGGTAGATTTTCAATTTTAAAATTGCATTTAGGTACCTACTATTTTTTTTAATTATTTGTATAGTGTATTATTGTTACAATTTGTTTACATAATCTACTCAATAGGAAGTAATATAATCTATCAATATTAATTTATCAATGAGATACTGTGTTTAACAATTTTTAACATTTAGTCATTCTACAATAATCTAACAAAACTCCGTTCAATATCTCTTTTATAGCCTTCAGTCAAGGGAAAAAAAATTGCCCAACACACTAAATACTGCATGATATTAATGTGATAATAAATGACCATATCTGTAATGTTTATGTCATATGCTACTGCATTTATTAGTGGATCCAGTCATGTGAGTCACATGCAACACTAACACCAATAATATTTGGGAACTGTGAGCAGAGAGCAAACATAGCAGTTTGCAGTATCCTACCAAATTCCGCCTGGACCTACGCCGTATTTGGTGGCGGCTAATACGAAACTATAATGCGTGATAACAATCGACGCAAGTGAAAAAATTTTTCATGCGTGGAATATGCCTTGGATCAACACGTTACGGCAAGGTCGACGTTTCGAAAACATTGAAACGTGTTACACAACATATCTTTTTCCTAATCTCCTTTTATATCCTAATGCCCCGCTGTAATCGGGTTTCAGGAGGCCGCGGAACGACGGCCGCCGCGGCGACCGACGGCCTGTCATCCACCAATGTGTCCATCTTGTGGAGAACACCGCACGGTTATTACCTCCCCACAAAATGTAAATAAACCAAAAAAAAACACTCACCTCTCATACAATGTCACATTCCGCTCAATTCCACAAAAGTTTTATTGTCTTGTGTCCCAAATCATCCTGGAAATTCAATCGCGACATTACAATCCAGCTCGGACGCAAGGCAATATCGGTCGTATGGTCAGTGTCCACTACTCCAAAAACATATGATACAACACTATTGTCCCGCCCCAATTATGTCCGGGGGATTGTCCAATGATTATTTTCGAATTTTCACACTGGATCGCGAGACTAGAAACACTAGAATTTCATCACGAATCTGATCCACTGATTTATGTTCCAGTGACGCAAAGCTCATATATCGTGAAGAGCAGCAGCCATTTTGAAATGTACGGGGAGTGCAGTCACGGCATGGAACATTAGCAGATTACAGCCGTTCTTGCCTGTCGCTACACTCTAAACGTGGAGTAATAGTTGAAAAACTTTATGCAGTTTCCATTTTTACACTTTAGAACACAAAACTTCACACCATGTTCCTACTGAAACTGTCCAAAACAACCTAAGCGACATCCGATAATTCCAGCTTACCCCATTTGCATGACACACTTATAATACCAAAAAAACACTCAAAACACTTAAAACCGTACATAAAACGCGTCGCGCCGAATTATAAGAAGTTATAGCATCGCATCAATATAACAGTTTGGTAGATAAATCGCTAAAAAGATTGGTATATATTTTACAAATAGTTAATTCGGTACGAACAATAACAACGGCCGCCATTTGCAATTTTCAACTTGACATGCGCACTGACTCGAGCAGCAAAACACATGATTCAACGTTTGACGAGCGGCTATTTTTCTGAAAAAATAATTTTATCTAAAATTTTACCAGGTGAAAAGAATTTCTGATAGGATATTTCTTGAAAAAAAGTTATGCGTTAATTTATTATCATATTTTCGGCATATAAAAACCAATAATAACAATTTATAATTAATGTGAAATTTTAACGTAGGTCTAAGGTTGTATTGGCACCCTTTCATGCTCTTGTGACGACGGCTTGTGATTGGTAGATAAGGTAATCTCCATGTTTTTATAAATCTTATCGTAATTTCGATTGGCTGCCGCCAAGAAACGTGAGGCCACAAATCACTTCCTGTTATTAAAATAATTAAAATTAAAATCGATTATGAACACTTATTTTGTTAAACAACAAATTCTTATTTAGTTATCTTAATACCCGTTTATATGTATTTTTATCTGTTACTCTATATAAAATTAAACGAGAAGAAGAACAACTTTTATAGAAATAACTTAAACTATATCGATTTGTCTCACTCGTTCAATACTGGCAACCCTACTATGCGAAAGAAAGAGATAAAAAGGACCGAATGACCGATTAAACGAAATAATAACATTAAGCATTAAAAAAAACATTATGCGGAGTGTTTGAAGGGTACATTTACAAAATCTCAAATATAGATGACCCACGCTGAACTGTCCCGCCAAACTCAATGACAGGGGGGCGCTACCATCGTTCAACTATATGGTTTCCAACATGGCAAAAATCTGAACCAGCGATCCGGTATTGACGGTGGCGCCCCACTGTCAATGTCATCGACAGGACAGTCCAGTATTTTGGAACTATAACATCACTCCTGCAGTCCAAGTCCTGCCTACAGCTACAGAAGTTATATAAAGCTAAACAGAAAGTAGATAAAACAATAGAACAACACCTTGGGAATCGGTGCTCACTACATCCGGTCTGGAAATACATGAATGAACGTTTATTTTAAATAATAATAAGGAGACGAATATCTAATAAATGTTTGTTGTTATAGTGAGATTAGTCTAATAATGAGTAGTGATAAGAAAATATACATTTTAAAAATTGTATACAGAACGCCACAGTTCCAGCTACCCATTTCCTTTTTTTCTCTCGCTCTCATCAATAATGATGATTCTTTACGATAGAAACGACATGACCGGAAATGGGTAGTATAACTCCGATAACCGAATTTGGTGGTGTAGTGGTTCTGTAAGGAGCATGATGAACAAAATTTTGTTTGGTGTAGGCATTTTCGTAGTTAAATTTGAAAGCCTTTCGAGCCTTTCACGGAAAACGCCATTTTATAAGTTTACCTCTCTATAAAGGGGGCTGAGGAAGATTAGAGAGCTAACATCGCTAACATCGTGCTAACATTATCTAAAAAGCGATTTTAGTAGTTAAATGTTGTAATAAATAAATACACCTGTATTCAATCAAATAACAATAATTTATTTTTATTCAACAAGGGTTCAATTATTTTTTCATGTGCTGGTTATCCGGCAAAGATTCTTTGGGTACAGATTGAAATAATCCTTTTCTCGCCATTTCATCAGCCCAATCTTCAAACTCTCCTTTCCTGTAACAATTTTTAAGATAAGTTTAGATGCATGCTGTAGAAGTTCTGAAACATTGTTATATCAGGCTGATGATGATGATGTTGCACCGTACTTTTAAATGTTATAACGTGTAGTTTTCAACCTAAAACGCGCCACATTAGTTAAAAAGTCTACAATACAAAAGCATCCTATGTTCTAGACCTAGAGTAGGTACACGTGAGTACACGTCTGTGGCTGAAATGATGAATGGTAATGATATTGACTTTTTTTTATTATTACCCTCATAAATAATAGCAACTTTTTTTAAATTAGTTGGCAACCAGAATTAGATGTACACTGGACTGTTGTCAAATGGATGTTAACACGATGTTAATTTATTAGCGGAGGTCCATTAGAGATTTTCAGTTTAATTACCTACCCTACAATTTTTATTAGGAGAATTTTGACCTTAGCGACCTCACGTCCCACGAAACATTTTTAAACAACTTAACTAATAACCAATAGGAGCCATGAACATGACATATCGGCAAATTCTATTGGCCAGAAATTTCGTTCCTGTCACCACCACGCGCCTTACAATCTCGGTAATGCTAAATAAACAATTTTGTGACAACTATTGCCGGTGGATTGTTTGGAATTTATATTCGGCCAATGAAAATTAAGGAAAACATATTCAAGCCAATAGCAATCATCGATTTTATAAAAAAAACCATTGGTCAACTAATCTCAGTCTAGGCGTACGAAACTGTTCGAAATTTTTCATGAATCGTGTTGAAATTGAAAACGATAAATTTTTTGAGTCTTTGTATTTTATTCAAGGCTTATTAATTCATTTACATCATTTATTATTTTATCAAGTGATTACAAATATCCAGATGTAACTAGTGTTTTTGTGGTGTAAATAAATAGAAATCGATGTTTTGCAGCTGAGAAACTAACGCAGGTTCGATTGTTTTACTTGCTTTCACTATTTAACTTCTTTTATTTATGTACCAAGAGTTTAATATCCTTTGGCTTAAACTGCAGAAATTTAAGTTACCCTAATCGTAACTGTGATATAAAACTGTTGTGATTTCTGTACTTGTGCCTTTTATCCAGTCAGAATGGTATTCTTTGTATTGAAAATACCAATTTCAAAATTCTCCACACTATTCTTCAACATTAGAATGCTACAAAATTCCCTGACAGACCGAAATTTACGCAAGCGAAGCCGCAAGCAAAAGCTAGTGTTGTTACAAACTCAATTTCAAAGCTGAAGTGTAATTTTCTCTCAAGTACCTACAGCCTTGGCCAAAAGTATTGAGCACCCCCTAAATACTGCTTATACGTGATAACTATAAAAGATACTCAAAGATATTTGATAAAAACCTTTCTTTGACAGGTTTTGAAACATAAACTCACGGCACAACGTGCAATAAAACACGTTTCGAGATGTTTAGCTATGATACTGTAGTATTGTTAGTCTTTGAAAAATCATAAAAAATCTTCTTCCGACCTCGCTGCTGAGTTATCAGCTAAAATTAATACGCCGATTTCTGCAAGAACAACTCGCAGAAGACTCCAAGAAGCTGGGCTTAAGGGCTATACAGCCAGAAAGAAGCCATGGCTTTCTGTAAAGACCAAAACAGCTCGTTACGAGTAGGCTTTAAAATACCAAACTTTTACCGAGGAAGATTAGAAAAATATTGTGTGGTCAGATGAATCAAACTTTGAGGTAAGTTAGCCAATATCATGTATTAACAATACGCGACAATAATATTATAAAACTATATTTGTAAAAATAAATATTGGACCGAAAAACACTTAACAAAATTTCGTTACTTTACGATTGTTGGCACACCTGGTGTGACATTTGTCCGTCGTCGAGTAGACGAAGAATTTACCCCGGAGTGTAAGGTACCTACCGTCAAACATGGCGGCGGCAGTGTGATGGTCTGGGGGTGCATGAGCGCCGCAGGAGTTGGGGAAATGTTTGTGTGTAAAGGACGCATGGACTCTACAAAGTACATAAACGTTCTTGAATCCGCACTTCTGCCCTCGTTTACAACACTTTTTGGTGACACCAACATGGAAAGCGTCAAATTCCAGCAGGATAACGCACCTTGTCACTAACGATGGCTTGGTTTAGTGACAATAACATCGAGCTGCTTGAATGGTCTGCCCAGTCACCAGACCTGAACCCCATCGAGCATTTGTGGGGTCTATTGAAGGACAAGGTCCGGCGCCATTGAATAAAAACAAAAGAAGACCTAAAACGTCGCTTGCGGGAAGAGTGGAACGCTTTAACATGTGACGATTGTAATAAATTAGTACAATCTTTACCAAAAATAACTTCTGCAGTAATTAAGGCAAAGGGTGGTCCAACAAAGTATTATTTTTTTGTTGTTAATAAACAATATAAAACTGTTAAAAACTGTTTTGATTCAGACACATGTATAATTCCTTCAAAATTAATAAATATCATGGGTGCTCAATACTTTTGGCCAAGGCTGTACTTACCTTATCAAAAAGATGCATAAAAAGAGTACTTATGTATAATATCTTTATATGCCTCTAACCTCTATCCTTGGCTTTAGATGAACACAAATGCAAGGACCCCCTAAGGCGGCCAGGGCAATGGCAGTGATAGGCCAAAATTGTATGGAGTGATTTCTTTCAGCAGAATGCTACATGATAATGTATACCCTAGGTATAAGGATATATGTACTAGATAAATTACATGCATACTAAATAAATTTATGTGGGGAATGTTGGTTGGAATATAGGAGACAAGTCTTATTTTTATCTATTCTAAACATTCCCGGCAAAAAAAGCCAAATAACACCCCATTTCCTATACACTGACCGGAATGTTTCAGTTTACATTTAACACTGACACGGTAGAAGCACGTCTCATTATTGATATCAATAGTCATAAGTTAATTAAAGGAGTCCCGTACATTATGGTCCTTCGAGCCAGATAAAATAGAGTAAATAATATTAAAAAACAGTACTAACTTATAAAAATCTTTATAAGCTGCTATTCTCTTCGTCTTTTTGAAAAAGAAAATGCAAGCGCCTCCCAAGAAAGCCAGGGCCCAGGCTTGGGCGAGGACGCGCTTGGTCTGCGCCCAGTGGAGCCCTCGCATGATGGGCTTCACGCGGCAGGGCGCCGCGGGCGGCGGCGGCGGGCACACTTGCGGACATACTTGGGGCGATGGTGGTGGACAGCCACTCATGACCTGTGGATTCAGTAGATGTATTTAACGCAATAATCATGGCCTGTGAAGTGTGCTGTAGATAAGCGGTTCCCGAAAGGTGGTCCGCGGAACCCCGGGGTTCCGTGGAAAGGCCGCAAGGGTTCCGTAAAAAATGTTATCCCACGTTTCGTGACCGACGTTGTTCGCGTGCACCGACTTGTTTACGCACAAGGGAGGGGCAGGGCGTGCGGGCGGAGTAGTACGGGGGTTCCGCTAGGAAAAGTACAATCGATTAGGGTTCCTTGGCAAAAAAAATTGGGAAACCCTGCTGTAGATGTATTAATTTGCAATAAGATTAAGAGAGAGAGGTCTTGAGAATGTTTCGCATAGCGCATTGTAGATTCAGCTGACTTGACAAACTTGCAATGAGAATTAATAGGAGGTGAAATGTATAGAATCTTCAGTATATTGGATTTCAGCTGATATACAAACTAGAAATGATGATAAAGAATAAGAAGCACATTGTATAACTGCCTAAATTGTAAGACCTATAAATGTGAATGCTAATGTGGTTATGCAATAAAAGTATTGAGTATTGAGTATTGAGAAGAGTGATGAGTCTTGAGAATATAATTATCACATAGCATGTCATGGAAACAAAATTTTGACCAAGATTTGTTTGGGTATAATTTATTGTTTTAGGCTAAACTGAGATGTTTAGGATATTTTCTGTTAACTCTAAAACTTACTTTTATAGGAATGTTACTGTACTGTACTTACCATTACAATTCTGCTGTAGAATGGAGCCTATTCTAAGAATTCAACTTACCATAATTATTATAAGTAATGTTGGTATTTCTATTTCCAGGTAAACCAAGACCAATGAAAAATGGCGCAAAGCTCGCACGGCGGCAGCCATCGGCGCTCCCGCGACCACGAGGGCGCGATGCGGTACACCAACACCGACTGGGAGGCCAAGGAGGCCTTATACCAGCGAGAGCTCGACGAAGCCCGTGCGCGAGCCACGCAGATGGAAAAAACCATGCGCTGGTGGTCCGATTGCACCGCCAACTGGCGAGAGAAGTGGAGCAAAGTCCGCAACGAACGAAACAAAGCCAGGGAAGAAGCCAAACAGTTGAAGGCTAAAGTCGACGTCCAAGCCAAGGAGCTAGCCACGGCGAGAGCCGAGAAGAACGAACTAGAACAGCAGTTGATGGAACTCAAACGGGACAACGAAAAATTGCTAAGCATTGGAGAGAGTAGAATTGTCTCAGGTGACTTGACAACTGAAGACGGAGTCGAATTGCGAAGGAAAAACGTCGGTTATGTATCACCGAACGATCAGCCGTCGATCAGACAGCGAGCGTCATTAGATTCCCACAAATTTTCCAACGTCGACAACGTTTTAGCGAACAAATTGAGCGAACTCAGATTGAGGTTGGACGAGACTTGCAAGAATTTACAAAGCGAGAAGGATCAAAAGGCGTTCCTTTTGACCAAAATAGAAACGTTGACGGCGGAGCTGCATAATACTAAAATGGAGTTGACGCACTGCGACAGAACTATAGGATCCACCGATTCTAGTCATAGCGAAGTAGAGAGACTGCAGAACGAATTGCAGGACGAAATAGCGGCCAAACAGGTTCTGGAGGAGAAGATAGCCGAGTTCAAAATGGAGGTGGAAAGGTTGAAGTCGGAGAATACAGTACAATGGAGCAAGAGGGAGTTGTTAGAAACGGAGAACATAGCAATTCTAAGGGAGAACAAGAAGTTGTATGGGCAGGTTTGCGAGTTGAGGGAGCAGATTCATAAGTTAAATCGGATATCGGACGGCAGCGCTTACGGTGTGCCGTTCACCAACGAACATTCTAGACTGGATTCGAACATTTTGTACGTTCGCAAATCTAGCGTAAGTCCGAGATCTCACGAGTCCAGCAATGGGTCGTCGGAGGCGAATCTCGCGCATTTCGACGCGAAAACGAACACGTCGGGCGAAGACGACGAACTGGCGATAGTGGAGACGAGCGAAAATTGTTAAAAATTATAAAATACTCACTATTTATTTCGTTAGCACCAGTAAAAACTTCAAAAGTTTACGCTTTGACTTGAAGGATGTTTGACAAACGTTTTTGTGTCAAGAATTAAAAAGAGAATCCTCTTTTTTGATAAATAAGAATTTTATGTGGATAGCAATATTTTAATGTTGTAGGTAGGTTATACGTCGCTCAGCGAGAGTTGAGGCGATCAGCAGAAGCGAAAGTGTATAGATGACTCAAGCTGAACTGTCCCACCAAACTACCATCGTTCAACTATATGGTTTCCAACATGGCAAAAATCGGAACCAGCGATCCGGTATTGACGGTGGCGCCCCACTGTCAATGTCATGCATAGGACAGTTCAGTATTTTGGAACTATATTTATACGCTCGTCACGCTGACGTCTTGCATATTCATGCCCGTATTCACAAACGATGCTTGCTTAAGTGAAGCAGCAAATCGAACGCACAGCGTGGAATAGAGCTCTGTGATTGGTTTGTGTGTCACCCTGTGCGTCCACGCGCACTGAATGTTTGTGAATTCGGGCGTTAGATTGATTTGTATTCTGAATTTAATACAATGTTCGCCTCAACTTTCGTCGCGTGACCTATATTTCGAGCAATGAGATAGGAGATACGAAGAACAGAGCCCCGATTACGGTAACTTTTAACGTTTCCAATCCAGACGCGCTTCTGATTCTGCGATACGATTGGTCAAAACAGCTGACGTACGCTGTTGAACGACCAATCGTATCGCAGAATCGAGAAGCGTGTCTGGATTGGATACGTTAAAATTACCGTAATCGGGGCTCAGTTAAGTAATCGTCAAGTGTTAGGAACTACAAAGTACAATTTAACATTTCATGTATATTTTAACCATACATTGTATTACTTTTCTCTATGCCATACATCATCAAGTGTTTAAAAGATAAATATAAACTTAATAGCTGCTTAAAATAAGTTTAACTGATCAATGTAACCTTATTTTGGTATTGAGCTACATTATTTTTATCCGACTGCGCCAGAAGGAGGGTTATGTTTTCTGATATTTTATTTAATAGATGTTCACTGTATATTTTACTTGGCAGTCTGATAACAGTATTTATTATTAAGACATAATTCATATTTCTTTCCAGAAAGCATTTAAAGTGCATTCCATTTTATTTTTCTTCAAATACCTAGTTGGGTATCTTATTTTTTTATTTCTACATCGTAAAACCATTTCCATTCTTGTTTCATGTTTTTACAACGTCAGCTACAACTAGTTTTGGAGTTAGTTTTTATCAAACTGGTAGATATAAAAAAACCTAATTAAAGTATACTATACTTACAAGTGATGTGCCCTGTCAAAATCGCTCTTGTATCTTGAAAAATAAGGTCTAATAAAGGTCCACGTCTTGTCTGATGGGCATACTGTATACTAAATAAATAAATAAAAAAAAACGTTAATTGCTTTTTACACATAAAAGGAATTACAAGAAATGATTGAAAAATGTCTTAGATCTGCTCATTAGTTAATTTTTGAACCAAGTCCTAATTCATGGTGTTAGTGTGTTAACAATGTGATAGTCTAGTTTACAAATATGTATTGTGGCTCAAATAGCAAGTTTAATAACTGTTAACAAAATGATATGGTAGCGTAAAGATATTTTTTGGGACTTGCATTTTATTGAATGTAGAAATATGATTTTTCATTTGAAGGATACGACTTCATTTACCAGGTGATTGTACCTAATTACCTAGAACCGGGTTGAGTTAACTGCGTACCTGGCGACCGTGACGTCACATCGACGTTCTGACAGGCCTGGCTCACTCCGCGCGGTACATCCGATAATTACCTACAGCGAAGCGCCCCGCCGGCGGGTATTATATCAGTCGAGTGTCACGCGCGCGCTCGTCAGGACGCTGGCGTGCGTTGTAGTATGATTATAATTCTATGATCGAAGTATTATTTAAAAATGGACATAAAGAGTAAGAAATATTGTGCGGCGTTCGGGTGTTTAAATTCGAAAAGTAATCTACCGGATTCATCTTTTTTTTTCGCTTCCCAAAGATGCTGAAAGGTATGTTGGCCAAGTGGGTAATCAATAATTCTTAGGATAGTATATATAGGAACCTAACCTACTATGACTACTGCTCAGAATGCGTCACTGCTGGACAAAGGCCTCTCCCAAGGTTTTCCATAATGAATGCATACTTACCTACATACGTACCTCACTACAAATAAGTAGATTAATATTTTTTCACTAGACAGCAACCCTAACAGCGTAAGAAGAGTTCAGAGGCACGCGATAGAAAGAGACAAAACTTGTAGGTGAATAAAATTGTAGGTACGTAGTGCTGTGCGAGCTGAATTCCACTGTATCGCGTCGTAGCAAGACTCGCATTTATTTAAATCGTCTTGCGGAGTAATCCTTCTGTACCTGTACTATTACTTATTCTGTGGTTCTGGTACGGACGGAGCGAGGTGTGCGGGCTTGAGGTGTGGAGGCGAAGTGCGCAGTTTGCTTAATCGGGTTGTAGTACTTTCATATTGATGGTTACGGTGTAAAAACAGTTTTGAGTAATTTCAAGCGAAAAATCAAATTTTATCTTCACATTGTGGCTCAAATTGTAGAATTTTAAACATTATCAATCAATAAACATGAATTGCAAGAAATATGCAGAGAATATTATTATTATGTGGTCATCCGATTTCTTAGATCTAATAAAGAAAAAGTTATTTTTTCTTGCTATTTCTTATATTTTTATTAAACCTCTTTTTTACAATATAAATAACATTTCCCGACGTCATCAATACAATAAAATAAATATGTTTGTATCTTCTCCTATTTTGAGAAAACTTATTATAAAGTGTAAAAGTACCAAAATGTATAATAATTTTTTGATTCGCATTTTTTGTATATTATTTAGTTAAGATATTTATTGCTTAGCTTGCCTTTATTTTTATGATCTTATTTTCAATAAGACCAATTTACAGGAATTAATGAAATGTTAAAACAAGATTATTTCATGAAAATTATACACCAAGGAAAAATATTACAAATGTGTATCTGATTGTTACTCATTGGCTGAACTGATTTTAATGTAACTATAATGAGACCATGATTAACTTAATTTACAGCTTGACTGACTTCAATTTATTGAAAGGCCTAAAATGTATACATAGACGTTCAAATGTGGTAATTAAGCCTTATAAAATATAGCTTGATTTCAGAGCAGGACGGAAATATAGCGCGTGCATACATTAGAAAGAGACAGACAATATACCCATTTCGACATCCGTCAGTAATCTAGCTTTATTTTACATGGCGCCCTAAAATTATCTATTCCTAAAGTACCTAATTAATTGTAATTAATAAACATTTTGGTGGTATGTCATGTTTCATTTCAAATTAATATTACCAGATACTGAAATAAAACTAGTATGTTTATAATAATGTGTAATATATTATGTATTTGAATCACCATAAACAACTTGCACTGTCTTTGCAATAGTATGCGAGCGTGCAAAAATATAAATTAAATACACATGGAAGAATGCTTGATCATTTTCCCTCGCGTTTTGATTTTTCTGACATGAAAATAAAACAAAAAAACAAAATTAACAAAAGTGACAAACATTGATCAGAGTAGATAAGTTGGCGTTTTTGGTACTTGCAATGCAATATGCATGTGACCGATGATCTAATGAAGGTCACGGAAGGTATAGATTTATCGTTTCATCTACGCGCCCCACCATTCTTCCGCTAATGTTTGAGCATTATCGGTACACGCTAAACTATCCATGAGTGCACACGCACACTACAATTTATGATCCCGCGGATTGCTCGGATCAAACTCCCCGCACCCCGCGCTTCCTTCGACCAAAAATTGGTGGGACGCGTCTTCGTGGATGAAACAATCCATACCTTATGCAAGCAAACGAGGTGGAATTGTGTAAAGCAATCGTTATCATTTGACAGTTCATAACGTACGATTATTCTGTCAAACGCTTTGTTTAACGGATTTTATCGTACGTTATGAACTGTAATGATTAGGTACGATTGCTATACACAATTCCACCTCAGGACCGGTGATTTTCGCTATGGAAACTTGGGAAAGGCCTTTGTACAGCAGTGGACGTCATTTGGCAGAACGAACGAACTATTGCCATATGAAAATACCTTGCGCACTCCCGCGCATAGAACATAAAGTACATACTTTATTTTGTTCTAGTTTTGTTTTCATTTTTTTATGTTGTTTTGTGTCGCTGAATAAAATATTTCATTTTAATTTTCACTAATCGTCAAGCTACGTCTATGAAAATAATATGTAGAGATGAAACGGATATCCGGCAACTATCCGGTAGGCCGGATATCCGGCCTAAATTTACTATCCGGCCGGATACCGGATAGTAACTCACTATCCGGCCGGATACCGGATATTAAAAAACTACGACAATTTCCTTTTAATAAAATTAAATACATTAATCTTTGAGGTAAATATCAATAAAATGGCTTATAATAATGACGGCTTTTATTTAAAGTCCAAAAAGTTACAAAAAAGCCATTCTTCAAAAAGCCTTTCAAAAAACTAATTTCTTTTTTTGGGCTATTCACTCTAATGACGAATACATAGGCCGTCAGGTCGGCCGTTTGGTGTAGTGGTTCGAAACGGACTACTATTCCGGAGGTAGCGGGTTCGATTCCCGCACAGTACAAACATTTGTGTGCATGAACATATTTGTTTGTATTGGACTGGGTGTTTTCTATGTATAATAAGTATGTATTTACAAAAAAAAAAACTATTTAAGTATGTTTATATCCGTTGTCTAGTACCCATAGTGCAAGCTTTGCTTAGTTTGGGACTAGAAGCGCAGTGTAAATGTCCAAGGATATTTATTATTTATTATTATTATTATTATAAATACAGGGTGGCCCAGAAGAAAATTCACTTTTGAAAATTGAAGGAAACTTTAACTATTGCAATTTGAAGGAAAAATGTAAGTAATTTATTTTTAAATTTACCTTTATTAAATTACACCGCCCAGGAGATTTCTTTGACGCTTACAACATTCGATCAACATACATCAAAATCTTGAAATGCGTTCGTTAGAATTACCTCGAAACCTATTTTAAATTTTTTGCCGAATGCTCAGCTCAGCTTCAGTTGCTGCATGTTTGTTGGATTATAAAAGTATACTCTATTCTTAATGTAACACCACAAAAAATAATTTTCTGGAGTGAGATCAGGGCTTCCTGGTGGCCAGGAGATGTCACCCCTGCCTGAAATTATTTTTTTGTGGGAACATGTCTCTTACCATCTAAATGCTCTCATTTGAAGCGTGACACGTAGCCCCATCTTGGTGATACCAAGTGCTCCGGTCATAGCCTTGCGAATCTTGCAGCTTTAAAAATCAAAAAGCCTTTCAGCCTACCAGTATATCATTCTCAAAAATTAATCATCCTTTCAATGCAACAAACCAATTAAGCAGGGATGAAATCTCACTGCCTCTAAGAAGCGCTAATCTCATTCCAGCAGACTTCTTTTTGCGGGGTTACCTTATGAGCAGAGTATACTCTAATAATCCAAAAACTGCAGCATTCATCCATCCTGAATCCATTTCGAGGTAACTCTAACGAAAGTTTTCCAAAATTTTGTGATGTATGTTGACCGAATGTTGTAAACGTCAAGGGTATCACGTCATGTACGATAAAATTTATAAAAGTAAGTAATACCCCTACTAATAGACCCACTGATCGCCTTCGAAGCACCTGTGCGGCGCTAAACTCGTCACGACATGAAACGAGACAATGGGCCAACTATCCGGCCGCCGGATATCCGGCTATCCGGCCTAGCAGCTGGCCGGATATCCGGTATCCGGTATCCGGCCAAACAACTATCCGTTTCATCTCTAATAATATGTACAGTTTTAGTGTATTGATGGTTATTATGCATGATTTACTGTGGTGATTTTTGAATTTTTTTCCTACCCCTTTTGTTTTTCATTTTCTCAGACAGCTCTTCGGGGGTCATCTCGAAGTTGGTCATATGCAGCAGTCCCAGCCGTTTGAACTTGGACCTAATTTTCGTGTTTTTCAGTTCCTTTTTGTCTGGCTTTTTCAAGTTCGCCTTCTTCTTCATTTCTTTATCAGTAACCACAGTCTCTTCTTCTGAATCTGAGTCTTTGGAAGTGCCTTCTCCGTGTGGGTTTATCTTCGTGATAGAAACATCATCAATTTTGCTCAATGTTGCTCCAGAATCTTCTGTAGCCGGTTGGGATTCGTTCTTTTCATCGATGATTTCTATTTGGAAGAATTTCCCGTCCTGCTCCGTTATGTAAATTGGTATCCTGTCTATCTCGATGTTTATTTCTTTTTCCCCACTTAGATCCGCCTCTTTGAGGTCTGTTTTTTCGGGTTCGACTGCTTTGGTGAATGCTTCGAGATTGAGATCTGTGTATACTTTTAATTTGGGTGATGGTTCTGTGTCAGAATCACTGGGAGAATTTAGGAGTTCGTTGTCTGTGTCTTCTTGAGATCCATCTGACTGTGGCGGACTTGGTTCAGGGCTATTACTGTCAGAAGAAGAGGATTCCCTTTTCCGTTTGCGGGTTTTTCTAGCGAGGTTTTTGACGAAGCACCTTTTCTTGTACTTCTTCCTGACAAATGCCGGTTTATCCGTTTTAACTTTCTCCTTTTTCTTAGGCTCGTCATTTTCTTTGGCCGGACTCTCTTCTTCGACTCTGAAAACAAGTGTGCAAGTTATTTTAGAAGTAACATTGATAAGTATTATTGTAAAGCCCGGTCCGTGAGCACGTAGAATTTTGTCCAATGACCCGAAGCTACCCATCCTTATCGCTCGCGCGTAATTATGTTGCTGTCGCGACTGTGCGACGGGCGCCCGCAGTGAGTGTGCGAGCGCGACAGCAACATAATTACGAGCGAGCGATAAGGATGGGTAGCTTGGGGTCATTGGACAAAATTCTACGTGCTCGCAGACCAGACTATAGACAAGACAAAAGTATTTTGTAAATAATTCAAGCAACATGACTGTTCCCAAATTTAATGGTATAATAAACACACATGCGCTCTATGGAATCTAGCTATTTAATAGAAGATTAGCAGAAACTATGGCTAAATTGATTAATCGAAAATTTGAACTACCCGTAGGTTTTAACTAAGTGGTCTGTATGTAACGAATATTTATTTGAGTATCCTTCTTGCTCCAAAAGGTAAGTAACCTTGTTCAAAGTTGTATCCAATAATTAACTTATTAAAAGTATAATTAATTTCTTACTTTTCTTTAGTGGTGACCAAGAACTTGACGCCTTCCACACCCTGCCTCATGGCTTTGTCCTTTATCGCCTGGACAGTGGAGTAGTGCTCTGATATCTTCTTGTTCGCCTCTGAAATATGTGAAACTAGATATAAAACCTCATTTTAAACCGGGGGAAAGTTAATGAGGGCTATCGTTTTAGCACTCACCAGTTAGCGCCACTGTAGAGTAAGGTCCTGTCACTTGCTAGTAGCGAAGACAGTGGCACCAACTGGTGAGCGCGAAAGTGGTAGGAGGACTATCGCATTTGCACTCATCAAGATGCCGCCACTGTAGAGTAAGGTCCTGTCAATCGCCAGGGGTGCCAACTGTTAAGTATAAAAACGATAGCCCTCATTGGCAAAATCAGAAGTGTAAGGTTTAATTTCCTCCAACAGACGACGAAAAAAGTTATAGATAACGATAGACATTACAGTCAGAAGACTTTATTACCACAACCCGGTCGAGCGACGCCCTCTGCCCCATTTAGGGGACATAGGACCTTAATGCCCGTTTTCACCATCAATCCCTAATTTTTAAGTGACCCCTATGGTAACATATAACAGGAATTTTGTATTCAAAGAGGTCACTTAAAAATTAGGGATTGATGGTGAAAACGGGCATAAGTCAAGTCGGTCGAGTTAACTGCGCACCGGCCGTGACGTCACATCGACGCTCTGGTACGACGGGGCGAACGCCCCCGAGGTGTGCGGGTGAGTGCGATGGAGAAGCGCATTTTAGCGAGGTGCACAGTACTGCACAGTATAACTCGACCGGATTGTATTAGCTATAGTCCGGTCCCTGAGCACGTAGAATTTTGTCCAATGACCCCAAGCTACCTATCCTTATCGCTCGCGCGTAATTATTGTATTGCTGTTGCGCTCGCACACTCACTGCGGGCGCCCGTCGCACAGTCGCGACAGCAATATAATTACGCGGCGCGAGCGATAAGGATAGGTAGCTTGGGGTCATTGGACAAAATTCTACGTGCTCCGCAACCAGATTTTATTTGCCAGTAACATTAATAGGTGCTGTAAGAGTAAGTTGCCACATTGTATTGGTGGCACAAACCGCCGACCACGAATCATAAAGCGGGTAGCTCTAAACAAGCCTCCCACCCGGTGGACAGACGATCAAGGAAGCACCTGGTTGCGGGCAGCGCAGGACCGGTCGTTGAGGAAATCCTTGGAGGCCTTTGTTCAGCAGTGGACGTCATTTGGTTGAAAGTGTTTTAGTGTTAGTATAGGCACAGAATAATAATAAGTACTACGTACAGAAGTTTTACTTCGCGAAGGTATTTAAAAAAATGTATGCTCAATGTCATTAACAATATGGTGTAATTTAGCCTGTCTCAAGAGTCAAGCACCATTTTGTTGACAAACGTCAGTGATCGGCACTGCGCCGAAGCTATAGGGCTGACTTCGGTAAAATGATGTGACGTGAGGTGCCAAACTGCGGAAAATGGCGGAGGAAATACATGATTTAGCATGAATTATCATGAATAATATTAACTACTTATTTACCTCTCAGTGTCTTGAGGCAACTTAAAAAAGTACATTCTGTGTTTTTATTATTATTTAGGCAGTTAAATACTGCACAGTATTTAGTACACCATTTTCTTTATTTTCTTCCATCATACACAAGAATACGCGTGCGTGAGTCAATGTTCGCTCGTATGTGAGGCCTTGTCGAATAGTATCCTGTAGGTGGGCCATCGTGCGTGTTTTGTTTTCGATGTAAACTCGCGGAGATGAACAGGCCTGGTATAGGTTTAAATCACTTACCGTCTCCCTCTTCCACGATTCCATTGATGATTCCTTTGAGCGATGTGTCCAGTTCTGTCGCCAGCTTTTCGTTTACGTAGTTGAGGCATATAGGGTTACCTAGAAAAATATATGATAATTCTTAACGGTATAACTTAACGATAAGTCTTGACGGTATTCACAAACGATGCTTGCTTAAGTGAAGCAGCAAATCGAACGCACAGCGTTGAAAAGAGCTGTGACTGGTTCGTGTGTCACCCTGTGCGTCCACGCGCACTGTCAGACCTCATAGTAATGTTTGTGAATACGGGCGTGTCTACAGATTTTTTTTTAGCAAAATATTGTATTGTATATTTTTTTTTTTTTTTTTTTTAAAAAAGATTATTAGTAATTTGTTATTACACAAATTACTAATACTCCCGTTAGCCCCTCGTACTAAGCTAAATATGCTTGTGTCACGAGTGAGCTCACCACAATAGTCGAGCGGCGGCGGGGACCGAACCCGCGTTCCCCGGATCACGAGTCGGCCAGTCCGACCCCTTCACCGTTCGGCTATCGTGGCTTCATATATCTTCTATCTATACCATCGTTATATATCTTCTATCTATACCATCCGAGGCCGGTGGCAAATCTATTTTTCTAGATCGCCCTGAAGCATCGCGATTCGCGTGGGGGGAGGGGGTGCGATTAGGGTCTTGGGCCAGCCATCCCTGCCACCCTATAGTTACGTCACTGAGTCAGTGGCGTAGCTAGGTAACCAGGCCCTGGGGAAAATAAAAAAATGGGGCCCCACTGCAATCTAAACTGGTTAGGTTTTATCAAAATTGACATTAAACTTACTTACTCCTGATACAGCTTTTGAATTTCTCTCTATTTATTTTGAAAATGGGAGAAATTTTCAAAGTTCAATTCAATTGAGAATTTTTCTGGTAAGGATTCGGGGGCCCGGGGCACTGCTCCGCCTTGCCCCTTAGTAGCTATGCCCCTGCACTGAGTGTGCTATCGTCTGAATCTCACCTGGTATGGCCTTCTTGGCTTCCGCGTACCGCCTGGTGATATGGTTGAGCTCTCTCAACAGATCCAGCTCCTCATTCTGGCGGAAGAACACGCCTTTAGGCCGCACGCCCATTCTGTCTATGCCCGTGGTACCTGAAGGAACACCGAAGAGTCTTCAGAACATGTCTAGTATTATACTAAAATTAGTATGTCATAACTACCGTCTATGCGTTCACCAGCAGGCACCACTGTAATATACTCATTACTCAGCAATGGCGCTAACTAGTGGGATGCAAATAATTAAACGTGAATTTTTAACATCAAATCATCTGTAGCAGAAATCTTGTTGAGTGCCTAGACAAAGTTAAGAATGTGATAGTTGTAATTTCAAAGATTTCGATATCTCTTTTTTTTTGCAAATTCGACATTGAAACATGTTTTATGTCCCCCTATTGGGGGAGTCCTTTGTCCAGAAGTGGACATCTTAGAAATGATATACTATGTCTAGAGGGGCTGTTCATACCTTCAGCATACTTCTTCAAAGCCGCTTCCATTCCTCGTTCCCTGGCTGCCGCGTGGTACTGCACAGGTCCCTTGATCAGCACGGAGCCCAGGATGTAAAGCACATCCTTCCGCCTCGACGCACGCGCCATGGTTTCTATCCTCTTGATGGCGTAAACATCCTCAGGCACGAAGCGCACCGTTGCGAAGCCCGGATATGGTTGCAGGTTTATTAAACCGTACACTAGAAACAGACCACCTACGGATTCCTAGAAATGTGGATTAGCGTTGACGATTTAGTATGTTGGAGGACTAGGCGTTTTAATTTGCTAAATTGTGGACCTTCTACAGTCTGGTCGCCGAGCACGTAAAATTTTGTCCAATGACCCCAAGCTACCCATCCTTATTAGCTCGCGCGTAATTACATTGCTATCGCGACTGTGCGACGCGCGCCCGCAGTGAGTGTGCGAGCAGCAACATAATTATAAGGATGGGTAGCTTGGGGTCATTGGACAAAATTCTACGTGCTCAGAGACCGGGCTTTAGTATCTGTTTATTGATATTATCTGTATAAAGGCGCTGTGGAAACACAAACTTAAATAAATATCTTGGACAATTTCACACAGTGCCATCTAGCCCCAAAGTAAGCAACTAATATGCTTGTGTTATGGGTGCTAGTTTAACCAAAGATAAATAAAGGTATTATAGTTCCAAAATACTGGACTGTCCTGTCGATGACATTGACAGTGGGGCGCCACCGTCAATACCGGATCGCTGGTTCAGATTTTTGCCATGTTGGAAACCATATAGTTGAACGATGGTAGCGCCCCCCTGTCATTGAGTTTGGCGGGACAGTTCAGCGTGGGTCATCTATAAATCCCAACTAATATTATAAATGCGAAAGTAACTCTGTCTGTCTGTTACGCTTTCCCGCTTAAACCTCGCAACCGATTTTGATGAAATTTGGCATAGAGATAGTTTGAGTCCCGGGAAAGAACATAGGATAGTTTTTATCCCGGTTTTTGAAACAGGGACGCGCGCGATAAAGTTTTTCTGTGACAGACAAAATTCCACGCGGGCGAAGCCGCGGGCGGAAAGCTAGTTATTAAATAAAGCATTCAAGAATATAATGTTAAATGATATTACCTCAAAGTTATCAGGGTTTGAGACCATGTAATGTTTGGCAATTTGTATGAGTTCTTCCGACAGCTCTGCTAATTCTGTTCCTGAAGATCTGCCACTGAAAGTAAATTTTATAATTTATAACTTCTATACATTTTTATAGGTTCCATTCATGTTTGAATTCATTCATACCACTGATATTACCAAAATTAATGTAAGTACCTAGTATTTTTTAAACTTGCTTTATTTACCTAAATTAATAATCATACTCAGAAACACAGAGCTAAATGTATGTAATGGTAAAGCTGGTTGAATTTATTCTTATTATTAACTATGTAAATAAAACCATTGCCATGTCTAGAAACACCATAAGTAGAACTTTTTTATGAACTTTCTCTAACTAAAGTTTTATTCATTATTCAATTTATTGAAAGGGTCATGCATATGAATAGCACATTCTGAAAAGCATAAAAAAATTTGTAATACTTACTGGTACAGCATATCAAATTGCATATCCTTCCAAAGCTCACAGAAAGTTTCGAATGTGAGCGTATCAGTTTTGATCCAACGATGGATCAGCTCCTCACAGTCATCCGCAAATCCGTCCGCTATGTGCACTTGTTGGATTTGACTCCGAAATCCAATCGCTTTAAACAGAATTTTAGATTTATTTACTGTGAAGTAGACTAGAAAAGTACCTCACTATTGTTGCTAATTTAACTGAATTTATTAGTTGATTAGACAAAAGTTATGAATTATTTCAATCACTTACGGTTTGGAATCGACATCTTGTTAATATTTGCCTATTAACTCTAAAACTTCCTGTAACTAAAACATTAAACTCCTGCAAATCACACTGCAAATGCAAGCAGCAGAAAAATGTCAGCAGTCAGCTCCTATCAGCTGCTATCTGTCACTGTCAGTCACGAAATTACTATGTACTAGGGATGTAATACGACGATAGAAACCTCAACTTATAAACTGTCTCATACACTCAGACTTAATCGATATGAGATCTTTATTATTATTAAAATGTTACATTAACAATACCAATCCTCATGAACAAAACGAAACGACTGCGATTGAAATTACTGCATTAGAGATGGATAAAAACTTCTTCGGAATATAACTTAAATGTAGTGCAGAAGCAATATAACAAAGCTCGATGTTGATTCTTCATTGTATCAATAAATCAATAGTGTGATTTTACCTAACGATGATAAAATATTAAAAATACTCCAACACAAATCGATTTCGGATACGGACTCGATAGATTTTATGAAACACCTGGCATCCCTAGTATGGCTCCTGTCAGTTATTGTTTTTAAAAAAGTTATACTCGCTTTCACTTTGAACTAAAGTGAAATGGCCGTTTTACATAACGTTATATTAACGGTATTTCACAAATTAACAACTTTCTTTTTAGAATCATGGCAGGTTTTCTCAATCCGATTTGTTGATCAGTCTACCCCAATTTTTGTAGATTGTACTACTAAGAGTAGGCGCACACCGTTGATTTTTCGTCGGGCAGTTGATCAGTATGGGCATGTATGGGAGTGCGCACACTACGCCGATTCGATTTGGCCGATTCTTCATACAATTTAAAATCGGGAACAACTATCGGCCAACTAAAAATCAACGGTTTGCGCCTACTCTAACTCAAAGAAGCAAGCATTGCAGCGGTGAACCACCATGAAATTTTGTATGAAATACACCTACTGCTACATTTCAATTTACTGTAGCGTCTTCAGTAAATAAACCTGTGATAAAAACGCTGGAGAATCACTTTGCCCGCGCATCGCATCATAGTAGGTAACAAAAACACAACCGTATTTACAATCGTTGTTTATTCAACTACATAACACTATGTAATACAACGACCAACAGGCAGTCAATGAAACACGGTGTATGCTTAAATATTTAATGTTGATTAACGATTTGGTAATTTGAAACTAGCGCATCGTTTATTGCGTACGACATAGCTGTGCGTGCATGCGTCGATGATGTACGTTACTACTTTAATACACTAGGTAGGAATAGCGTTTAGATGGGCTTCTTCTCGATGAGTTTGTACCAGTGCCCGCACTCGCAGCGACGGGGGTGCCCCTGGAAAGTTCAAAACAAAATTTAATTCGGTATCAGCCATTATGGAGCTTATTCCACTGTTCCCTGTTGACAATCCCCGTTAACGCCAATTGGAGCTCATAATGAAAAAGATATAATTAAAAAGAAAATCCTAATATAACGGGGATTAATAAACTTTAGTTCACTAATCCCCGTTGACGGGGATTGACGACAGGGAATAGTGGAATAAGCCTCAGTAAGTTGGGTATCTATCTACTCAGCATTTTTAATCTAATTAGTCACGTGAGGCGTGAGCGATCTGACAATATCGCGGTGCGCACTTTTGTGGCGAAGTTAGTGTGTTTAGTTTATCGTTTTTATTTCTCTCATGCGGCAAATTTGTAAGCGCGCCGCATATCGGGTTCTAGCCAAGACACAGGCCAATGTGTGGGTGCATTCTAACTATAACTAAAAAACTATAATAATGTTGCACATAGGCAACTTGTGGCCTTCTGGAATGATGACGGGAACTATATTCATAATAGAGCCACAGCAAACATGATAGCATCATCTTTTAGCATCGGAGATCGGCGATTTTGCGACTTCATTTGCGTTCTGTCCGAACGCCTGTTTTAGAGACTACATATGATATATTATATCGATGTAGCATTGCGATTTTGCGACTTAATACGCTCGGACGCGGTATAGGAATTGCGCGTATAATTAGCGACTGCTGTCGTTGCGTCAAGCTACCTTCAGTACCTCTAGCATGAACAACTTTCGTCTTCGAATTGTTTGCGTATTAGACAAAATTCGATACTTAAGAGCGTTGTCACATTTTTCATGCAGAAATCGAGAATTTGGCAGATTTCGAAATGATTTTAGTCATATAATTTATTGTTATAGCTTCTTTTGACTTATATCATCGTAATTATCATACGTTTTTACGGAATGTCTATTGACAAAATCTCGTTCAAATTGGATTTTTGCCTACGAAAACAGCGAATTTCGAAAGCCCGATTTCCAGGTAACTCGCGAAGGCACAACTTTGAACTAATATTACAACAAATTTATTTATAAGTAAGAAGATAGAATGTATTCATTAGAATAAGCATACCCTGAAGAAGAAAGTGTATTGAGAAAATTTTGATGTTTAATTCATTAAAATGCATTTTTATCATGTCTAAGATAGTCAAAATTCGAGAAAATTACTGCAAGAAAACAGGTCACATCTCATAATCTAAAAGTCATTTGGCAACATAAACTACTTTATACTTAAGAAGAAACATAGTACTATTATTGTGTGAAAAAGAAAAAATATCTATCTTCAATCTTCAAATGAAAAATTAATTTGAAAATACTATAAAATCGGGTGCATCAAATGGCATAAATCAGTCGTGCTTTGGCACTCGTAGACGCCGGGTCTATGTCAGTTGACTGCCCACTGACGTATATGCGTCACGCGTGATTTTTTCGTAAATTGTAGTATGATTGAGTACTTTTGATCCGCAAGTATTTTTAATTTATTTGTTTAGGTAAATCGGACTTGTAATTTCTTTCTTTTCAAACTTTTTATTATTTTACTTACAGAATATGGGTAGAATAGATAAAAGATATTATTATGGTATCTGTTTGGTCAGGAAAAAATAAATGACTAATAAAAATTTTAACAGGGTGTCAAAACATTAGTCTATGCTATTGTGTTTCTACCAACATAAAATATACTCTTCCTTACTAATAAAAGTTGAATAGCGTCTGTATGGTCACACAACGCTTCGTCATGTTTTTCCGAAAGTTCAATTACTGACGACTGAATGAAAGAAATTGGTGCGTAACTATTCATCTGATATTAAACGTTTAGTAATAAAGGGGTAGGTCAGGTAAATGGCAAATCCACCAGCGGTCGCTCGATGACACTTAGACAAATAGTTTTATAAAACGTCAACTAAGTTGGTTAGGTATTTGTATTGTAGATACTTATACAAATGAACGTATAAAATGAGTTTATTTTTAAAAGTATAGGTACAGGGTGGAAACGATAAGTGATTTCACTTGATTTTTAATTATACAAGATATCGAGAAACTGTTTACTGTTCCTGTAAGTGCTTCATGAGCTCTTTAAAACAATAACAATAAATAGGTCAAAGAATAAACTGGATCTATGCGAAAATTCAATGTTTCCGAATTTCATACTAAATGTATGCCGCCAGCCATACCTACCATATTAGAAGTGTTAATTTTTTAAATTTAAATTTTTAATTGAGTAATATATAATAATCAAACAACAAACTCGTAAATTGCATTCTTATTTAAATTATTTACGGAAAACATGATTTTAGGTTTAACTTGCTACAATATCATCAAGAGATACTAATTAATAAATACTAAATAAACAGATAAAGGGGACGGCATTAAGGCACTCAGAATTCTCAGAAACCATTGATTTCGTGTTTGTTTGTAACTGTATTAAATGTATGAAAGCTGGAAATATAGGTTTTTTGAATAGATTCAGTTCGTTCTTAAACATATTATTGATGCCGTTTGCTAGGTCTCATGAAGCACTTTTTCAGTAAGTAACCATTTGTTCGACATCTTGTATACCTACTATAAGAAATATTCGAGTGAGATCACTTATCGATTATTTTCGTCATCCTTATTTGTATTAAATTTAATTAAAATACACTAAGGCTGAGATGCACCACCTAACTTTGACCCTAACTGACAATAACCGGTGTTTTATGTTAGACAGATTTTTGACATCCAAAATTTTGATGTCAATGTTAAAGTAAGACGGTGCAACACGGCCTAACAAATGTATCGTAGACAGTACTTTTTATTTTCTTCATAAATCTTTCTTTTCTTTGTAAAGCTATCTACAAGCTTTTATTTTCTTTGACATCTGGAGTTGTAAAATCTTGCAACTTAAAATTTACTTACTTCCCGTTTTCCCATTGAGCTGAAATTTTGCATGTCTACACAGGCATGCAAAATTTCGTTTCATATCGCACTAAATAATTTAATTTACACGTATTTTCATGCGATGGCCAAGTCAATATATTTATGTAAAACGTTAATGATTTACTGGACTGGACTTGGTATTACATGGATCTCACAACTTTTTACCGTAGAACAACTGAGTAGTGAGACTTGGTTTTTTGACAAGTATTGTTTTTGATGGGTTTGTATTACAGAACGCATGTGTACCTAATGGGATAACTGTTTAAAAACACGATTAGATAAATTTTGCTCTATGGATAAAAATCTTAAAGTTATCTCTGATTTTTTAGCATTATACGACAAAACATACACATATACATACACACATAAAATCACAATGATATCAGTATTTACCTCTTTGATTTCCTGACTTGTTCCTTTACAAAAACTAAATATTTATTATTAACTTTTAGATAATAATTTGAATGGCGCTTACGATGTTTAGTTACGAGCTCTTTGATGGACACAGATATTATAGATAACGTATAAAAAATGGCACGCTCGTTTTCATACATTTCATTCTATTTATTTAACCTATCCATATTTATGTGCGGAAACGTCACAAAATCAGAATAAATTTTAATTTTTCCATCCCGCATCACAAAAGCTAAAAAGTCAAAAATAAAATTTAAATAGTAAATATTTTTCATAAACAAGCTTTTGATGCTGTAATAAGAATAAAATAAAACATAAATTCTTTCAAACCCATCAACTTATTACTTTACTAAATTTAAAGATTAAAAACTTGTCGCGGGATTTACTAGTGTAAAAATACATTAATTGCGTAACTTGATTTAGAGCTCTAAGAGCGTTGTAGCAAAAAGTTGGCGTTCGAATTTTAG